GAGTTTCCTACACCAGGGAAACCATAGGTCAGGAACAACCTCATTACTACACCTCACCTCTTTTTCCCACCTATCTGCCGAGAGGGAGTTATTGATCTGTAGAGTCGATCTGCTTGGGAATGGCATGCCCTGATTTCTTAAGAACAGACGTCACTTTACTTCCTCGGTTGATTAATTTCAATGTCCAAATATAAAAATATTTGCTTAAGAGTGGCACAAACATTTTGCAGTGAAGTAATGAAATACGTATTCCTCTCTTCATTCTCTCATGCCCTATGTGTAATCTGTTGCCAAGACCAGTTGATTTTACCTTTGTAACATTTTTCTATATGTCCTTCTCCCTCCTCCTCTGGGATTTTCTCCTTCCTCCCTTCTGCTTCTTGGCTTCCCTTTCTTTCTTCAAGTCTCGGCTAAAAACCTACCTTGTAGCCTTTCCCAATGTTCCTTAATGATAGTCTCTTCCCTCTGTTGATCGTCTCCAATTTATCTCGTCTGTATCTTGCTTGTACATAGTTGCTTGCATGTTGCACCTCCCAGTAGAATGTACTCTTTGAGAGCAAGAACTATTTCCCCCCTTTCTTTGTATCCTCAGCTCTTAGCACAGTGCCTGGCACGTGATATGCAGTTGATAAATGCTTGCCAACTGACTAGTGAGTGGAACTTCACATGTTCCTGGAAAGGGCCACAGAACAAATGACTTATTTATCTGTTTAAGAATTTACTTGGCTTGATTTTTGTTAAATACCAAGGGCTTTAATATAAGATTTTATTCCTTATTCCTTATGTTTATTTATATGAATTGCCTTTGGTGATGGTTATTAAATTTATAATAATTTCTTTAAAAATATTAGAGTGAATAGTTTCCTTCTTTCCCCTGGCAGCACATCTGCTCAAATACTCAAACATCTACTAAATGACATTTTCATTTAATCATGACCTTAGCAGATGTGCTTTCTTCCATTTTTAGAAGAAGTCATCAGAGAATCATAGGATATAGCCCTAGAAGGAACCATTTAATCCAACCACCAGATTTTACAGATGAGGAAACATTTATATAGCACTTTTAAAGTTTGCAAAGCCCTTTAAATCTACTATTTCACCAGAGCCTTATAACTGTTGTTAATATTATCTCCATCTAATAGATGAGGTAACTTGCTCAGAGACTTTAAATGACTTGTTCATCACCACATAGCTACTAGCAAGTAGCATTAAGGAAGGATTTGATCTCAGATTTTCCTGACCCTAAGTTCTAACTTCTACCCACTATAATACATGTGAACCCAAGGTCCTCTGACTACACATTTTGTGCTCTTTCCACAATCTTATATATACTGAGGTTGACGTTTTGTGTGAATTATCTTTTTCTTTATTGGGGAGTGGAGATGTTGTTAAAGAGGTTCCTATGTAGTTGAATTAGATTACCTTTGAGATCTCTCTTCTAATTCTGATATTTTTTCCTCCCTTTGTGTGCTCTGAATTTCACCCCTTCCTGCTTTCTGGGAAATTCCTATCCCTCTTCTTTTTAGGAACCTATCTCTCCCTATGGGTTCATGTCTTCTGCTTATAAACACGTATAGATGTGTTTCCTCATCTTTTTTTTGTGGGGGGGAGCCACCTTTATTTGATCTCTTTTAACTACTGCTTTATTTCCCTACTTTCTTTCCCAGCCATGCTTCTTGAACAAGTGGTCCCTATTGACTGCCTCCATTTCCTTATCACCCACAATCTGACTCTTCTCAACCCTTCCACTTTCTTGAAATTGTACCCTCAACAGTCTCAAAGAGTGTCATGATTGTTGAATTCAATAGTCTTTCTTAAAGAAATTAATCATCTTTAATGCTGTTAAGATTCAAGAAAGCTCGTGGTTTAGATCTCTTGGGTGAAAAGATGACCACATCAAAGTTAAAACTTATGTACAAACTACTGTTTAACAACACCACACAAAGTGGATGCAACACTTCTAACTACTCTTTGAAAATCTCTCCTTCCTTGTATTTCATGACATCACACTGCCCTGGTTCTTCTATTTCTCTGCCCCCTTTTTCATTTTTAGCTCTTTGCCACATGGGTATCCTCCAAAGTGAAGACCTTAGCCCTTTACTTTTCTCCCTCTGTACTCCCTCTGTAATTTCAATCATTTTGAAAGGTTTTGGCTTTCATTTCTCCCAAACAGAGAACTACAGCCCCAGTACTCATCCACTTGAACATCTCGCCACCACTCAAGAGTCAACAAGACTAAAATTAAACTTGATCCTCTCCTCCCTACAAATTAACCTCCCATCTTAACTTCCATTTATTTTTAGTACCACTGTTTCCTCAGGCATTCAAGCCTGAAAGCCTGGAGTCACTAAGGATTCTTTCTCCTTTATCATCATGTCATCAGTTGTCTTGATTTTCTTTTCATAATGTCTTTAATTCATCCTTTTCCCCTACTGTTATATTTCAAGCCTTTTCACATCATGTCTAGTCTACTACAGTAACCTAAAATTTCCCAGGCCTTGGTCTTTCCCCCTCTTCCAGTATATCCTAAAAGGCAGCTACATGCCTCTGTAGATAGTGTTGTGGGCCTGGAGTCAGGAAGACTTATCTTCCTGAGTTTGAATCTGGCCTCAGACACCTATTAGCGGTGTGACCCTGGATAACTCTGTTTGCCTCAGTTTCCTCATCTGTAAAATGAACTAGAGAAGGAAATGGCAAACCACTCCGTATCTCTGCCAAGAAAACCCCAAATGGGGTCATGGAGAATTGGCCACAACTGAAAAATGACAACAACAATAGTCAATTATAAATTTTCCTTCTCAAAAACTGTCAATGACTTCCTGTCCCCTGCAAGGATAAAGTCTAAACTTTCCATTTTCAGTATACTTGTGTACAACAACCCCCTATGCTTGGTAGTCTAGTCCCACTATTTCTTGCTGTCTCCTTATATGTATCTATTGCTTTAGACAAAGATTTATTTTGTGTTTCTTGTGAATGCCTTGTGAATTGTTGTCTCGGAGCCCTTGTTCTCATTTTATCAGGCCCTTCCCCTTCTTCTCTCCACCTGGCTAAAAATCTGCCCATTCTTTAAAGTCTAGCTCAAATCTCAAGTCTATCATGAATCCTTCTCTGATCACCTATTCCACAGGGTTGTTGTGAGGATCAAATGAGATAACGTGGAAAATGCTTTGCAAACAGAGTTATTACAATGATGATAATGCCCTGTATTTTATTTTTGTGTATACACGTTCTCTTTTCAACTAAGACCAAAGGTAACATTGGTTATTTTGTTTTCATTGTGGTAAAGAGATCTGAGGCAGCTAAGTGGCACAGTGGATAGAGTATTAGGCTTGGAATCAGGAAGACTCTTCATGAGTTCAAATCCAGCTTCAGATACTTACTAGCTGTGTGACCCTGGGCAAGTCACTTAACCCTGTTTGCCTCAGTTTCCCCATCTGTAAAATGAGCTGGAGAATGAAATGACAAATCACTCCAACATCTTTGCCAAGAAAACCCCAAATGGGTTCACAGAGTTGGACACGACTGAAATGAAACGATAACGGTAACAGAGATCTGAAGAACTTGAAATTTAAAATTCTGTCTAGGAAAAGCCCTAACGATCTAAATGTCTAACCTTGAACTTTTGTCTTTTTGATTCCACTTTAATTAAATATCTCCCATCCTCTATATTACTGAGTAATCCTTTCAGGTTATGTGAAGTTGGGAAAGAGATTTAGAATCCTAATAGAATAGGGTTCAAATGTGATAAATGATAAATTATTGTTGGGCATATTCATACCCTTGGACTAGGCAAAAGCCTGGGTTGAATCATTGCAAGAGTCTGAATGTACGTATAGGGATTGAAAAGGGGACCCAGCATTTCCAGTGACTCAGTTCTGCTTGTGCCTATGGGTAAGCACTTGAACTGATAGTACAGACCTTATTAGGAGTGCCATTTGGTGGCTTATCCACTTATTACTTACTACAAGTAATAAGTGGGTAAGCTGATTCCAGCGGATCCTTGTAGTGCCAATGTAAAGCAAGTGCTCCTAAATGACAATTAACTAGTTAACAGTGAAAACAAAAGCAGTCCCAAGTGGTCCCTTGCCTTTTAGCATCAGAAATACTGGCTTGAGAAAGCCTTAAGCCTATTCTCTTTGCTCTGAAATCTTGAATCCTGAAAGCATGACCTTAAGTGGGCACAGTGGAATGAGTGCTCATTCATAATTAGCTTTTACAAAAGTGAAATTTCCTTGGCATGACAGTGGAAAGAACACCAGACTTAGTCATAGCACCATAGATTTAGAGCTGAACGCAACCTCAGAAGCCATCAAATCAATCCTCTCTCCCTCCACCCCCATTTTGCACATGAGGAAACTGAAGCCCAGAGAGTTTACCTGAATAGCCTAGGGTTACACAGCTAGTAAATATTTGAGCAGGGATTTGAAGCCAGGCCCTCTAATCAAGTCCAGTACCCTTTACCCCAGTATTATGCCATTATAAGGGTCCCTCTCTCTGATCTCTCATAAGTCCTGGGTTTGAGTCCCAACTTCATCACTTACTAGCCTCGCTATATGATCCTGAGATGTTTCCCCTCTCTGGACCAATTTCATCATCTGCAAAAGGAAGATAATACTTTCTATAGGGTTGAGTTTATATCAGACATTCATAACTTGGAGGCTGTAAACTTTAAAAAGTGATATTTTGATGCAAGTGGTTTCCTTTATAATTTATATATGTGTGTGTGTATATGTATATATATATATATGTATATATATATGTGTATATATATATATGTGTATATATATGTATATATATATATATAATTTTAATTTTATTTTAGTCATTCAAAAACAAAAACATAGGCTTCATTAGACCAAAAGAGACCATGTCACAAAAAAGGTTCAGAACCTCTGGTTTCATAATAAATGCAAAGTGCTCCATAAACCTCAACTATTTTCACTGGTGGATTTAGTAATGAATACCTCAAAGCAAATAAGTGCTTGGATTCCAACAAATTTATTAATAAGAAGGAAAATTAAGGACATTACATTAAATCAAGTTCAAAAGTTTGATTACAGCATTAATCAGTACCCTGTTATTCCATGTCATGGCCAGAATAAGTTATGAAAACCTGTGACTGAGTGCTCATGGAATGCTACTATTCACTTGGGAGCTCCCCAGGAACATTAATTCAGGAGGTTGTTCCCACCAAACCTCAAAATTTGAATCTAGTTTATTTACAGTATTTTTTAAAAAAGCACTTGATAACAAGAAAATCTGAAGAGATCTTCCCCACTTTTTGAAAATGCTATGGCACCCCAGACCTTCTCCAACCTTGGTGGGAAGTTGTAACAGTTGAGGTCAAGGAAGCCATGTGCAGTAAGTCAGGTCTCTTGTTTTTTTTAAGCCAGTCACAAAAAGGAATTTGATGGCAAAATACAGCTGGAAGAAACCTGAGTTGATGAGATTAATAACTAAGACAGCCCACCCCTCCTTACTGCTGACACAATTGATCCAGAACCACTGTATTTCATATAGTAGATGCTTGGTAAATATGCAATGAGAAAGTCACCTTTCCAGCCAAAGCAGATTGCTCTTCTCTTTTCACCCTCTGAAGTGCCAGAGGAAAGCTTTTGGGGCTAGAGTAGAGCACAATACAATCCCAGTGTCTTAGGCTCTTACAGTGGAGGAGGAAGAGGTTCTCTGAAACCTGTTGGGAGAGGCTGTCATGTCCTTGGTCATGCATGTTACTTAAAAGAGCGGTAAATGGCTGCCCTTCAGCAGGCCATAGGCATCCTCATTGTTTTCTTCATTCTCTCGGGTGCCTGTGTTTTCTTCCCTTGCTAGGGACGATTCTCTACAAGATTACCACTGCTTGTTGGATGTTGGAGCTGGGTGATGTCAGAAGGTGAAAGAGTTTGCCATCCTTTGTCAGCCTATGGCTGCCCTGAGCAGAATCTCAAACTGCAAAAGAAAAAGAAAACAGAAATGAAGCCCTTCTCCAGGGCAGAAGGAACAATGCTAGTCCTAACAGGTCTTAGCATCTTGCACTGCTGCCAAAGGCATCACAAAATTATCTTCTGTTGGTTTTCAGTAAATCTTCTATTGTACTCCAATGTAAACATTGAGCCTACAAAGTCTTTGCTCTTAAGGAATCACAACTTTAGAATTGGAAGGAACCTTGGAGCTTATCTTGCTCCTTTCAGAGCCAGGGAAATTGAGACTTCTCCCCTCCATAATACCCCTATGAAGCCATTAATATAATATAATATATATAATATAATATAATATAATATAATATAATATAATATAATATATAATATAATATAATATAATATATAATATAATATAATGTATAATATAATATAATAAAATATAATATATAATATAATATAAAATATATAAATTCCTATAAATGTAAAATGAAAAATATAAATTAGATTTATATATAAATATATTTCTATAATATACTGTATATTCTATAAATATAGAGAGACTTTACCTGACCAGCCTAGGGTTACACAGCTAGTAAATATCTGAGCAGGGATTTGAAACCAGGCCATTTATTCAAGTCCAGTACCCTTTACCCCAGTATTTCTGCCATGCCGAACTCTCATAAGTCCTGGGTTTGCAACCCAACTCAATATAAAATGTAAATATTCTATAAATATAAATAAATATATTCTATAACTATAAAACCAAACAGATCAGTTTACCAAATCTGGACTTGGAAGAAGTGAGTTCAAATCTCCCCAATGTAACTTACTGCCTATGTGACCTTGAGAAACCACTTTAACCATTCTGGTCTTAATATCCTTAGAGGATGCCTTCTTCCTATGCTTCTCCCTTTTCAGTCCTGTGAATCCAGATTGAGGAGGTACTATCAAGGCACCAGGAGATTAAACTCATAGAATAAGACCAATAGGATATTAGAATAAAAGGAGCCTTTAGGAGATAACCTCTTCTAACTCCTTCATTTTCAAGATGAGGAAATGTTGAGTCCTTACTATGTTTAAATTGCTGTTTCATTACTAGGCCAGTGAGGAAAAGGACTCACTTTGAATGAATCTATCTCTTAGGAGTGATCACTTTCCAGAAACACTAGGTGATCTTGTAGTATCCTAAAGGAAGTAATTGTACCCACCTTTCACTTATTTTTCCTACCCTTCGTCAACCCGACAAAAATGATACAAAGCTATTACTTTTCTCAGACTGTTCCACAGACCATATCCTAAAGGTAATTGGGGTTCTCTGTCATTTTGGGACTATGGTCTTTTTCTACTGTGTTCTCTATTTTAGGGTCAAAGTGATATACATACAAGATACTTGGAGATCTGTGTGTAGGCTGTGGTTGTTTATGGCTGGTGCTGGATGGATAGATCTTCTCCCAGCAGACTTCTTTATATAGTAAAACTTTGAAAGTTCATACTAATTAGGCAACAAGACTCAATTGTATCACTGATGAATATTCATATATATATATATATGTGTATGTGTGTGTGTGTGTGTGTGTGTGTGTGTATAGATGTGTGTACATGTATATGTACATATATATTATATATGATTAAAAAGTATAATTCCCTCCCTCCCCCCAAGTTTTTGGCCTATTGATGGCCCCAGAGGAGTTTGGATTGTAAAAAAATCAGTCTTTGCCATTGAGTTTTGAGGATGAGGAAATGGTATCTTTCCAATAGCATTTGCTATGATGAAACTAGGTGGTGCAGACAATACAGTGCTGGGCCTGAAGTCAGGAAGACTCATCTTCCTGAGTTAAATCTGACATCAGACATTTACTAGCTGTGTGACCCCAGGCAAGTCACTTAACACCGTTTGCCTTTGTTTCCTCATCTGTAAAATGAGCTGGAGAAGGAAACGGTAAACCATTCCAGTATCTTTGCCAAGAAAACCCCAAATGGGGTCATGATTAATTGGACATAACTAACAAAAATACCAAAGCTAATACATCTTTCTAGAGGCTGATTCAGAAATAAAGTTGATAGGGGAACTAGCAAAAGAGTGTCAAATAAGAGTGTTGATAGTAATGTCATAGAACCAGAAATCATCCCAACTCTAGGCAGAGAAACTTCCCAGGAAAAGCCCAAGTCTTTTTTTTTTCCTGATAATTTTTCTAGGTGCTAAATTTGCCTTTTGTATGCAAAAGCAAAAGTCTGGAATTGTTTTACCAACTCCTAACTCATACTTTTGCCATCTTCTTGGATACCATCAAGGAATATGTCCATTGTCAATATTTTTTTCCTTATACTTAATTTTTCAAGGGGAAAAAGTGAGGTGGCTATGACTTTTAAAATTTTGCTATGATTAACAGTAAGACAAAATGAGAAGCCAGAAAAACTCTGACAAGATACATGTTTCCTAGATGTATCCAAGAAGAAGGCAAAAGATAGAACTTGGGAGTCAAGGCAACTGTAGAAGACTAAACTGTGCATGCAACAGGTAAATTTAACAACATAAATCCAAGCCCTCTATTTCTTGACTTTAGAACACAGCCCAATGGCCACAAGTCTGGCAATCACTCAGAACCTATTGCTGTTTTTCCCTGAGAATAGCCAATGTTGATGAAGACCAGGTTAGACATCTCTCTCCTTTCCTTCATGTGAATGTATGTGGTTTGGCAAAGACAGATTTTCTTTTTTAAACATAAACTCCTCCAGGGCAAGTACTAAATCTGTTTCGTTAACCAGGCACAATGCCCAGAAAAGTGCCACACATGTGTGTGATCACTTAATAAGTGCTGGGTGGCCTGAAAAGGAACAGTCCTATTTGTTTTTTTGGTAGAAATGCGGACATTTCTAAAATGCTGACTTTTATTAAACAACTAAGCTGTCCCTCAATGTGTTCAAACTGACTGGTTGGTTTAAACTTCCCTGTAATTTTCTGCACAGAAACCAAAGTGAAACTGATCCTCTCTCTACTTTTTGGTCTTAAAAGACAAAGCATGTTTGAGAAGCCCAGCTTATGCTAAATAAGACAGAGAAAAAGAGCTCCAGCTCTTTTAATTCACAAAGAGTTGGACACGACGGAAAACGACTAAACTAAATGCAACTCCTAGTTTAGATTTCTTGCCCTAAAGATTTTTATGTCAGCAAAGTTTTAGAAGTCAAAACCAACTCCCCTTTCTTCACCTGTAAGAAGAAAAAATGAAAATTAAGGAGAGCTTTGACAATGAACATGTTTCCTAGGTGGATCCAAGGCGCCAGCAAAATCCCTGACCATTCTTACAGATATTTCAGTCTCTTAACTCCCTTTTCCTTTCCCCTCACTTTACACTCCACCACAAACCCCACACTACTATAGATTTTTTGGTATGCTGTTGGTGATACTATGGAGCATTGAAATCTTAGAGGGAAGACATGATGTGGAAGGAATAACTGTAGAACTCTGAGAGAACTCTCAGGACAAGAGCAGGCCAGTTACATAACATTGCCTAAATAGAGGGATAACTGTCCACGTGTTCCATCCAGTGTCAAGAGATTTAAAGGAAGGAACCCAGCACGGGTAGACCTCCTACTGGAGATTTATGGAAAAATAGGTACAATGGTCAAGGTACAGACAAGCAAAGGTGAGTTGCAGTTTGCATCTGTGGATGATGAGACAGGAGATCTATCAAAGTCTTGATATATAGGAAGTAGAGTAATTTTGGTTGTTGGTACAGAATAGTTTCCAATTCCATATGGTCCATTTCAGTCTTGTGCCCAATTTCATTTGCACTGGCAACCAAGGCCATTATAAAAGGTTGAATCTTCTTACCTTAGTGATAACCAGCATTTTTGCAGTTATGTGAAGTTGGGCTCCTGGAATGATTTAGAGATAAGTCATGCTAGGGACTCAGAGATATGATAAAACTTAAAAGAAATTTTGGGCTACAAAAGAAAGGGAGTTCAAAAGATAGACTTAAAAATATCTAAGGGATTTTCTAACTAGTGGGCTTGGGGTTTCATCACCGAAGAGTTAACACATGGGTTTATCTAGGGGGAAAAGGTGGGCAGGTCCCTTTCTTTATGAGGAAGTAGCTTTATGTCAGCTAAGAACTACAGAAAGAGAGAAGGATAACATTAGAGGACAGCAGCTCTAAAGTGTTAGAGGCATCTATTACTTAAGCTGTGTGTCACCTATATATGTATCCTCTTCCATGCATGTTCTCTGTATGTTTTCCCTCCTTTTTTATACCTTCTTTCATGTTTATGGGAGAAGAGTATATTAGAGGAATATTTTGTTACTTAATTTCTAATGCTTTTGATAAAAATGTCCTTTGCTTCGAATTAATAATGTCTCCCGCTTGGCCTGGTAAGAGTAAATACATCAGCGGGAGCTTCTGAGGTGTGATTTTGAATGGATGGATCCTGATGCCCAAGAAGCCTCAAACACAAGGTCCTCTTCTTAGGACCCATATGTGAGAGTGCAGCACAGTTACTACAAAAGTATTATAGCACTGGGAAAATAAGTACTCAATCAAGACTTTATGATTAAATGACTTTTTTATAATATAGCTAATTTCCAATTAGTTCAAATAATAAATCCTCTGAAATGGTTGCATGTATTCCAACTTACACTATAAAAAGTTACAATTATATAAAATATTGTAATTGGTTCCAGCCCACTGAAAATACGAAGTGCTAAAGAATTTGACCACCTCGGGGGGGACTCATTATTCTCACTAATAGGGACCTTTATATGATTCTGCCCTGAGGCATGAAGGTAGATGATCTCTTTAGGTCCTTTCCAGCTTAAGAAATAAGCAATTCCAGGATAAATCTTGCTTTGGTTATCTTACTAACTTTGACAAACATTGTTCCCTAATAGGATGAAAAGGTGCTGAACAATTAGTCAAAGTGTACTGCAGGTAAACATTTAATAACTGCCTCTGAAAAAAAAATGCATATGTACAAAACTGAAAATGTAATAATTGGCAAGCCAGTTATAAGCTGGTTCTAAGACTTTCCTTACATACTGTTCCAGCTGTCTGTGGTAAACATAGGCTTAGAAAAGACCTGATTGCCATCATTATGACTGCCATCAAAAAGCCTTTATTAAATGCCTATTTCTATCTGATGCCTTGCTATGAAATGAAATACCTCAATTTTGCATATGATCTCCGATTTCATTAGTGTGGGTGCTCTTCCTCCATGCCTTTGTAGATGATTCAACAAGTTGCCTTGGTCAATAAGATTTATCACCTGTTGGTTAACCTTCCAGCGTAAGTATCCCTGAACTAAGCTAGTCTGGTTCTTTGGTCACACGGATTGATGGTCCATTGCTAGGCCCCTACTCAAAGCCTTCCCGATTTGGTAGGCCCTTCCATAGCTTGTATGTCATTGATATCCCTTTTGAGAATGTGAGGGTCACCTTCACACCACCATGAGCCCTCAGATTGGGCCTTTAGTGGAACTTAAATGAGGTAATATATGCAAAGTGCTTTGTAACCATAAAGCACTGCATAAATGTGAGTTATTATTAATGGACACCGTTTAAAGGACACTACATGGAGTCCCTGGCGCTTAGAGTCTGGTGAGACAAGTATGTAACCTATGACAATGTAAAACTAAGTGAATGGGGGAGCATTAACATCAAATATGTCAGGAGTAAAGTGTATTTGCGGGCAGTAATAAGGATAAGTGCAACCCATTAGTTACCTAATAAAGCACAAATTCTTAGCATTCAATGCCTCCCAAAGTTGGGCCCAGCCTGGGCTTATCTCAGATTACTTTCCTTTTTGTACTCTAATCCCTAGAACTACCCCTGGGTTCCAGTCTCTTCTCCCTGGAATATGCTTCCCACCCTGTTCTGCCTGTGGGCTGTCTATCCATCTTTCAGGGCCCAGCTCAAAGTCATCACCTCATTTACCAAACATTTATCAAATGCCTGCTATGTTTTGTATCTCATTGGAGATACAAAGATGACATGAGAAATGTCAAAGAAATCACATTACCACACCGGTGCAGCTGATAAAGTGTGCCAGTTGTGAAGACCTGAGTTTAAATATGATTTCAGATACATACTATCTGTGTGACCCTGGGCAAGTCACTTAGCCTCTTCCTGCCTCAGTTTCCTCAACTGTAAAATGGGGATCAGTAATAGCACCTGACTCTCACAGTTGTGAGGATCAAATAAGATAACATGCTAAAGTGCCTGGCATATAGCAGGCACTCAGTAAATGCTTGTTGTCCCTCCCCCTCCACATTCTAATTTGTATTTAATTAGTTCATTCAGTAAGTATTAAAGTGGGACGTACTGGGGGATACAAAAACAAATCCTTTAAAGAAGGTTATGTGCTGGGGGACAAGGGACGCAGAGAATAATATATACATATTCACAGAAAGTTAAATAAAAGCGTGTACAATGTAATTTGTCAAGGGAAGGGACATCTATAATTACAATTGTGTCTTATCTCCTTACTTGCCAAAATACTTCTCTTTCTGCCACAGGCTTAACATCTGACATGTAAGACCTTGATATTTGTTGAATAAATGAATAATTAGGAGCATCTGGGGAAATTGCGAACCCGGGCAGGGTGGGTCTGGCCAAACTTTCAACTTTCATCTAATCAGTCTGGAGGACAATTTCTCAAGAGCTGTGTGAATCACCGCAGCGCGAATGAGGTGGGGACAACCAGGCAAAGGCAGCTTTGGGGAGTTTTAAGCGCTTACCACACGGAGGAGGAGTTGCCAGGGGAACGAAGCCTCGGCTGCACAGGTGGATGTAGGCAGAGACCATGCCGCAGGCGGCCTGTAATTCACTTATCTCACAGGTGTCCCGGATGCACATACTGTAGAACGGGGCAGGATCTACCTGCAACAGAATGCCCCACAGCCGCTCCACCTTGCCCATAGGTCAATCAATACGTGGCTAATGAGCTGGGGAACAAGGTGAAGCAATAGGAGGGAGGGATGCAGATTAGATTTCCCGCCCCTTCCCTGGAGGTTAAGGGTTTTCTGGGACCTGGAAGCAAGGCAAACAATGAAATGACTCCCTGAGTCCCGTGGAGGTGAGGAGGAGCTGGGGGAGGGTGAAACTGTCCTTTACTAAATTTGCTTTTCCAGTTTGGGATGGTGTTGCTGACTCACATTCTCTAGGGATCAAGTTAAAAAAAAAGTTTTAGAGTTAAAAAAAAAAACTTCGATGCTTCATTTGCTTAGTATCTCAGCAGAGAGTTAATCAAGAGACTATTTGGAGAACTCGTACCCAGCTGGAGACTTCCACCCCACTTGGGGGCAATGGGTCTCAGGGCCCAGGAAGGGTCTATATTCCCAAGCATCGTCCTGCTCCTTGTTTCTATGGCATTTCCACTTTCTGAGGGTTTTTGTTTTGTTTTTGTTTTTGAACCACCAAGCCAACTTGTACTTACCACTTGGAAGCAATGACGGAGCTCAGAATGGGCATCCTGAAAGAATGCTTTGCAGAGTCTGGAGGAAGCAGCCCCAAGACAGACCTCTGCTTTCCCTCTCTTGGTCCGGCACTCATCATCCACCTAGTGGGAGTAAGCACAAACATTTTCCAAAGAATAATATTGGTCCTCACGACACTGTAAGATAAGTACTACTGGTATTATTCTCATCTTACAGATGAAGAAATTGGGGGTCCTAAGATGTTAGGTGATTTTTTTCCCCAGGGTCACACAGCTTGTAAATATCAGAGCTTGGATTTGAAACCAAGCTCTGCCAGTAGGAATTGTTTTAATCTTTGTTATTTGTATTGCTGGCTCGTGAGAGTTACTTAATAAAGACTTGTTGATATTTTTCCCCCCCAGGATATTTCAGTTTCTGAAAACCGGAACTTAAGAGCCTGGGAAAACTTACAAGATTCCATCTATAACATCTCAGATCTGCTACTTATACCGTGTGAGCTTGGGCAAAGTCATCTGACCTTTGGTTTTCTCCACAGTAAATCAAGGTGGCCCTCAAAATTATTGTAAGTATGATTATTGAGAAGCCCCAGTAATGGAGAGGTTGTCTCCAGGTTGTCTAATGGGCTGTTATCAGCCCAGTCGTTAAAACATTTGCAGTGTGCTCTGCAGGGGGCAACTAATTGACGCAGTGGATAGAGTGCATGACTTGGAGTCATCTTCCTGAGTTCAAATCCAGCCATAAACACTTACTAGCTGTGTGACCCTAGGCAAGTCACTTCACCCTATTTGCCTCAGTTTCCTCATCTGTAAAATGACCTGGAGAAGAAATGGCAAGCCACTCCAGTATCTTTGCCAAGAAAACCCTAAATGGGGTCATGAAGAGCCAGTAGGACACAACTGAAATGACTTGACAAAAAACCCAACATGTTCTGCATTCTGCTAATATGAATGAAAGATGCAGATTTATACTCCCCAGATTGAACCCAGTCCAAGTATATACCTAAAGTTTCATCTCAGGACCATGGAGTATTCCTCAAAAAAAAAATTCATCATTTCACAAGTTTGGATATTTTCTCCTCCAAATTCAGGTGCCAGCTCTATATCTCAGGCAATTTTCATGAATTTCTCAGCTTAGCACAGCTGGTCATTGGACGGCAGACCCAAGGTCTAGTGCTAGGTCTATACTTAAAGCCACCTTGCCTTTGTAAGAACCTCACAGAGCACAGATTCATTCCACTGTCATAGCTCTGGAGACTCCAGCATCTCCTCCACCCCACAGTTGCAACATTGGGATAAGATTTTAGTAGGTAACAGACTCCTGTTAATAAAGAAAAAGGAATTCATTTCCCCCCCCCACACACACCCCAATACCTGTGCTATATAGAGATGAGGCTTTGTGCAGTAAAAAAATTTAAAAAGCCTTCTGACTCTGGTGGGCTATTGCTATTTAACTGGTCTTGGTTTCTGGTGAAGATACTGTGATGGAGAGCTTTTCATGGCTTTTAACAGAGTAGCAAAGGCTCCCGGAGGAGGGAGGGAGAGAGAGAAATGGATTTCCTTCCAGACAGCATCCACATTTTTCTTCTTCCTAATTTCACCCTGCCTCACTTTCTCCTTTGCCAGTAGAATCACTGATTTAGAACTGGAAGGCACTAGAGACCAAGTAGTCCAACCCCCATATTTTACAGAGGGAGAAACTGAGGCATTGGATCTTAAGTGAAGAGCTGGAAAGGACCATGGAGACTACCTAGTTTAACCCCCTCATTCTGTCACACAGATAAGAGGCAGAGCTAGGATCTGAACCCAGCTCCTCTGACACCAAATCTAACACCATTTTTACTGTATGCCTCTGCCTCTTATAGTGGGTCTTTCTGGGGGTAGCTCTAAAGGCCTAACAGAGAGGCAGCTGAGTGGTACAATGGATAGAGCACTGGGCCCAGAGTCAGGAAGACCTGAGTTCAAATCCAGCCTCAGCCACTTATTAGCTGTATGACCCTGGGCAAGTCACTTAACCTCTGCCTCAGTTTCCTCAATTGTAAAATGAGGATAATAGCATCCATCTAGCAGGGTGGTGCTATTAGATCAAATGTGCATAACTCAAATAAGATAATATTTGTAAAGCACTGAACGTAGTGGCTGGCATATGGTAGAAGCTTAATACAACCAAGCAGCATTAAAGACTTTGTTGTTCTTGAATCATGTCCAACTCTTTGTGACCCCATTTGGGGTTTTCTTGGCAAAGATATTGGAGTAGTTTGCCATTTCCTTCTCCTGCTCATTTTAAACTGAGGCCAACAGGGTTAAATGATTTGCCCAGGGTCACACAGCTAGTATCTGAAACCACATTTGAACTCAGGAAGATGAGTCTTCTCTGCCTCCAGGCCTGGTGCTCTATCAACCGCACCACTTAGCTGCCCTATTAAAGACTTGCCCTGTATTATCAGAGGACAAACCTTATCTAATAGGGACTTGGAGACACCTTCTAGTGAGTCAGAAAACTTTCCTGGAGGGCCTGCTCCCTGCACACCCCTCAGTGGGGAGTGTGAGACTGACCTGCCATGCCTCAATGAAGTCATCCAGGTTTCCTGCCACAGAGCCATTTGGGAGCAACAGGTCATTGCCTGCCTCGTTGTCATTGGTGCCCAAGATGCCTGCTGACATACCTGTGGAGAGAGGCCAGAGAGCAAGGCTGGGTGAGGAAGAGGAGTTGACTTGAGAGGGGGGCAGGAATAAACTTTGAGTCTTATGTCCCACCGTAGAAGATATTGGTGCTGAAAGGGAATGGTAAAAGCTAGGGACTCTTGAATCTGAGTCAAATTCTGCCAAGATACTAAGTAACTGTCTGATCCTGAGCAACGATATGAACACCGGCCTGTAGTTGGGAAGTCAAATGCGCCCTCAAATGTTCACTAGCTGTGTGACAGTGGCAAGTCACTTCACCTCTGTTTGCTTTAATCCACTGGAGAAAGAAATGGCAAACCACTCCAGTATCTTTGCCAAGACCCAAATGGGTTCACAAAGAGTCAGACAACTCTTCATCAAGAACTCAACAACATTCACATAGCACCTACAAGTTTATGAAGCGCTTTACACATATTATCTGATTTGTTCCTCACAACAAACTCTGTAAGGTAGGTAGTGTTATTGTCCCCATTTTACAGATGAGGATGCAGAGATCACACAGTGACTAAAGTGACTGAAGCAAGATTTGAACTCCACTTTCCCTGACTCCAAAGTCTAGCACTCTCTCCACTATGCCACTTCGACCTCAGTTTCTTCATTTGTAAAATGATGGAGTTGGACTTGAGGGCCTCTGTAGTCCAGTCCCGTGACTGGAGGGTTTCCTGAGCTCTGGGCAGTAATAGATCAATGGCTTTCAGTAAGGTCGAGGGGATATGGGCTGTTGATATTCATGTAATATACTTTCTCATTTGATTCCCATGATAACACCTGCAATATTATGGCAGCTATCCTTCACCTCTTTTTTACAGAGAAGGAAACTCATGTTTGGAAAGACTGAATGATTTGTCCAGTATTATACCAAGGACTTAAACCCAAGTCTTTTTTTTTCTTTTTTACTCCAAACTCAATGTTCTTCCTATTCTACTATTCATCACGAAATCAAATTAACTTGAGTCTGGACCATATGATAACTGAGGAGGTGGGGTGTGTTTGGTGGGCTGGTAGGGCAGGGACCTGAATGTTGAAAAGGAACCCAAACAGACCTACTAGCACATACCTAGAGTGTGTGCCAACACCTGGGCGACATACTAATGTCCACACCCACCTATAGACACTTCTTGAGAAAATATCTCCCACTTCTGGGCCTTTGCACTGATTTTCTCCCATACCTGCAACGCCTTCTCACCTATGCCTCCCAGAATCCCCAGTTTCCTTCAAGACTCAGCTCTGACCTCTGTGGGTCATCTGTCTTGGTCCCCTCCCTCCTGCCAGCTACCAAAACCTTTTCTCAGCTTATCTTCCACTTACCCTGTCTGTATCCAATATATACACCTGCCTATCCGTAGACATTTTATAGCGCCTATTAGAATGTAAGTTCCTTAAGGTGTGGGGACTAATTTTGCTTTCTCTTTGTCCCCCAAGGAGTTAGCACAGCTTGACACGTAGTAAAAAGCACCTAATCAGTGCTTAATGTTTGAATGAACCAGAAAGTATCTTTCAGGAGAACTTGCCTTTCTAATTTTAGCACATTTGAGTCTGGACCATATGATAACTGAGGAGGTGTGGGGTATATTTGGTGAGCTGGTAGGGCAGGGATCTGAATGTGGGAAAGGGGCCCAAACAGACCTACAACACACACCTTGTGTGTGGCAACACCTGGGTGACTTACTAATGACTTACTCCCCACCAAGAACACCACACTCCCCCCATACTGGCCTTTTTATTCTTCCTCATATGAAATTCAATCTCTTGATTCTGTATCTTTGCACAGTCCATCCCCTTGCCCCCATTCCTGAAATGCACCTCTTCCTTAGCATCTCTGGTTTTTTCAATGTTCAGCGCAAGTGCCACATTCTGTATAAGGCTTTTCCTGGTCCCTCCAACTGCTAGGGCCTTCCCCCCTAAATTCTCTTTTGATACACGTATATGTCATCTTCCCCAGCTAGAATGTGAACTCCTATGTGGCCCCTTCAGGCCATGAACCACACCCCTGCACTTGTTGAAGATCCAGATTGCAGAACCTGAGGTTATAGGAGAGAGCAAAGTCATAGAGAAATCCCTAAGATGAAAGGATTCCAAGGAAAAACACTTCTTTATCTGCCAGACATGAATGTATATCATATCTAATCTTAGGTCAGTCTAAATGCACCCTCTCTTCTTCCACCCCAGGTGCAATTTCTCAGATGTGGTCATATGATGGAAATGCTTGACTGGATTTCTTTTAGGGACTTAATGTGTCTGGAAGTATTTGATTTAAAGAAAGACAACTTGGGACATGATCACCGTCTTCAGATATCTGGAGGGCTGTCATGGAGGAGGATTAGGCTCATTCTGCACAGCTGTTGAAGACACAGCCAGGATTCAGTGGGTGGAGTTGCCAAGAGGGAACAGTAAAGTCTAGCTATAGGCTCATGAGATCATAGGGCAGAGCAGGAAGATGCCTTATGAATCATCTTGTCTAGGCCCTTCATTGTACAGATGAGAAACTGAGGCCCTTGAGACGTAAACGACTTGGCCAGACTCACAGAAATACTGTAATTAATGACTGCGTCCAACAGTGTGATAGGATGCTGACCCCTTCTTTGCTTTTCCTGAACATGCCATTACCATAGTTCAGGCCCTTATCACTCTGGCCTGGATTATTCTGATTCCTAATTGATCTCCCTTCTCCAATTTTTATCCTCCTCACAGCTGACAAAGTGATATTCCTAATGCCTTTGTAGATATTTTGTATTTATTTATATTATATCATACCTGTCACTTCCCCCATGAAATGTAAGTACCCTGAGGACAGGGACTACTTTGTTTTGTCTTTGTATGCCAGTGCCTAGCACATGTTCGCCTCCCTGATTTTTTTTTTTGACTAGGTAGAAGAGGCCATTGTTTTCCTCATTTCTTACCCAGCCTTAATCACTAGATGGGCATGGCAAGTCAAACTAAGACCTGGGAAAGACCTCAGCTTAAAAAGGCTAAGGTCTCCCACTGCATGGGGCCCTCTCCAGTTGTCCTGATCTATATCTTGCCACTGGGCTCAAAAGGAGAGAGTGAGGCTGATGAATCTGCACCACCCTCCCTCACTTAAATCCAATCCACTTGCAAGTCATGGCACCATGTTGCTGATGTCATGGTCCTCTTCAAGAATGAAGGACAAACAACAACAATAGCCTAGCACATAGTACATTATTACTAAATTTTTGTGGATGAATTAACTGTAGTGAGCTCCTCATCATTGGAACTGCACAAGATGTGACTAGATCACTGCCTACCTGCTGAAGATGCTGTGGAGATTACTGCATTAGTAGAAAGGTTGAACTAGAAATTAGAGGTGGCAAATGCATAGCCTGCAGCCCCCAGAATTCCCAAGTGTGGCCAGGGACCAGATTAAAGTGGAATTGGGAAATATTTAACAAAATAAATCAAAATACAATGCAACATAGATAATGTTAGTTTGTGGTTTTCTAAGTCAGTAGGCACTGCATTTGATACCACTGAACTAAGTGACTTCTAACATCTCTTCCAGCTCTGAGGTTATATGATTCTGTTCAATCTCCAATATTTCCCTTACTTTGTCTGTCTTAGATTTGGTTGTTTCGTTACATCAGTCAAGTCTGACTCTTTGAGACTCCATTTGGGGTTTTCTTAGCAAAGATACTGGAGGGGTTTGCCATTTCCTCCTCTGGTTCATTTTATAGTTGAGGAAAGTGAGGCAAACAGGGTTAAGTGATTTACCCAGGGTCCCACAGCTAGTAAGTGCCTGAGGCCAGATTTGAACTCGGGAAGATAAATCTTCTTGACTGTAGGCCCAGTTCTCTATCTACTATGCCACCTAACTGCTCAGCTTAGATTATAATTACAGATTATATGTCTTAGATTATAAACCACAAAGGGTGGATAGCTTTATCTGTGGCATTCTTTCCATATAAATCCCAGTGCAATAGACGATTATGATTTTGTGATAATAGTAATGATGTTCACAGTCTGTCACAAAATTATGAAAGAAGGCAACCAGACCTTTGTCGTGCCTCTAGGAGTCATAGGGCCCAACTTAAGAAATCCAAAACCCCATTAATAGAAGTAAAGATTTGAGAACGCTAGGCTAGAGACAAAGATATCTTGGCTCCAGTGATGCTGAAGTGAAGACTTACCATGATTCCAGCCATCCAGTGTCATACTACAGAGATCAGACTGAATGTCGCAGGAGACCATAGCACCATTCTCACTGGATAATTCTATTTTATGAACTTCTTTTCTCCCATTGGCCCTGACCTTGGCAGGTAGCAGATCCAAGCTCGGACAATTCTCTTCCATCAAGGAAGAATCATATATCTTGTAGACCTATGATTTGGACAAAGGAATAGAAAAGAACACCTTTAGAATTGGGGTGTCTAACGGAGGATGAAATGGGGAGGAGAGCCTTCAAAGGAGGCAGAATGCTAGCCCTACTAACAGAAAAAGGGCCTTCGGATAGCAGCCACACACATTAATGCCCAACTGTGAATTGGTTCGGCCCTTCTGGGAAACAATTTGGTAAGACTTCCAAAAAATCCCTAAACTGTGCGTACCTTCTAACTCAGTGATGCCGCTATTGTACCTCCAAGAATCCAGGAACGAGGGAAAAGACCCAGAGGTACAAAAATACTTAGAGTAGTTCTTTTTGCAGTGGCAAGGAGCTAGAAACTAAGAGGGGGCATCCCTTGGGGAATGGCAGAACAAATTATATTAATATAATGGAATACTGTTGTGCTGTGAGAAATGATGAAAGTGATATTTAAAATAAAAAATACTATACAATGTAGATACTGTTGTTTGTGATTTTCTGAGTCAATATGTATTGAACTAAGCATTCGATGCCACTGAAGTAAGTGACTTCTAAGCTGTCTTCCAACTCCGAGGTAAAAAGATCAAAGAAACCTGAGAAAACTTGTATGAACAGATGCAGAGTGAAGTGAACAGAGCCAAGTGAAAAACTTGCATAAGGACATTGTGAAGACAACCTTAAAAGACTTGAGATATTTTACCAGTTGCAATGACTGACCATTGTTCCGGAGGACCACTGATGAAGCGTAATACCATCTTTCTCTCCTGCAAGAGTGTTAACGGATTCGAGATACAGGATGAAACATACATTTTGGCACACGGACAACGAGGGAATTTGTTTTGCTTGACTACACAGATTTGTTATGAGGTTTTCTTTTTCTTTTTTTAAATTGGGGTGGGGAGCTTGGAAGGGAAAGAAAATACTATAAATACTTGTTAATTAAAAATAAAATAAAAAACAGCAGCCACAGCTGCTATCCAGGGAACGGTATAGATATGTCTCTAGGGGGATGGCTTGTTGGTATTGTTTGGGGTTCTGCAGTGATGTGGGTAATTATGTTTTCAGCAGCAGCAGCCGTTTGAGATGAGGTCCGAAGAGATTCGTATGGGAAATGTTCATTACAGGAAATGTTCAAGAACAGTCCAACATTAGCCTGGTTAATGTTCAAGGATCAATACACAACAGAGAATCAGATGTGTAATCACACCTTTGCAAATCTCCTTAAGTGTATGATTACCACTGAACAACAAATATTATCCAGCCTCTAGTTAAGGCCTTCAGTATTAAATATTAGGTCAGAGCTGTAACTAGTGCAGGACAAACGTGGCTTTGTTCCAAGGTACTGACATGGAGGGAGTGTATTTCCTCCCCACAGTGACTATTATCCCCACAATGAACAGTCCTCCACTATGTCTCCTTGGCCCATTTGGACTGTCTTCTCTGCTTTAGCCTGTACTACCCCAGACTTTTGTTCCCCAGGTGAAAGAATTCCTAATTATGGCTCTGCATTAGTGATTACAGATGTATGATGAATAGTCATCCACAAAGCATCTTTTGCCTACCCACACCCTGGCAGCTCTTGCCTTGGCTTTCCTATAATAGATTTTATGCTAAGTGGTCCTAGCATCTGATGAATGCTTTCTAATAAGTCAAAGGTGAAAGATGATGCTTGCTTCCAGAATATCCCTCCTACATCTGCCACATTCCTTCATGTTTACATCTCCAAGTCACAGAGCCTTGAGCTCTAGGTAGTGAGGGTGGGTGCCTGTTAAAAAGATTAGGATAGGAGGAGTTATCATTCTTTTCCAGTGCCCTCAGTGCTAAGGTTAATGCCCATCTACCCTAATTTTGTATGTACCTATTTGTAAACATGTCTACTCTTGAAGGCAGGAAGTTTTTTTTTCCCCATTAATATCTCCAGGGTAAGGCAGCTAGATGGTGCTAGGGGGCCAATAGGATAGATCTCCGGGCCTGGAGTCAGGAGGACATGGGTTCAAATTCAGCCTCAGACACTTACTAGCTGTGCAACCCTGGGCAAGTCACTTAACCCTGTTTGCCTCAGTTTCCCCATCTGTAAAATGAACTGGAGAAGGAAATAGCAAACCACTCCAGCATCTTTGCCTAGAAAACCCCAGATGGGGTCACAAAGAGTCAGATGTGACTGAAACGACTAAACAACAACAAAAATTCCCCAGGGCTTAGCATAGTGCCCGGAACATAGTAAGCGCTTAACAAATGCTTACTAATTGACTGATCACAGATTTAAAACTAGAAGTTACCTCAGAGGCCATTTACTCCAACTTTCTCATAGATGAGGAGAGTGAGGCCCAAGGGGGTTACATAGGCAGTGGGTGGCAGGGACAGAATTAGGATCTAGGTCCTCAGCCTCTAGTACTGATAATTTTTTTTCCACTGTACTATGATCTAGTACATTCTCAGTTATCCACATCTGATTAGCTGTAGTAATTTTTCTCTCTTCCAATTGGGTTCCACCCTCACTGCCCAACATAGCCTTAGATTGTTCGCCCCTCCCTTCCACCCCCCCATAATGGTTGATGTGTGCCAGAGAACGTAAACTCATTTTAATGTTGGCCTCAGCCAAAGAGGAGACAATAAATACTTGTTATGAAGGCAAACTGGCAACATCCCAAAGTCAAATACTCTATAAATTACTTTTGGATTATCTGCTGTTTTGGATTATGCTGGATCTTTGCCCTCTCTGGGAATGGGGCCCAATAGGTGTGATCAGAGGCAAATTAACGGGTTCTAAGGGAGGAAACATGCCAGAGGGGGAAGGGGTATATTCAAAGCCATCATCCAAAAATACAAACAGAGTTCACTTTCACACAGGTCACTCAGTCCAGCAGCGCTGGCTTCTTTAAAAGGATTGGCCAGTCTTTACAAGGGAGTTGGGAGCAATGAGTAGTGTCTCACACTTCACCCAACAGCCTGAGCCCTCTTCTCTTTACTGTGCCAGCATCACAGTATGGCCAGAAACCATATCCCAGCCTCTATTCCTTGTGTCTCAACACCTCACTGGAACTTGAGGCCGTAGCTTGGGGGATTCCATTGATGGAGAATCTCTGCCCTAGGGTCACAGGATCACAGTTAGAACTGGAAGGGACTTTAAGATTCCAACTCCTGCATTTTACCAATGAGGAAACTGAGGCACTAAAAAGTTGAATGACTTGCCTGTGGTCATACAGCTAGTGTCTAAGGAGGGATTTGGGCATAGGTCTTAATGATTCTAAGGTCGTTGTACTATCCAGTACACAAAACTGCTTAAATTCTCCTGCATGCTCAGCATACCTTGGCTCCCATGTTTCTTTGGGCTTGTAACAGAATGAAGAAGTCCCCAATGCCTCCTTGAATCTAGAATCTTTCCCCTGCCTGCCCATGATTAGCAAGGAGTAGACCAAGACTGATTATATATCATTTGCAAGTCAAGGTGGCCCGGTCACAAAGGCTGGTAGAACATAAAGTTGATGCACAGTGAAGACATTAACCTTATCTCATAGCCATTAGGCTTTCAATTTTTTTTTTAACCACCTGAGTGATGGGGTGGGTTCCTATCGTGAACCAATTTTTCCAAAATCTATTAGTACATAGCCTGGGGGGGGAGGGGAGAAATAGATCAGATAGATCTGATTACCCTATACCCAAGGTCTTGGAGGTGAGGGGGCATATGGAATGGGAATATCTAGTGGTAACAAATAGAATTTGCATGATTACCCATAGAATACCCTGAAAATCAGCCTGGGCATCCTCTAACCCAGGCAGCTATCAATCATAGGAAGGGTCCTACAGTATATGGGGCGAGTGCAGGGTAAATTAGGGACAGAGGCTATAATTCATGTAAAAAGTGCATATTTTGGGTGGGTAAGTAAACTGCATTTTTATATCAAAATTCCCTGGTGACGCAATAGTAGGATGTGTCTGACTCTTAATGGGGTTTTCTCGGTAAAAATACTGGAGTGGTTTGCCATTTCCTTCTTCAGCTCATTTTACAGATAAGGAAACTGAGGCAAATGGGGATTATGCCCAGGATCATACAACTAGTAAGTATCTAAGGCCAGATTTGAACTCAGGAAGATGAGTCTTCCTGACTTCAGCCCTGGTACTCTACCCACTGTACCATCTAGCTGCTCCTATATGTTGCTAATTTAATGTGTATGCTATATTAATCCCGTGTATGCTATCTTATGCATTCAAAAACATCAGCACTGTGCCTGGCACATAGTAGGTGCTTAATGTTTATAGATTAATCATTCTAGGAGGGGTCACTGGGCTTCACCAGACTAGCAAAGGGGTCACTGACCCCAATAAAGGTTAAGAATCCTTGCTTATAGAAGCAAAAGGTCTGGTTTCAAATCTTGCCCCTAACACTTAATAGCTGTGTGCTTCGAGTAAGTCATTTAATTTCTTTTTTTCTGGTGAGTCAATGGGGTTAAGTGACTTGCCCAGGGTCACACAGCTAGTAAGTATTATATGTCTGAGTTCATATTTGAACTCAGGTCCTCCTGACTCCAGGGCCGGTGCTCTATCCACTGCACCGCCTAGCTGCCCCTAAGTCATTTAATTTCCCCAGGCCTCATTGTCCTTATCTATAAAATGAGGAAGTTGAAGTCGACAAGCGTTTAAGTACTTACTGTATAATAAGCATTGTATTAAGTGTGGGAATATAGGGAGGGAAAGCCCCAAAAAGGCAAAATTAGACGGTCTCTGGGTCCTTTCCAGCTTGGAATCTGTGATCCTAAGATTTTACAGCTCTGGGATGGGGACAGGTCCAGCATCACCATTACCTAGGGGAGCCAGCAAGTGTTGCAACAAGCTTTTTTGCTTTCCCAATGGGTCCTTGGCCCAGGCTGAAGAGAGGCCGTAAGTATGGAGGGCTATAAACAGTTTTCACTGAGCCAGAAACTCTGGGAGGTCCTTTGCCCACCTGGTGAGGGAATCTGGGGGGCAGGCAGGCAAGCAGGGCAGCTGATTCTACCTGCTTCTGGAGCCAATCACTGGCTTCTAGTGAGGTTTCAAAAGTTCCCAGAATATAAACCAGCTTTGTGGGGGTGCTGAGCCAACTCTTACAGCTCATAAGCCACTGGCTGGAGGCCTTTTAAGATGCACAGACTCACACAGAGATGGAGGAGGAGGGGGATTTGTTTAAAGTAGTAATAGGAGGCAAAACTGTGAGATTCCTCCTTCCACCCATCCCCCGCAGGAACTTGCCTGGGGAAACAGGGTAGAGGTAGGGGTCTAAGCCACCACCCAAAAATATTACCAGAATGTTGTTCTGAGGTCGAAAAGCAGTCCACAGAGGTAAGCAGTCCAGAGTTAGACTAGAATCCATGGAAGTAAGGGTTCTTAAGCATGAACTTATTTTTGAAAAATATTTTGATAGTTGTAGTTCAATATATTTGGTTTCTTTTGTAATTCTACATGTTTTACCATATGCATTTAAAAATATTCTGAGAAGGGGTCCCTAAGCTTCGCCAGACTGGCAAAGAAGTCTGTGACCCCCCCAAAAGTTGAAACCCCTTCTCTTAGAGGGAATCCAAAGCAAGGGGCCCAGAAGTCATAGGATCATAGATTCATAGCTGGAAAGGTGCTCAGAGCCCAACCCCCCTGATTTTGAAGATAAGGAAAATGAAGCTAAAAACATGAAGTACCATAGGATCTCACAGGCAATAAGAGGCAAAGTTGGGATTCGAACCCAGGTCCTCTGCTGCCATATCCCATGCCCTTTCCCTTCCTTGTGCCAAGGAGGAAGAAAAAGAAAAGGCTCCCAGGGATGGGTTTTTCCTCATACAACTTCCTCCCTGGTGGCAGCATTTAAGCCCTGCTCCTTCCATGATCAGCTGAGTTATCCTCATCGTGAGACCAGATATCTGTGTCACCATTTTACGTGAGGAGTTAATGAACAGCCTTTCAAGAGTGATATTCTAAAGATTCTGACCCTGCTAATTCTCGAGTGTCATGGGGCAGATGGTGGGGATGTGGTCTTTGCAGAGGAAGGTTATTATACCATTTCTCATTAAGGACGGGACACTATCAGGAAGGGCTCTTTTAAGTGGTAGGCAAAGGGACTCATGGCAGTCATAGTCATTGTATTATTACTAAAAAGCCTCCTTTGGTCTGCATGCCAGTCCCCATTCTACTCGGGGTAATGAAGAGTTGGAAGTATGGTTGAGTCTTCCAGTAGGGGTCATAACTATACATCTCCCCCATCAATAAATCAACCACCACATTGGGTGTAAGCCTCAGGATACAACTTGGGGCTAGAGAGCATGTTGCAAAGGAAAGAACACTAAATCTTGAGTTCTAGAACCCAGTTCTGCCACTTTTTCATTACGACCTTGAGTAAGTCACTTCAATCAATCTGTCGATCACTTCTCTGGACCCCAGCTTCCTCATCAATTAAGGGAGTTGGCCCAGAGGGCCTCTGAGAGCCCTTTCAGCTCTCTGAAGTTCATTCATACATAATTGTTCATATGTTGTCTCTCCCATTAGACTGTGGACTCCTTGAGGGGGTGGATTGTTTTGCCTTTCTTTGCATCCCTGAGTACTTAGCCCAGTACCTGGTACATGGCAGATACTTAAATAAATAGTTATTGATTTGATGGCTTGATGTAAGTCTGTTTCAGTGTTAGATCTTTGATTCTTTGAGAAGCGGGAGCAGGACATGGTTACCATGGGAGAAATATACAGTTAGGATAGCTAGATGCAAAAAAGGTAATCCTATAGGCAACTAGGTGGCACAGTGGATAGAGTACTGGGCCTGGAGTCAGCAAGACTCAGCTTCATGAGTTCTAATCTGGCTTCAGACACTTACTAGCTGTGTGACCCTGGGCAAGTCACTTAACCCCATTTGCTTTAGTTTCCTCATCTGTAAAATGAGCTGGAGGAGGAAATGGCAAACCACTCCAGTTTCTTTGCCAAGAAAACCCCAAATGGGGTCATGAAGAGTAGGACACAACTGAAAAATGACTGAACAATCTTATAATCACACACAATCTCTCTTTCTCTCTCTCTTCTCATTGAGAAGCGGGAGCAGGGCATGGTTACCAGGGGGGGAAATATGCAGTTAGGTCTGAAACACCAATTTGCCCCTGGAACCTTCTTTCTCCCCCCATCTTCTCTTACCTTAAGCCCTGGATAGATGATGAAGGCTGTGTGATTCAGCTCCACATACAGGGATCTAGGTCCTGTGTTTGACTGGTTCAGTAAAAACATGAAGGAGTTGTGAGCAAAGTCTTTGGCGAGCAACAGGCTGCATTTGGAGGTAAGGTCATAGGCCTGTCCATCGAATGTCACCACGTGTCTGTCCCCAATCATCACTGCATGGTCTGGTGGAGAAGAGGCACAAAGCCAGCGTTATGTTCTGGGCACACTCAACTATTAACACTTGAACTTTTAGGTCCTAGGGTGTGACTAGGATAAGGAATCGCCCCTGGGATACGGGTTTGCCCTGTTGATGAGCTCCCCTGGCTACCAGCTGAGCATTTGAGGAAACCTGCAGGGTTTTGCCTCTAAGCCCACAGCCTCACACAGCAGGTAAGAGAACTGCAAAGGACTTTAGAAATCAGAACTTCTCACCTAAACTTTTCTTTTATGGAGAAGGAAATGGGGCTCTCTGCTGAAACCTCACACTGTTTTGGCATCTTACAGCTGACAAAGCACAAAATCTTATTTGATAGATGGTGCAGAATCAACTATGGTTCTTTGGCTTGTAGGTGTCAGATTTCGAGTCATCTGACTGCAAGGACACTATGTTGGGCCCCTTTGCGAGGTCCCTCACCCTCTTACACTCGTGAGGTTCCCCAGAATAGAAAACCCAGGAACACTTAGGGCTTGAAGGTGATTTGACGGTATTTCAAGGATGTGTCCAAATGTTAATCTGGTGCTGACTTCTCTTCTCCCCCTCCCCCTGCCTTCCTGGCTCTGGGTCATTTCAGTCCTTCTTGACAGGAGGGTAGAGGGCAAGGCAAGGAGGGGAAACTGTCTAGGCCATCTATCACCATCCCATGTCAGCAGCTCTGGAGGTTTGGTGAGGAAAGGCTGAGAGGATTTTGGGAGAAGTTACACTTCAGGTCGCTTTTACTGGGCATCTTTTCCTTTTCCCACTACATTAGCAGGCGGACCTGAGGCTCCCTGGAGTAGAACAACCCTGGAAGTTAGCCTTAGGACTATGAACTCTCTTGTCTTGTTCACTAATCATTTCAAGGGCATAATTCTTATCTCCACAATTAAACCAAGCTCTTCCAGGGCAGGGCAGTGAGAGGGGCAGTATGGTTAGGTACTATTGGAAGTCCTGGGTTCAAATTTCACCCCTATAATTTATAACCTGTGTGATCTTGGGCAAGACCCTTACAAATGATAGATTCAGAGCTAAAAGGGACCCTAGATGGGCTTCATTTTACAGATGAAGAAAATGAAGCCCTGGGAGGTTAAACAACTTGCCCAGGGTAACACATTTAGCATCTGAGGTTGGATGAAAACCCAAGTCTTCCTGATTTCGAGTTCAGTACCTTGCCTCTTTCAATCTCTTACTTTAACCTCAGTCAGGCCTCAGTTTCCTCTCCTGTAAAATGAGGGAAGTGGACTCCATGACCTCTAATGTCCTTTCCAGTCTATGATCCTACTATTTATTAGCAATGTGACTTTGAGCAAGTCAATTAACTTCTGCATGCCTCAGTTTTCCACATCTGTACACTAGAAATAATTATACCTAGATCACCTTCATGTTATGAGTAGTAGTAAATGAGCTAATGTATGCAAAGTGGTTCCTAGTGGGTAAATACTATGTAGAATGTGAGCTACTCTTCCCTCCCTCTATCTCCTTCTGCAGTGAGTGGTACAGCTTTATAGCAAGTCACTTGATTTTCCTGGGCCTCAGTTTCTTCATCTGTAGGGCTGGAGTAGATAACTTTTGATGTCCTTCCTAGCTCTAAATCTTCGCTGCTATCCTCTGCCTCTTCAAAAAAAGGAAGGAAAAGAACAGAAACTCAAATAGGGAGTGAATCTAATACACTAATGTAGGCGCTCCATAAATGTGTGCGCCTCAACTTTATGACTGGCCAATCAGAGACGGGCAACACAGCGAGAGGCCCCCTGAGAGAGGTGGTGTCCATTCTCATTTCTGAATCAGTTGGAGCTCCCACATGATGCGGTTACAGTGGTTGAGGTGGAGACAGGGACCATTCATTCTCAAGCAGGAAAATAAAAATCCCAACTCCTCCCTCAAACCAACTGTCCCTGGAGGCACCATTTTCTAAACCTCATTGGTCCTTTTCCCAGGAAGTGGTCTGGCTCGGCTCTTGCTTCTCAATCTGCAGATGGAGATCAATCCCCTGGGCCTGGGGATGGGGGGAAGGGTTAAGTCTGGATTTAATTACCATTCGTTTGGCCTTTCTGACTTCCTGATTTAAAAAAAAAAAAAGCTCTTCTCGGTTCTGTGTATTATATGAGCCCCACCTCCTCCTACCCCTCAACTTCCTTCGGAATCAGAGGGGTCTTTTGGGCTTTTGGAGCCAGCGTACTCCAAGGCTTGGGAGGAGGTCTAGCTGCCGCCCGCTGCTGAGGACTCTACTTTCTCACCCTTTTCATCCCCCCCAACCTTGGCCTTTGGGCCTGTGCAAGAACCCTGTCATTCGTTTAAAGCAAGGCTCCTTAACGTGGGGTCTGTGAGCGCATTATTTTAAAAAATATTTTGATAACTATATTTCAACATAATTGGTCTCTTTTATAATCCTATGGATTTTATTTTAGGCATTTAAAAACATTATTCTGAGAAGGGGTCCATAGATTTCATAGAACTGCAGAACGGTCTGTGAAATGGCAAAGGTTATGAACCCTACTTTAGTGGTTAGTCCAGTTCTGAGAGCTCAAAAAACAACCAGTCCTATTTGTGACTTCAACTCTGTTTCCTTAGAATTTTTTTTTTTAGTGAGGTAATTGGGGTTAAGTGACTTGCCCAGAATCACACAGCTAGTGAGTTTTTAGGTGTCTGAGGTCAGATTTGAACTCAGGTCCTCCTGACTCCAGAACTGGTGCTCTATCTACTGTGCCACCTAGCTGCCCCTAGAAATTGTTTTTTTCAACACTATGCTTATCTAGCCCCAAATCACACAGAGGCCTGCCCAGTTAGGGCAAGCCTCTCCAAACCAGAGAGTCAATATGGCATATGGAAGACCCAGATACAAATTTTGCCTCAGACATGTACTAGATGCAACTATGGAAAAGTTACATAAGTTTTCTGTGCCTCAGTCTCGTCTGTAAAAATAAAGGGGTTGGATTCAATGGTCTTTAAGGCTCTAAATTCATGGTCTTATGAACTTTGGGGCCTGGGAGTCAGAAGGTCTGGGTTCTCTTCTAGGGCACATTTCATGTCTCTGGGCCTTAGGTTTCCTCCCCTGTAAAATGAGGAGGATTCAGTTTTCTCCTCTATCAAATGAGGGGATTGGACTTGAAGTTATTTCCTAAAGTTCTCAGCTTTAGGTCTGTGAGCCTTTAAGTTTGTGGCTTTGCTGTTATGTCTCCAGACACATTACTTACCATCTTTACCCCCCCCCCCATTGATCACTGCTGACTTTTTCCTTAAAGGGCCAGGATAAATGGGGTAGAAGGGGATGGGAAAAGCCTCCCCAAAACCCTTGAGAAACCAAGGAAGGGGGAAGATGGGGAGGGTCTTACGTTCAAAGGGGTTCTCCAGCAGCCGATGTTTGATCCGGTAGTACTCCGCCAGGAGGTTGATGCCATACAGCTCACGGAGGGGCTGTAGCAACTTCTCTTCGATGAGATAGTTGGTTACCTTGGCCAAGTCCATTGGCTGATCCCTCCTGGCAGCACTGGAAGCCTTACCACCACAGAGCAGTTCCTGGAGGGGACACACAGAGATCCCTGAGATGGGGATCAGGACCTGCCTGAATCAGAATCAGAGGTTCATAGAACCTAAAAGTTGGAAGGGACCTCTGAAATCTTTCAGTCCAATCCATACCTGAATGGGAATCACCTCTACAAAATCCCCGCCAAGCAAACCTGCAACTTCTACCTGAAGATTTCTAGTGGTGGGAGAGAGACAGTTAAGTGATTCAGTGGACTGGAGTCAAGGGGACCTGAGTTCAAATCCAGCCTCCGACACTTACTAGCTGTGGAACCCTGGGCAAGTCACTTAACCTCAGTTTGCCCCTGTTTCTTCAGGGCTATTATCAATTTCCTCTGCTATAAAATGGGGATATAGACAGCCCTCACCTTGCAGGGTTGTTGTGAGGAAATAAGATAGTATTTGTAAGCTCTTAGCCGTGCCTGGCACACTGTAAGTGCTTATTCCCTTCCCCTTATTCCCCAGTGGGGATTGATTTTCCCTTTGTGCTTCTAAGTTCCTCTCCATTCAGGTCAATTACAATTAACAAATATTTACTAAACACCACCTACTATGTGTCAGGCACGGGTGCTAAGCATGGGCACTGTGAAGGATCACACCACCCACAATACTCTCTTAGCTCTTTGTCTTTTCATTCTGGGGGAAAAAAAATGAAAAGCTTGGATGACTGAAAAAGCATTTATTAAGAAATGATGGTGTGCCAAACACTGCATTAACTTTTGAGGTTGTAAATTGACAGCCCCAGCTCTCAAGAAGCCCGTGTTCTAGTAGGGAAATAATAGTTGCAGAATGGATGAGGAAAGAAAGGAGGCAGGGAAAGGAAAAGGAAAAAGGAGGTCACCAGCTGCTGTCCATTTAATTCAATTAAACCAGCATTCACTGAGTGCCTACTAGGTACCAGAAACTCTGTATTGGGGCTACAAAGACAAAAACCAAAACAGTCCCTGGCCCCAAGAAGTTTGTATTCTATTGGCACATAGTCCAGTGAATCTTTCCCCCAGGCATTAGCATGAGAACAAGGGAAACCTTGTTCAGGGTTGAAGTCAATAAACGAGAGAGAGAAGGAAAAAAAAAAAAACAGAAGGGAGCTTATCTGTGGTTTGGCACCAGCAGAGGAGGGCAGGCATTTTCCTCTGGAGCAAAGGATGCTTTTTAGAAGAAGGGACCCCCTGGTCTGCTATCTAGGACTCATAAAGTGGTGTCTGGGAGCCAATCTTTTCTTTCCAACGGAGCTGGCTCCTGGTTGCCACCTTCCCTGCTGAGCTCAGCCCAGCCCAAGTCTCAGGACCTATGGCTGCCTTAGCAGCTCAGTCCAAACGCTGTGGATCTAGCCCATGATAGATACAGCGGAAACAAGCCAAACTAGGAAATGGAAGAGAGAGGTTCTCCCTGACTTCAGATTCAGCCTCAGAGACTTACTAGCTGTGTGACACTGAACAAGTCACTAAACCTCTCCAAGACTCAGTTTTCTCATCTATGAAATGGGGATTATAATAATAATAGCATCCACCTCACAGGGTTTTTGTGAGAATCAAATATCATATATAAAGCACTCCATACATCTTAAAGCACTATATAAATGCTACCTATCATCATCATCATCATCATCACTACCACCACCACCATCATCATCATCATCAACAGCAATAATAATAATAAACCAAGCCACTCTTAAGCAATTTGATGACAAAATTCAATACACATTCATTCAACAACTATAATATGTGACACACTGCGGTAGGCGTTGACCATACAGACTGATGACACAGACCTTGCCCTCAAGGAGATTGTGATCTAATGGGGAAAGGGACAAATATGCCATGACATCATTATGGTAAAATGGAAACTGTTTGAGAGTCGGAATTGTTTCCTTCATCGGATTTTTATCCCTAGGGCCTAAGGGCCTAACAAAATGCTCTTTGATTGATTGAGAAGTTTAAGCGCCAAGGTAAAGTGACCCTGGGCAAGTCACTTAACCTCTGTTTGTCTTAATCCACTGGAGAAGGAAATGGCAAACCACTCTAATATCTCTGCCAAGAAAACCCCATGCAAAGCATTGGTGCGATATGGTCAATGGGTTATGAAGAGCTGGTCACAACTGAACAACAATAACAAGTATAAAGGTGTGGCCCAAAGTGTTCCAGGAAACATGGGGAGGAAGGATTACTTGCTTTTAAAACAATTTTTATTTTGCCCTTTGTATCACCTTTATTTCCAAATATATCTCTTTTCCAGTCTACTCTCTCCAGAAGCGTCAATGATCTCTTAATGGCCAAATCTAATGGATTAATGGACAGCCTTTTCTCAAACCTCATCCTTCTTAACCTCTCTGAAGCTTTCAGTACTATCAACCACCCTCTTCTCCCTGATACATTCTTCTCTTTAGGTTTCTGTGACATTAATCTATCTCGATTTTCTTTCTACCTGTCTGACCCCAGTGTCCTTTATTAGATCTTCACTGAGGTTGGGCCTACTAGCCGTAGGTGTCTGCCCAGGCTAGGTTCTGTGCCCTCTTCTCTCCTCCCTCTATATTATTTTGTTTGGTGACCTCATCAGCCTGCATAGATTCAGGGATCACCTCCATGCAGGTGATTTTCAGATCCACTATCCAGCCCTAACTTCTCTGCTGACCTCCAGTCTCACATCTCCAACTCCCTATTGGACATCCCTAGCTGGGTGTCTCACCGACACCTTAAATTCAACCTGTCCAACAATAAACTCATTATCTTTCCTTTCAAGCTTTCCCCCTTCCTTTCTTCTTATAACCGTTGAGGGTACCACCCTCTTCCAGTCTCCCAGGCTTTCAACCTAGCTGTCATTCTCAATTCCTTATTCTTTCTCCCTATCCCCCATACCCAATTTGTTATTAAAGCCTATCAATTTATTTTTGTAATCTCTCTCCTATACATCCCCTTCTCTCCTCCAACACTGCCACTACCTTGATGCAGGCCCTCATCACCCCACACCTGAACTATTGCAAGAGCCTTTTGGCCGGTCTCCCTACTTCAAGTCTCTCCCTACTCTGGACCATCCTCCACTTAGCTGGCAAAGTGATCTTTCTTCTTTTTAAAAAAATTTTTTTTGTAGGCAATTAGGGTTAAGTGACTTGCCCACAGTCACACAGCTAGTAAGTGTCAAGTGTTTAGTCTGAAGCCAGATTTGAACTCAGGTCCTCCTGACTTCGGGGCCGGTGCTCTATCCACTGCACCATCTCGCTGCCCCAAAAGTGATCTTTCTAAAGTGCATATCTGAGACCCACATGTAACAAATATATTTATAGCAACTCTTTCTGTGGTGGCAAAGAATTGGAAATTAAGGGGATGCCCATCAGTTGGGGAACGGCTGAACAAGTTGTGGTATATGAATGTAATAGAATACTATTGTGCTATAAGAAATGATGAGCAAGCGGACTTCAGAAAAACCTGGAAAGACTTGTATGGACTGATGCTGAGTGAAGTGAGCAGAACCAGGAGAATGTTGTACACAGTAAACAGTCATGTTGTGCAATGACTAACTTTGATAGACTTAAACCCTTCTCAGCAATACAAGGATCTAAGACATCTCCAAACGTCTCATGATGGAAAGTGCTGTCCACATGCAGAGAAAGAACTCTGGAGTTTGAATGCAGATCGAAGCATGCTATTTGCTCTTTTTTTTCTTCTATTTTGTTTTGTTTCTTCTTTCTTGTGATTCCTCTTATGGGTTCTAATTCTCTTCTACAGCATGACTAATGTGAAAATATGTTTAATAGGAATGTACACGTGTCAAGCTTATATCAGAGGGAGGCGGGGAGGGATGGGGAGAAAATTTAAAATTCAAAAGCTTTTGGAAGTGATTGTTGAAAACTAAAAATAAATAAATTAATTAATTTTAAAAAAGACTAAGGGGTAAGACTGAGGAATACCCAAGTTCCCCAAGTCCAGCACCCTCTCCTCTGTGCCCTGTCAATCAAGGCCTTTTCTTATGCCTTACTGTGATATAGAATTGGCCTTGTGTCCTTGAAAGCCAACGCTCATGGAGTGACTGATAGGATAGGTCCCAGAACAGCTCAAGATCAGCAACCAGACTACTGTAAACTTCCTTGAAATTAACTTAAATGGGGGGCAGCTAGGTGGCACAGTAGACAGAGCTCCGGCCTTGGAGTCAGGAGGATCTGAGTTCAAATCTGGACTCAGACACATAACACTTACTAGCTGTGTGACCCTGGGCAAGTCCCTTAACCCCATTGCCTAACCAAAAAAAAAAAAAAAAAGAAATTAACTTACATGATCTAACCCTTTTAAGGGTAGGTTCTCTAACTACATATTTCAAAGAGAGACAGCATAAAGCATGTATCTGGTAGAGTTCTCTTTTTAAAAGTAAAAAATGTTACGGTAATCATGGAGTAAAAATAAAACCTGTCTTAAACCATGATTTGTTTTATTGGTTGATGGGAAAAGGCAAGGCTGTTTTCAAAATGAACTTCAACACAAATTTGTTACAGATTTATGAAATAAATGTGAATTTTTCAATTTTCAAATCTAAAAAAAATTAAATAAAGTGCATGTTTGACCATGCCACCTCCGTAATCAAACTCCCACCAGGATCAAACATAAAATCCTCTTCTAAACTTTCCAGCTTTTTTTACACCTTACACATTTTTTACACGTATTTCATCATCCAATGGCATTGGTCCACTTGCTGTTCATTGACACACAAGACCTATCATCTCCCTAATCCAGGCGTTTTCACTCTTTGTTCCCCGTACTTAGAATCCTCTTCTTCATCATCTCTGCTTCCTGGCTTCCTTCAAGACCCATCTAAAATTCTACCTTCTATGAGAGTCCTTTCCTGATTTCCTTTAATATTAGTGCCTTTCCTCAGTTGATTATTTCCAGGCTATCCTTTATACATCTTGTTTGTACGTAGTTGTTTACATGTTGTCTCTCCCGTTAGACTGTGACCTCTTTGAGGGCAGGAACTGTTCTTTGTTCTTGTTGTTGTCTTGCCTATCCTTGTATCCCCCACGTTTAGCACAGCACCTGTGCTTAGCAAGTTCTTGTTGTGTTGATTTATTGACTCCTCCCAACCCAAACATCCATCCCTTGTAACAAAAAGTAAAAAAGAGAGGAAGAAAAAACCATTTAGCCATACTAAGCTATGCGTCAGCTGAGTCTGACGGTATACGTACAATTCTACACCCATAGCTCCCCATTTCTGCAAAAAAAAAAAAAAGGAGAGAGTAACGTCTCTTCTTCAGCACCATGCTTGGTCATGATGGTTACAAAGACTTCAGCTTCTTTTTAGTCTGGCAAATACCACTTTCACCTGATAGTTGGGGAAGGCTCTATTGATAAGGTGGTGATGATTTGAGCCTTGAAAGGTAAGTTTTCAGTGATGAAGGGAAAAGGAGGTAAACTTATTCCGTGTGGGCAAAGTACTGGAGATGAGAGAGATCAGGAAGGGAACAAGGAATAGAGAATGAGCACAGATTAGCTGGAACATTGGCTACTGGAAAGGAAGGAGCATGAGTAAAAGCTAGAGGCAGATTGGGGAGAGCCTTGAATGCTGAGATTAAGAATTCATCCTTTATTCTAAGACACTTCCAAAAGTTTCATGAGGGAAAATGTTATCCACATCCAGAGGAAGAACTATGGAGTTGGAATGCAGATTGAAGCATACGATTTGCTCTTTCTTTTCTTCTGTTTTGTTTTGTTTCCTCTTTCTTGTGATTCCTCCTATTGGTTCTAATTCTTCCTTACAACATGACTAATGTGAAAATATGTTTAATAGGAATGTATATGTATAGCCTATTTCAGATCCGTCTTAGGGAGGGAGGTGGGGAGGGAGGGAAGAAAATTTAAAACTCAAAAGTGTATGGAAATGATTGTTGAAAACTAAAAATAAATTAATTAAAAAAAAGGAAGAATTTATCCTTTATTCAATAGCGAGTAAGTGATGCATTAAGAAAATCATTTGGGCAATAGTATGGAGGATGGATTGGAGAGGGGGTACTTCTCTGGCTTTTGGCTTCTTAGGTCAAATGGGGAAAACCATGCCTCCTCTGCCTAGCAGACAAGAGCACTTTGGGGTTTAAATTAAATAACAGATGAGAGGGGCAGCAAGGGGTACTGTAAAGGACAGAAAGCTGGCCTCAAGGATGACCTGGGTTCAAATCCCACCTCTGACACATACTAGCTGTGTGACCTTGGGAAAATCTAGGCAGTTATCTACAACTATTAAATAGCTGAATGAATACTGATCTTCAGGGCAGAGGAAATTTCCCCTCCAAGAGTTGCTGATCCAGAACACCACCAATAAAATGCCTCTTTCACTCCCGTTACCTCGCAGAGAAGCTGTAAATACTGGACAAAGGTTTCCGTATTCTTCGTATTGCTCTGGAGAACTTGGCTTCTGCCCACTTCAGTATCTGGTGGGCAGCCTGGGGAAGAAGGGGCCAAAATAGCCACAGTAAGAAATCAGCCTCCCACTCCCTCCAGTTGTGGTTATCATGATTGCCCCCTCACTCCCAGGATGCACAGCTATTAGCCTAATAGGGTACCTGAGCCACAACCCACTGTCCGTCCCTGAAGGAGTAGGGGAAGGGGTGGGAGGACATGTCTGGGACTTACCAGATCTAGGGCACCCTTCACAGCTTGTAGAGACAGCAGGATTGGCCTCATGAGCCAAGTGTCCTTCATCCCTGAGGGCACATAGGCCTGCATCCTCTTCATAGCCTCCTCAGTCCTCTCCTGCCACACCTCATCCAGGGGTTTGAGTGTGACCTCGTAGTAGGCATCCTTCAGCGTGGCTAATGGCTCTGCAAGAGTTAGCCATTCCTAGCCCTCCAGCTGGAGACCTCTTGGAGCTCCCTTGAGTGGGGGGACAGCAAACCTTTCCAAGCCCGGTCCTACTCAAACAGGGGTGGGGGACCTGAGGCCTTGAGGTCCTTGGGTGTGGCCTTTTGCCTGAGTCCAAGTTTTACAGAACAAATACAGAATAAATTAAGGGGATTTGTTCTGTGAAGTTTGGATTCAGTCAAAGGGATACACGGGAGGATCTAGAAGGCCACACATGGCCTCGAGGTTGCAGGTTCCCCACCCTTGTTACTAAGGCCTCTCTAACTTGAAGCCAGGAGTCCCAATGCCTCAGACAACAAACAAGCACTGGTCTGAGTGCCCAGAGCCTAGAGTAATCCAGGAAGTCGATGTGAAGGAAATTATTTATTCCCTCCCTCTCCTTTCTCTGATCTCTGCTTGGTTCCCAGGAGATTCTGTAGGGAATATTGGGGGGCAAACAGGGGAACAAAATGAGACCCAGGGGAACAGTCACTTACTTTGCAGCTCACTCTGTGTCTGTTCCATAACGGTCTGGAGTCTCTCCAGGTGCAGGGGGAGGTGATGTCTCAGCACCTGCCTGGCTGAGCTTTGCCTCCATAGTCCAGCTGCTGCTCTACCCCCTGCCTGGAGTGCTCTCACAGCAGCCTGGGACATCTGCAGGACCCAGCCAGCTGCACCGTCCAGGAAGTCAATCTGATGCACCTGCCAGCCCAGAGAGGAAATCCCCTGACTGTCAGCAGCCCTGAAGGCTAGAGAATCTCCTCTGGCCCCTTCACCCTCCTGAGAACCCAGGCCTGGAGTCTCTGGGAAGTTTTGGCTCCATTCCCAGGGCACCAGAGCCTTTATCTGGCATAACTTTAGATATGAAAAAGGTTCCTTTTATCTAACAAAGAGTCGAGTTAGTGTGTGATAAGGGATTTTCCACCCACAAGGCCACTCCCTGATTCAGAGAGCTCTGCCCTGGACTTCAGAGATAGGGCACCGGTTTACAAAAATTGGCAACCCCCCTCCCAACTCCTTATATTTTTCCATCACCCAACAGTCCCTCTGATACCTTCTATCTCCCTCTCATTTCCCCTGGCCCCTAATATTTCTCCTCCCTTACCCTATATCCCACCTAAGTCCATATGTCCATCAACCACCCAATTCTCCCACTACTTCCATAGCTAGGCAAGGTAACAGGACTAATATTGTCATGCTCTGTGAGACAATCTCACCCTCAGTGGAAGGCAGAATAAAAGCAAAATCAAGCTGAATGAAAGAGGAAGCATGGTTGAAACTTTGATGCCCTGTTACCAAAGCTAGGATTCTTCCTCAGTGAGTGAGCCCAGCCCCCAGAACCATCCAGAAATAGAAGAGGCCAGGCTTGGCCAGGCCAACGCACCACGTCCCGGAACTTCTGGAGGTAGGTGTCAAACAGCTGGAACTTCTCCACGAGTCTGGCTTGTAGGTGAGAGCCAACCTCGGCCAGTTTGGACTGTGGAAACATGAAAGCAGGACTGGGTGAGATAGAGACAGCCTGAGCTGGGCTTGTCATAGGCTACTTCAGCTAGGACTGGAGAGGCAAAGACAGAGGAGAGCCCAATAGGTTATGTGAATAGTCCATTCTCTTCATTTATTTTATCTACTTCAGGAAATATAGATAGATATAGAAATAGATATATATATATGCACACATGCATATACATACATACACATATATGTGTATATACAGATAGAGCTTAATAAATGCTGTTTTCTGAAATCTACCTCTTTCATGAGTTGTAGGTTATACTTTCCTTGAGTGGGGCTCCACTTAAGGTCCCCCCGCTTTGACATGTTGTGAGAGGCCTGGGCAGGTTTACCTCCATTTGTATATTTATATATGTATATATAAATTCCCCCAAGAATATATAGAAATATGTTATTTTTTCATATTTTATTGTTATATAATATATACGTATCTGTATATGTAAATATACATACACACATATATGTATGTATGGATATTTGTATGTATGGATATATGTATATATGTATCCTTGGGGGAATCTGTAGGTGTTAAATATTTAGCTCTTCTCCATCAGAAGGAGACAGGATGTATAGGAAGCAGGAGTTTATGCGACATTTTCCCCTTGGCAATTTTCATCTATTCAGATGGACCTGTGATTTCATCGATTTGGGAATTTCTTTCAATGATGCAGTGCAGACTGCCACATAGCCCTGCCTCTCCATGCTGTGTGACTCTTGTCGGTGATGTCCCAAAGGGGCCAATCCTTAAGGGGAAGCTCTAGACATGGTGGTTTGGAGAGATAGAGTGGCACTAAAAATTGGACTTTGTTTGCTTAAACTTTAACACTCCCAATTAATTATTTAATTATATTCATATATTATGTAATGATGTATAATATACTATAATAATAATTAATCAAATGAATCAATAATGTTACAAACAATAATCCCTTATACCTGGATATCCCTTTTATTTCCCAACCTTCACAGCAATTATCCCACCCTATCTTCATCCTCTCCCCAGCCTGGGTAGGTACGAAGGCTAGGGAGCGTTCTCCCCATTGGACAATTGAGGAAAAGAAGGCACAAAGAGGTGGGCTGACTTCTCCAATTTATTCTAGATCACATAGGAGGTGATAGAGCAGAAAGCTGAAGCTGAGCCCCAATCTACTTCCTCCTAGCCCAGGTCTCTTCTAATTTAGGCCATCTACTTATTTCTCAGAAGCCAAAATGGCGGGGCTGAGGAGAAAGGAATGGGAAGCTACCTGCCCACCCCTAATAAAGATGGAAAATATGTCAAGAAAAACCAAAGATTATGCCTTCCCCATCTCTGAGCTTTGACTCTCCAAACTCCACTTTCTTCTCCTCATCTGATATATTGCCCCTCCCCTAAGGCTGTGCCCTGGGGCCTTCCTCTCCTCATTGGTGACTGTTCTCATTTTAGGAAAGACTTCAGCCCTTCTTCACATCTCTCTTGTCTCAACCCTACTCCTTACCCATTTACTAGCATCCTTATATGAGTTGTTCTCCTACGTTACAATGAAAGCTTCTTGAAGGTAGGGACCATATGCCAGACTTAGCCCAATGCCTGGCACTAATAAATGCTATATTTTCTGGAATCTACCCCTTCAGAGCCATAGATTCAAAACAAGCCACCACTCTCTCCTCTTCATTGGGCCCCACTAAAGGATACACACCCCTGCCCCACCCTCATCATGTCATGCCATACGGAGGGGCCTATGTAAGTTTACCTCCATATTCCCAATGGGGGTGATGCAGCCATGTGCAGCCAGGCTCAGACTCTGGTTGGCGGCCCTGAGAACCAGCTGGCCCAAGTGTTCATTTTGCCCACCACTAACACGAAGCACGGCCTCAGCCTTGGCCACCTGCCTTCCATCAGAGCAGGCACTGATCTCCACACCCTCCTCCTTTGTCCCTAGGGCAAAACAAAACAAAAAAACAAAAACCAAAACCAAATTAATTCACTAGGATGCTTCTCATTTGGCTTCTCTGACACTGTCCCCTAAGGGGACAGGGCCATACTTAAAATAGACTGGATATTAACTATTGAACATGTATATATATATATATATATATATATATATATATATACACACACACAGCTATATACAAAGTAGATATAAGAATTTTGGGGGGGAGGAGAGGGCATGTGTGTGTGTGTGTGTGTGTGTGTGTGTGTGTGTGTGTAGATCAGGAAAGGCTTCACGTAGAAGGAGGCCCTTGAACTGAGCCTTGAAGGAAGCCAAAGATTCTAAGTGGTGGTGGTGAGGAGAGAATACATTCCAAGCACGGGATGGGAGACAGCCAATTCAAAGGGCGGGAGCACATTTTGGTATTCTTCACAACACTTAACAGTGCAGGGCACACAATAGGTGTCCAATAAATAAATTTTGAGTCAGACTGAAGCTAGATTACTGGGAGGAATTGCCAAGGACTGAGGTCACATTTGTACCCCCCCCAATGAGAGTTTCCCTAGGGACAGAGAAGGATATCAGCTCCAATCAGGGTAAGCCCTTCAAAGTAAGTGAAGCTTATTCCCAAAGGGGAGATGTGAAAAGATATCTCTTCTCTCCCTCCCCTGCTCCTCTGCAGATGTTGGGGTCCACAAAGCATGGAACCTTGCATTTAACATTAGATTTGCTTTTTGATATGTTGCTCTGCTTTACTGAATTATTTTTCTCTTTTGTTCCTTTTTGGTTTTTTTTTTTAATCCTTTGTTAAAAGGAATAACTCTCTAGGGAGGGGGAGGGATACAGGAGGAAATCTAGGCAATATAATAAATAAATAATATTTTAAATCTATTAAAATTTCTTTAAATGTAAATTTGTCTTTTCTTGTTTGAGTTTTCTATTAATGACAATCCACCACCAGCACCACCCAATATTCATTTGACATGTTTTATATGGCCTGACGACAGACTAGCAGCAATGGACAGAGGCAGATTTTGGCTGGATATAAAGAAAATTTCCCTAACAGTTACAACTACTCCTAAGTAGAATACCTTCCCTTGGGAGTTAGTGAGTTTTCTATCACTGAATCTTTAAGCAGTAGCTGGATAGCCATTTGTCCAGTATGTTACAGAGAACATACCTCTTCAGGCATGGGTTGGACAAGATGAGCCTAGTCGGCCCTTTCAGCCATGAGACTCTAAGGTCCTTTTCTCTGTATAACATACACATTTCAGTACAGGTGTTTTCAGTCATGTCCAGCTCTTTGTGACCCCATTTGGGTTTTTCTTGGGAAAGATACTAGAGTGGTTTCCCATTATCCTTCCCCAGCTCATTTTACAGATGAGGAAACTGAGGCAAACCTCAGGATTAAATGACTTGCCCAGGGTCACACAGCTCTTAAATGTCTGAGGCCAGATTTGAACTTGGAAACAGGAGTCTTCCTGACCTCAGGTCCAACACTCAATCTACTGTGCCACCTAGCTGCCCAAAATACACATACATATTCCCAAAGATTACTGCTGCCATCACCTACCTTTTCCATATGCCAGGTAAGCCCAGAGACAGTCTGGGGCTCGGGAAGCTGTCAACTCCAACTTTTCCTCTCTTTCCATGCTTCCCTGTAGCAGGACTACACTCTGAGAGGCTGATTCAGTGACTCTTCCCAGCAGGCTTACTTGCTGATCTCCTGGTGCCCTCAGCTATAATTGAGAGAGATATTTGAGTTTATTGGGTTGATCATAACCCTCTCCTGCTCTCTATCACAGGACCCAAGAGGAGAATGTCAGAGGATGTGCTGAGTGAAGGGAGAAAAAGCAATAGGACTGACCATCTTCCTTACATCTTCTCTGGCTCCCCAGTTTCCCTCCCTCCTATAGCTCTGAATAATAATGATGCGGAGGAAAACATTAGGTTCTGAAGTAAAAAGGCAATAAGAGAGACTCTATTATATAGGACAAGTAACTGGTCCCCTAGGTAATGTGGGCATCAAACTGGAGGCTCCCTTGCCCCCTAAATCTCCGGCATTGACCTGCCATGCCCACTTATATAGAGTCATAAAATCAGTTCCTCATCTTTAAAATGGGGCCAATAAGGAGAGAAAGTGTGGTACAGGGGGTTAGAGCACTGAATTTGGAGTCCAAAGCCCTAGGTTCTAATCCTGCCTCTTTCACTACAGAGGGAGCATCTGTCACTTGGGTGACCTTGAGTAAGTCACTGGGGCCTCAGTTTCCACATCTATAAAATGAGTGGATTGGAGTAGGTGACTTCTCAGGGCCCTTCTCGCTCTTATTCTATGATATGATATATGATGTGATCCATGTGCCGCTGAACATTTTCTAAGAGAAAATGTATGCCAAACATTTTGAAAACTGTATAGCACCACTGTATGTGAGAACAGAATCATAGCTCTAGATAAAGCCAGAAGGGACCTCAACGGCCATCTAATCCAACCCCTTCATTTTACAGCTAAGGAAACTGAGGCCCAGAGCAGGTTAAATGACTCATCCAAAGTCACATTGGTAGGATCGGAGGCAGAGTTTGAATCCAGGACCTCGGACTTCAGAGTCAATGTACTTTCCATGGTCCAATGCTGGGGTTGCTATTTCTATCATGGGAGGAAGTAATAGGAATACTTATTAAGCTTTTCTGCAGGAATGGAGGCCCTGGGGCCATGATGATGGGGAAAAGCAGCTCATCTCTCTGTGGATTATGGGCTATAAGGGACTGACTATGACCAAGAGGGAAGGATATTGTCCAAGGAGATAGGGACATTTTTGCCTCCAGCACCTGCCACTAGATGGCAGTGTGATGCAAGCAGAAGCAGCCTGCCTCCCTTTCCTCACCCGTCCCCATCCCCGAAAGACCTGAATTAGACACTGATTCAGGATCCCAGGCTGGCCCACACTGTACCTTTGCATGACAGGAGAAAGAGGGGACAACAGTAGCCTGAGGAATGGGAATGCTGGTCGGTGTCCCAGAGCCATGAAGACCAGAAAGCAGTTTCAGGTCCAAGATCAGAGACCCACCACTTTGATCCTCCTAATTTCATAGCCTTCTAAAACTGGAAGGGACTTCACACACCGTTAGTCTAGGTTCTCTTTTCTTTGAGAACAGAAAGCTGGGAGCAAACTCAATTGTGCCCCCAACCCAGAAAGGCTTGTTCAATGTCACACAAAAAGCAATCAGAGATGGGATTTGAACCCAGATCCTTTCCCTCCAGAACCAGGGTTTTTTCCCACCATATTACAAAATCTGACTTTCTGGTGGATCTGTTGGGGACTATGTGGTCATCAACTCAAGACTCCCTGATGGAGCTCAGTTTCTGGATTGCATGAATGCACTGTGAGGTTGGGGGTGGGGAAGCTACAGTTCTGCCCCAAACTCAGGGAGATACACCTTAGCTCTAGGTGGAAGTGTTAAGTAACCTATTTCCCCCAACCTTGTACCTCCCACCTAGGTTCTCTCCTTTAAGAACAGAAAGCTAGAATCAAGCTCAACTGTGCCCACAACCCAGAGAGAAGTTACACCAGGCAGAATCTGATCATATAGCTGTCATCCCTGCTCGTGTGCATGTTTCATGCCTGTGAAACCTGGACAGTATACCAGCACCATGCCAGGAAATGGCATCATTTCCATTTGAATCATCTTAGGAAGATTCTGAAGATCACCTGGCAAGATAAGGTACCAGACACTTGGGTCCTTTCTTGAGTTGAACTGCCAAGCATTCAAACTCTAATGTAGAGAATGCAACTCTGATGGGTTGGCCACACTAAAAGTCAAACACAGATTTGCTTAGAAGACTATTTTATGGAGAACTCACACAAGGCAAGTGCTCACACAGAGGTCAGAAAAAGCAATACAAGGACACTCTCAAGATCTCTCTGAAGAACTTTGGTATTGTGAGACATGGGAGACCCTGGCACAGGACTGCCCAGCATGGCGTGCCTGAGTCAAAGAAGGCGCTGTGCTCTGTGAGCAAAGCCAAACTGTAGGAGCTTATAAGAAATGTGAGATGCACAAATTTAGAGACATCTTCACTCCACGTGTTCACATGGACTATTGTGCCCGACCAGGGGTAGAGCCCTCCATTGGTCTGATCAGCCATAGTCGGATACACTGTACCTTGACCCCAACATAGCAGCGCCATTTTGGGCTTCTGAGAGCAAACCATATGCTTGGGGCGCAGGAGTTGTGCTAGAAAACAAACCATGGTCCTTACACCCTTGCACACACACATTTACGTACAACAACGTCTATACAGAGGAAGGAGATATAAGACAAGTGATGCACCTGCCTCGAGGTGGCAGGTGTGACCTCCAGCCCTACTCTCCCTTCGCGCTCTCTCTCTTCTCATCCTGAAACACACACTCATCCACCTGTCTCTCCTTCCATGTTCTAGCATTCTCAGTACCCAGTCCGGCTTCTAACCACCCCTTCCCATAGACACCAGCACTCTGCTCACTTCTGACACCCCTCAATATTCTCCCCTCCCCCAACAAAAAAAGCAATCAATTGTTTTTCTTTCTAGTCACCCCCACAACCAGAGAGGGATTCTTTCAATGTTCCAGCTAGTGGCGTCTACAGCTTTCCACTGCTTCAAGCCCTGCAGCTTTCCTCTCTCCAGACCAGAATCCTTCCTCTAGGTCCCACTCATACCCCTTTCTCTTTAGAATGGACGCTTCTTTGCATGTCCCCAAGAGAGAAGTACCTAACACTTTCAAGAATCCCTCCTTGCCCAGGAGGCCTGATATCAGCTAATCCATTCCTTTTTGCTGGGTGGGTGAGTCTGCAAATTAAAAAGGCTCTGATGGCTTCTTTCAATGCTTTGTCCAGCTCTGGCCAGAGCTCCTTAATGTAGGCCCTCCCCTCTTGTCCTTTACTCAGAGGGCTAAACAGCGCTGAGGAAAGCCATTCCAATAATTCCTCCTATTCGCCTTTCTTCCCTCTTGTCCCCTTGAGGTGAATTTTGAGTTTAAAGGTACTTCCTACAGGGATTTTCCTTCTCACCTACATCTGTTCAGCCTCTCAGAACTCCTGTGCCCCTCAAAGCAGAAGGGATGCTGAGCAGCCCCCTTGAAGTCTCTCTCTTGATTCTGATCCTGCATACAATGGCACTATATACAATTTTTAAAATGCTTTGGCATATATTTTATCCTAGGAGATGATCAACTTCGAAGTCGAGTTCCCACTTTTCATAGGCTCACAGATATAGAGGGTGTCCCAAAAGTCTTAGTGCAATGTTAAGTTGTGGCAACTGCATGAAGACTTTTGGGACACCCCGCATGGCTGAGATGAAACCTTAGTTCAATATCTAGTCTAATCCTCTCATTCTACAGATGAGGAAATTGAGGCCCCAAGATGGGAAATGATTTGCCCAAAGTCACACAGGCAATAAAGTGGAATCATGAGAAAAATCCCACTGCTGGCCTTGGGAAAGAACATCGTTGTCCAGATCTCCCACGGAGGTAGATGTACTGAGCATCCTCATATAGGTGGCATAGTAGATAAAGCATTAGACCTGGAATCAGAGAGATCTGAGTTCAAATCCTGTCTCAGACACTTACTAGCTGTGTGACCCTGGGCAAGTCACTTAACTTCTGCTTACCTTAGTTTTCTTATTTGTAATATGAATAAACAAATGAATAAATGAGAAAAATAAATAGTAGCACCTATCTCTCAGGATGGTGGCGAAATTGAGATAAGATAATATTTATGAAGCTCTTTGCAAACATTAAAGTGCTATACAAACACTATGATGAAGATGATGATGATGACAATAATGTAACTCAGTCTCCACATTGCAAACATAGGCATGAGAGACTTAGTATGGCTATACCCTGGGGAGTCGAGGTTTTTTACTGACCTCTAGTGGCTGTTTCCCTGTTCTTTCCTACTTACTTAAATGTTCGCCTTTCCCATCTGGATCCCAAGGATCACTGACAAACGGGCCAGATGATCCAGGATTCCATATCAAAAAACCAGTCCGTGCCATGTGTACTAACTCTGGGAAGCTTGTCAAGGCCAGCCTTGGGGTCACAATCTGCCTTGTGTTTTCATCTATTTTAATAGGCACTTAATAAATGATTTCTGGTTGACTAACGGTTGTTCAGCCAGATATCTGTGCCCATTAGACCTTCAAGGCTTGTATAGATAAAGGGTTCTTATCTTGTTTTATGCATGGACCCCTTTGGCATCTGGTGAAGCCTATGGACTCCTGCCAGAATGTTTTCAAATTTATAAAATGGAATACAGAAGATTACAAAGGAAATCAGAGGGTAGTGAAAATAAAGATGTAATTTTTTCCCATCCAACTTCATAAATTTCCTTGAAATATTATATCCATGGATTAGACCCCCAGATTGTGAACCCCTAGTCTAGAGTAAGGTAAACTTCTAACTATTCATCTGAGTCTTTCCTAAAAATTTATGCCAAGAAGATATTCTTCTCAGCTCCAAGTAACTCTCCAGTCAGACAATGATCGAATCTTTTGTTGTTGTTGTTCAATTGTTTTAGTTATGTCAAACTTTCCATGACCTTATTTGGGGTTTTCTTGGCAAAGATAGTGGAGTGGTTTGCCGTTTCCTTCTCCAGCTCATTTTAAAGATGAAGAAACTGAGGCAAGCTGGGTTAAGTAACTTACCCAGGGTCACACAGCTAGGAAGTGTCTAAGGCCAGATTTGAATTTGGGAAGATGAGTCTTCCTGACTCTAAACCCAGCATTCTATCCACTGTACCACTTAGCTGCTATTCTCACATCCTACCACATACCAGTTCTTTCCTTCTGTGTATCAAAGGTACCATCCAGTCAGGTCGGGTTCCACTCAGCTTTCCAATCATTGAAAGTTACCTTTGTCCAACTGGTTGAAAATATGTATGTCCTAGGTGAAATAACCCTAGGAAGCTAAACTTTCCTCCTGCTTCCCTTGGGCAAGGAGATAATTCTTAACTGTAGAAAAGCATCCACACCCTCTCCCCTTCTATGTCATTTTGCATGGGATGGGGAGAATAGTGGACAGTACCAATACCAGGGCATTTTGCTGAGCCATAATTTTGGCAATCATATATCTATCCAATAGCCCATCCAAGGTGACACACAGTGCAAGGGAAGCTGCCTCTGTATTATTGCTGGAATTACGGTTAGGTTGCCTGGTGCCCACCACACCTGCCTAACATCCATTAGAGACTCTTCTTTTTTTCTTCTTTTTCTGGTGAGGCAATCGGGGTTAAGTGACTTGCCCAGGGTCACACAGCTAGTAAGTGTCAAGTGTCTGAATCCAGATTTGAATTCAGATCCTCCTGATTCCAAGGTCGAAGCTCTATCCACTGTGCCACCTAGCTGCACCCAGGCACTCTCCTTCTTAGGAATGGAAACCCAGAGGCAAGTTGAGCTGGGCTTATAAGCCCAAATTAATTCAAATAAGCCATACAGACTTTTATAAACCACTACTTGCTTGGTATTGGTATATACTGCAGCCACCAAGTCATGAGCCCTGTGCATTTCAATGAATCGACAGACATTTAATAAATGCCTACCATATGTCAGGCACCATGCTAGGGTTGGGGACACATTGCCTTCAAGAAACTCCCTTTCTTATTGGGGGAATCACAGCATACACATATAAGTCTATACAAAATATAAATAAGGCAATGGGAGTAATACTAGTCTTGCCAGTCGAGGAGGATTAGGAAAGGCTAGGGGGTACAATAGATAGAGTACTGGGCTTGGAGTCAGGGAAATTCATCTTCCTGAATTCAAATCCAGCCTTAGACACTTAGTAACTGTGTAAGTTAGTACTAACTGACTGAGCAAGTCACTTAACCCCATTTGCCTCAGTTTCCCCACCTGTAAAATGAGCTGGAGAAGGAAATGGCAGACTACTCCAGTACCTTTGCATAGAAAAACCCAAATGGGGTCATGAAGAGTCAGACATGACTGAAAAATGACTGAACATGTAGGAAGTGGTATTCAAACTATTTGAAGAAAACTAGACTGTCTCTCAGAGGCAGAGTCGAGGAGAGAGTAAAATCCAGGCACAGGAGACAGTCAGTACAAAGTCCCAAAGGTGGGAGATGGAATGTGATGGGGAGAAGAAGAGCAAGAAGGCCAATTTGCCTGGACCAAGAGTTCATAAAAGGGAGCAAAGTAGGATGAAAAGACCGGAAAATTAGATTGAAGGCTGGTTGTGAAGGGTTTTAAATTCCAAAGATTTGAACTGGATCCTTCGGGTAATAGAAGCATACATGACGTAAGTCAGTCAGCAAGGCTTTATTAAGTAGCTACTACGTGCCAGGCACTGTGTTAAGTACTGGGGATACAAAGGAAGGCAAGAGACAGTCCCTGCTCTCAAAGAGCTCACAGTCTAAGGAAGAAGATCACGTGCAAACAACTATGTATAGGATGGCTGGAGAGAAGGTATGGAGGGCAGGCACTAGTGCGGGGGAGGGGAACTTGTGGCCTCCAGGCCACACATGGCCTTGACTGAATCCAAATTTCATAGAACAAATCCTCTTAATAAAAGGATTATAAATATAACAACAATATGATAAATAATAAAAATATAAATAATAATAATATAATAAAAGCTAGCGACTAGCGTATTCTGAGATCTACATTGACCATACAGAGGAGACATCCTAGGCAGATTCCCTGCCTTTTTTTTCCCCCATGCTCTGGAACTCTCAACACAGAACCTGCTGCCCCAGCAAATACCTCACTTGGCCTTGCATCCAAATGTCCCAATTAACAAGACCCTCCTTGTCCCTCCCCCTCCCCCAAGAATGGCAATCAATCACTCCTTTTAATCCTTCCTCACAAAGGCATGGGGGATCTTCTTGGAAAGAGGCACCCCCTTCATCTCTCCCACTCTCAGGCTTGCAGCAACCTCATCTTTAGACAATAAAGCTCTGATTGAAGCAAATCCCTGTAACTGAGTTCACTTCAAGGGAAACACCATAGGAAAGAATGTGATTCACTTGTAAATGAGCTAAAATGCCCTTGATGAGACAAGCAGGGTTATTCAGGCATTATTTACCCTGGGTTAAAGACCAGTTCCTTTTGGCTATGTAATAATACCTCACATTTGTACAGGCTACTTTTCAAAACTCTTCCTGGTACATTAGCTCATCTGTGACAGGCAGCGTGACCCAGAACTGACTCCCAGGGGTCACAAAGGGAGTTACTGACTTAATGTGGACTAGAACAATGTCACCCTGAAATCAAAGCCTAATGGATCTTCAAAGGACAGGGTCTCCCTGTTCTTTCAGGGTTTAGGGGAGCCAGGTCCATGAGATGTGTCTTTCCAAACTGAATGGCTAAATTGGGTTCTCCCATCCTCAAGCCTAAGGTAGAAGGAGGGATGACACTGAAGCTCTACTCACCTCTAGCTCTCCAGAGAAGTCTTGAGTCTTTGGAGTACTGTGGTTCCTGAGGGTCAAGACCAGCACCAAACCGTCCCCAGGGTCTGGGGCAAGGCGGAGTAGGCCCCTGGACTGTAGCATGAAACTACCTTGGTTGAGCAGGTGTTCTCCAGAGATCACAACAGCCTGGAGACAGAGATGGGAGAAGTCTCTAAACTAAACTCTGGACACTGAATCCATCCCCACCAGGATAACTGCCTCCCCAAAACAAAACCCAAGACCAATTCAAGAAAACCATCAGTTCTGTGTTCAAGGGGTCAAAAGGCATTTCAGAGAGCCACATTTTGTAAGGTTGGCTGTGGAGGGCCACGTTGAGTACTGACTGAGTTAGATCAGCTAAAATGCAAATAATAGATGGAATGAGAACATCTTTTAAATGTAATTTGGGCTAGTGTCCGGTGGGGAATAATACATGACCTCTGTTCTGGCTGTGGGAAAACTAGCCTCATCAAATATCAGATCAGTAGCCAATAGTATCCACCCCCCAAATCCCCTTCTCCTATGGGGTAGGTGTGACTTACACTGGAAAGATTACAGAGTCCCAGTCTGAGAGAATGGCTGAGATGGTTGAAGTAGTTAGTTTCTATTTCTCCCAGGAAGTTTTGCTTGGGGCAGGAGGTCAAGAAGATATTCTCTAGAGCCACTTCTGCATGGAGTCTATCCAACTGGAGTGGCCGGTGTCTCTGTGGGGAACAGAATGACCCAGGGAGAGGCTGGTGGCAGCCTTTGCAGTTAGAAAGAAAATGCCTGCTAAATTGGGATTTGACTTCTTGGTCCAACCGATATCATTAGGCTAAGTGTGTTGGCAGACCCTAGAAAGGCACACTATTGTCCTTACCCTGAGGAAAAAGGGAATGAGCAATGGGAGTGTGTTCCCCGCCACACAGGGCATGCCCACATACCCATAGTGCCATCTATGTATGCCCATGTACGTAGACATACCCAAGTACTGTTGGTTTTATAGGGGGAGCAAGGAGAGCCCTCCAAAAATGTCTCCCCTCACAATCCAGTCTGTTGCTGATGTCAGAAATTAGATTTCACTCCTTTGGCTTAAAGGATTGATCCCCACAAATAGGGAAATATGACTGAATGAGAACACAATTGTTATTTCCTTAGGGTAAAGGACTTTATCAGAGTCAGAACTAGTTAGTGGGGGGCAGGTCCTGAGGGGGGGAGGAAGGGAAACAAAGCAGAAGGATCCCTTTTCCTCCAGGAGGTAAGAAGATTGGAGGTAAACTAGAGGAGGTAAGGAGGAAAGGGAGGTGAGAAGACAATGCCAAAGACACACTTCCCTTATTTCACAAATCTGTCTAGCGCTAGCTCTATTCCAGCTTCTGGGAGATCAGAGTTCTGAGCCAGCTATTATAAGGTCTTGATGCTGTCTGCAGAAGACTCTGGATGCAAGGTTTCCTCAAGCTACCCCAGGTGAACCTGGCACATACCAGCAGGAGCCAGACTTTGGGCCTTCTCCCCTCCCATTTATGTGCCCCAACAAAATGCCCAACTACATCCCTGTGTCCTGTCTTTCAGCTCCCCACTCCCCAACACTATAAACGTCCTAGCCATCCACAGTATCTCTCTACTTGGGGTACCCAAGAAGAAAAGACTTGTCGTATGGCCCTTGAGTGGCACTTTCCCCTTTGACACTGGCCACTATCTTGTGGACCCTTTAAAGGCCAAAGATATCCAGGGTCAGCAACCACGGCCTTCCACTGTGTTGAACAAACCAGTTTATCTATGAAAGAACTGAAGAAGCTTCTTCTGCCCTTTTCCCAGAAAATCCAGCACCATGGAGGTGCTATAGTTGAAAAAAAAAAAAAACAAAAGTGAATACTCAAACTGAGAATTGAATCACCTCTCATGCCTGGGATATCTCAGGTGCCATTTTCTATGAAAGCATTGAGATGGAGTTAAATGGTCTTCCTTGCAGGCTCATGAGAATAAGTAATTCTGAGATGATAGAAAACAGCCCCCCTCTTCCTGGCTGTCATAGCGTCGCTTTGGCTTTTCTCATGTTACCTCATATTTCAGATTCTGTTTGACTTTCTGGCTGTCCCAGGACAGATCAAGATGCTCGCTGAACACCGCTGCAGTCTGAGTTACAGATCCACAGGCCTTGACATTGCCCAGGGTCAGGAATTTCTGGAGCTAATCAAGGGGAAAGCATTGGTATTAATGATTCTGGGAAAAGGGATATTTTTCTCTTTGGTATGAAAATTAAGTGATCATACTTTAGTGCTTTTTTCAGAGTTTAATAAAATACAGCCGTACTCAGAGAGAAAGGGATAGGCCAGCTGGCTGTCTTCAATTTATCCTGTCTGTATCATGTTTACACACTGATGTTTGCATATAACAACAGCAACAATAATAGTAGCCAACATTTATATAGTCCTGATGAGCCAGGCATTGTGTGAAGCACTTTACAATTTTATCTTCTTTGATCCTCATAACACCTGGGGTGGGGGGTAGGTACTATTCAGATGAGGAAACTGAGGCAAACAAAAATTAAATGACTTGCCCGAGGTCAAATAACTAGTAATAGTCTGATTTGAACTCAGATCCTCCTGTCCAGACCGTGAGCTCTTTGAGAGCGAGTATTGGATTTGGGTTTGGTTTGGTTTTGCTTTTTTTGGTATCTTCAGAGCATAACACCAGGTGCTTAATAAATGCTTAGTGATGTACTTTGATATCTCTTCTTGTCCTAAGAGCCAAGTCTGGTCCCAAAACCTGAATCCTGATTCAGAAAGCTAGTCAGGTAGAGAGAACATTTGTTGGTTAATACAAAACATAGAATATAAATGTAACATATGGAAGAAACATCTTTGGAGTTTGAACCTGACACAGAATTCACTTCCCTTTGCCTGGTCTTTCCAGCAGGAAGCCCTTGTATTTGTGCAATTATTTGGAATAACTGCATTGGTTTCGCATCCTGGCCAAGGCCTGTTGAAGGTGCCACATATCTTGGTCCGTGGGCATCCAGTTCAAAGCATTTACCACACATTTGCTATATATAAGGTTCTGTGCTAGATACTATGGATACAAAAGTTTTGTTTTTTTTTTTAAATGACAAAGTCCATGTCCTCAAAGAACTTACATTTTCCTGGGGCACAGGAACCTTGATAAAAATGAAGGTTTTAGAACAAACCACCACAGGAACTCCTCAAAACTCTTCCTCTCCCTGAACTGGTAAGGACTCATTCCTAAAGGACTGTATATATTCTGCAATGCTCCCTGTTGCCATAGAATGGAAGTTCCTTGAGGTTTCCTTTTTTTCTTTGTGTCCTTAGCACATCCCTGCAGGTGGTAACATTTATTATTGACTGATTGATTGCAGAGCCCTTGAAGTGAATGGTCAGTGGTAGCCCATGGTATTGCTCTCTCAATCCTCAGACCCCCTCAGAGAGGCAAGCCTCCCTCTACATCACACTTACCTGTCCTGAGGATGCAGTGAGACAGCCTTCCCAGCTGGTGATGGTAGCTCCGACCTGTCTGCCCAGGAAAACTGGAAGTTGATGGGCTTCCCTCTATTCCAGGCAAGTTGTACCTATAACCAGAGGTGAGAACCAGATGTGCTTCAGAATAATAGGACTGGATTGGCAGCCCTCCCTCTCTGCTCTGTACCACGGCCCAGTACCTATACTAGGTCTCCAAGCTGTAGACTTGTCCCATGACTGAGATCTGGGTACCAGATGAAGAGCCCAAAAGAAAGATCTCATTATCTCTCTCTATATATAGACATGCTTCTTCTAAGGATAGATTCCTTCTGTCTGGAACAGTTTTGACGCTGACCTACCTGGAAGCAGGGGGTTCTTAGGATCACAGTATCTCAAGCTAGAAGGGGACTCTGAGGAAACCTAGCCCAACCCCTTTATTTTACAGACAAGGAAACTGAGGCCCAGGGAGGTTCAGTACCCTGTTCTCAGATGTATAGGTAGTAAATAGAAGGATGGGATTTGAACCCAGGTCCTCTGATTCTAGAGACTCTTTCTACCTTTTATAAATCTTAACATTTTTTTTTGAGGCAATAGGAGTTAAGTGATTTGCCCAAGGTCAGTAGTTTTTTAATAGTATTTTATTTTTTCTAATTACATGTAATTGGAACATTAATTTTTTTTTAAGATTTTGATTTCCAGATTTTTCTCCTTCCCTCCTTTCCCTCCCTCCTCCCTAAGATGGTAAGCAATGTGATATAAAATGTTTGTAGTTTTAAGGAATTAAACCACGGCATAAGCCCATTTATCTCCTTGACTATTCGCTCTTAAGGATTCCAGGTACAAAAAGCCAATTGCAATCCATTTCTGTGCCCTTACCACTTCCCTACCCATCTTTGCCCCAGCTTGGGAACGTTTGCAATCTCACCTGTTGGCTGTACTTTCTGCCCCTCTTCTCTGCCAGGCCCCTGGCTTCCATGTGGCTCCAGGATAGGTTGAAGGGATGAGCAAAAACCACCTGGCCATGCACCTGATCCTTCCCCAGCTTTAGAGAGGAGGACAGCACCACCTGGTCAGAGTCAGAGGCCAATGAGAGAAATGTCATGAGCACCAAAGCTTTGATTGTCTTCCACCCCCCAACCCCCAACCCCAATTAACCGCTATGGGTCTCAGTTTCCTCATCTGGAAAATGAGGGAGTTGGACCAGATGATCTCCATGACCCCTTTCCAGCTCTAAATCAGTGATCCTATGATCATTCTCAAAGGCTGGGACCCCCATTCAGGGAGATCCAGGGAGACGGTAGAAATGAAGTGACACATCGAACATTCCTGCCCCCCTTCACACCCTTAGCTCACTAAGGGTTAGGAAATTGACTCTGAATGATGGGTGTCACAGCGCCTGAAACAGGGATGCTTCATAAATGCTAGTTGATGGATTTATTGATTCATGAATTTGACATTTGTGAAACTTGGCCCTAAGGCAAAGAATATTAGGTGTCTCTTGAAGACCCTTGGAAGACTATTCCAGGTATGCAGTACTGGCCCGGGAGTCTCAGGAGCACCTAAGTTCAAATATGGCCTCAGACACTTGATGCTTGCTAGCTGTGTGACCCTGGGTAAGTCACTTAACTCCATTGCCTAGCCCAAAAAGAGAGAGAGAGAGAGAGAGAGAGAGAGAGAGAGAGAGAGAGAGAGAGAGAGAGAGAGAGAGAGAGAGAGAGAGAGAGAGAGAGAGTGTAGACTATTCCAAACTGAAGGTTTGGTCTGCTGAGCCAGTGTTTATTAATTTGAATCTCCCTGAGGCGTGCAAAGCCTCAGAACAGTGCTTGGCCTGTGGTCAATGATGAATAGATACTTCTTCACTTGATCTGACTGGGACTCCACTTTCTGGGAGGTAGGGTGTATAATAAGGAGTAGTACTCCTGACCTGTCCCTCATTTTACTTTTCTCTCTTACCTTGTGCCTTCTACTGGAGAGATACAGACAGAAATTCTTTTGAACCCACCCATTAGAGATATAAGATTCTAAAGAAAGAAGAAGAATCAGTCCAAGTAATTTAGGTAAGAAGGACTACAGAGCAGGGACTGGGATCAGGACCATATTGTGTCATGCTCAGGGGTAATGGGAGGGAAGCTTTTCAAGGCTAGACCTATCCCTCACTCACACCCAGAATACATAATTCAGCTGCCTCTTACCTTTAAATGTACGTGAGATGTGGTGGAAAAGGCTCTCATCTCAGCTCTCATGGACTAAGTGTGAGCTTGAGCAAGCCAATAAACATTTATTAAGCACCTACTATGGCAGCAGTAGATAAAGGGCTGGGCCTACAGGCAAGGAAGACCTGAGTTCAAATCCAGCCTCAGACACTTACTAACTGTGTGACTTTGGGCAAGTCGTTTTACCTGTTTGCCTCAGTTTCCCCATCTGGAAAATGAGCTGGAGAAGGAAATGGCAAGTCACTCCAGTGTCTTTGCCAAGAAAATCCCAAATGGGGTCACAGAGAGTCAGACATGACTGAAACCAACTGAACAACAAGAATAAGCACCTACTGTGTGCAAAGTACTGTGCTGAGCACCAGGAATTTTTAAAAAAGATAAAATGCAAGATGATCCCAGCTCTCAAGGAGCTCAGAATCAAACGAGGAAGACAACATGTAAATGGCTGCATACAAACAAGACATAAACAGGGTGACTTGAAAATATTCCACAGAGGGAAGGTTCTGGCATTAAGAGAGGTCAGGAGAAACCTTGCAGAAGGTGGCCCTTTAGCGGAGACTTGAAGAAAGCCGGGGAAGCTCCTGTCAATCAAATTAAGGAGCTGAATGAAATGGCTTCCAAGGCCCATTTCAGTTCTCTGACACGTGATGATTTTTCCTAGTGCTTCATTTCCTCTCCCTCCTTAATCCCAGGCTGTTTTTACCTGCTCCTTGCTGTTCCATTCTATGACTAGATTATCTTGGTGGCTCTGAACTGAGTGTAGCAGGGTCACAGTGATCTTGGAATGCTGAGGAAAAGGGATGGAGAGAGGATGGACAAGTTCCACTGTAAGAGAGGGGAGAAAAGTAGGGGGAGAAGGTTATCAGGGCTGGTTACCAGTGGCTATATTTTTCCATCACACAATCATGACAAGCTATATAGAACACTGGGTCTGAAATTAGAAAGACCCGAGTTCAAATCCAGCCTCAGACAGTTACTAGATATGTGACCCTAGGCAAGTCACTTACTCTCTGAGTCAGCTTCAGTTTTCTCAGCTGCAAAATTAGGATAATAGCACCTACTTCCCAGGGTTCTTATAATAATATTTGTAAGCTGCTTAGTATAGTAAGTGGCACATGGTTGGCACTTAATAAATGCTTTTTTCCTTCCTTCTTGCCTTCATTCCTCTCTCCCTTCCTTTCTTCTTTCTTCCCTCGTTCTTTCCTTCTTTTCATTCCTCCTTCCTTCTTTCCTTCCTTCCTTCCCTCCTTTGTTCCTTCCTTCCCTCCCTCTCTCTTTCCTTCCCTCATTTCCTCCCTCCTTCCTTCCTACCCACCTTCCTTCCTTCTTTCTCTCCCTCTCTCCTCCTTTTCCTCCCTCCTCCTTTCCTTCCTTCTCTTTCTTCCTCCTTCCTTCCTTCCTGGAACCCCTCAGAATAAGGAGGAATCTGGGTGTCTCTTGGAGGCACAGTGGAAAGTGTATTAGATTTGAATCAGCAGAAGGACTTGGGTTCAAAACCTCTCTCAGTTACTAATTCTGTGACTTTGAACAAGTCACTTAGCCTCTCTGGGCCTCAGTTTCCTCATCTGGAAAATAAGAGGGATAGGCTGGATGCTCTCTAAGACCCTTTCCAGCTCTAAATTGACAATCCTGCTATCATTTTTAAAGGCTGAGATCCCCATTGAGGGGGCAATGGTAGAAATGTGGTAATACATCAAATATTCCTATCTCAGAGACCTGCTCCCACTCATTGCTCCTTAGCTTGCTAAGGGGGTAGAAACTAACCCTGAATGATGGGTATGCAATACCTGCCACAGAGGTGCACTTACAGAAATGCTCACTGACTGACTGATCAATTGGTGGTTTAGAGTCTGGGAAACCTGGCCTTGCAGCAAAGGAAATTAGCAGATGGGACCCCGTAAGGTTAGCTGGGCCTCTTCTCTTTTTGCACTCTAATCACCTATGGCACAATTAAGGTTGGCAGAAGAAGGCCTTCATGACACAGAAACCAATAACAGAGGGACTGTGATTTAGAATTCTTTTCAGGAAAGACTGTTTCCTTCAGGACTGCATCTAATTAACTTCAAGGGTTGCCGTTTAGAAGTGAATATTTCATAGGAATGAATTTGGGATTAGAACACATGGCTAGAGCCAGGGCCGGCCTCTTTTAGGAAGTTATTACAAACTTTTTAATCTCTTCATTTGCTCAGGGACTCCTGGAGTCAATAACTGATGCCTTCCCTAGCCTCTGGCCCTAATCTGTCTGGGGATGCCTACTGATTGTTGCCACTGCAAAGCTTACCCTGTATGCGCTCGCTCCTGGAGAACTTGGGAAAGAGCCCTGTGTAGCTGCCAATGAACTTGAACTCCTGGCCATCCCAAAGTATGAACTGTTGGATGTTTCTTGTCCCGTTGGCTTTCTGATACGTGGTCATGAGCACCATTTCCCAGGGGATCATTTTGAGCTACAAAGGAAAAACAAGGAGGCATCAGCCCTGGGGTGGTGATTCAGGTTGGGGCTCAGGGTCCATAGGGATCGAAAGGACAGAAGACTTCAGGAAGGTGGGAGAGTTTAATTAGACCTTGGGCTTCTTAGGACAGATCATTAGACTTGGAGTCAGCGCAATTGGGTTGGAGTCCGGTGTCTTGCACCAAGTGGACATTCAATAAATACCTGTCAGTTTGGATAATGATTTAATTAGGATAAGATCTTCTATTCTGTGTGAGGAGGGCCCCATCAGCCAACATTACTGTTCATTGTTACCAGTCTGAGAATAGGGCCACCTAGAAGAACTTAGACTCCAGAGGGGTATATTTTAACAGACGGGTTCTTAACCTGGGACTAGTGAACTTCTTTTTAATATTTTCATAATTGCATTTCAATATAATTGGTTTCCTTTGTATTCCTACATATTTTATTTTATGCATTTAAAAATGTGATTTTAGCAGAGGATTCTGGGAAGATGGTGGAATAGGTCAGAAAATTTTAGACTCTCCAAATTTCCTCCACAAAAAAAAAAGACAAAACATGATTTTGAGAAATGGTTCATAAGCTTCACCAGACTGCCAAAGGGATCCATGAATCAAAAAAAGTTAAGAACCATTCTTTTAATGGGAGAAGACTTAGGAAAAAGTCAGAGTATGGGATACTGCCAAGTGGAAGTCTCTGGGTAATCAAGGAGTCCTATATGCTTCAGATGAAAAATGGCACCCAAAAGAGGAGCAGTAGAGGGGCATGGAAGACCGAGACCAATTTCATCAACTTGACAAGTGGCATTTGACTTCTTTCTTGACACTTTACCTAGGAAACATAGACTCTGCCACTTCTATGATCTGGCTATAGCACTGGGCTCTGGCTCCCACACAGGACCTCCATGTTGCTGTTCCTTACCTGGGGAATTGTATGCATCAGCTCAGTCACTTGAGTGAGGTTGGATGCAGTAAATGTCAGCTTTGTGGCCACGTGGAAATGGTGCTTTTCCAGGTCAACGGCAATCATGCTTTTGGTTTCACTCATGGAGTAACTTACCTAGGTGGGTGAGAGGGCAAAACGAAGTTGATTCATCAGGAATCTGAGGGAACATTTCACAACTGATCTGGGCATGGTTTGCCAACCCCTGGCATAATAGATAAGGTGCTCAACTCAGAATCAAGAGGACCAGAGTTCAAATCTTGCCTCTGACACTTGCCAGCTGTATGACTGTGGGCGAATCATTTCACTGCCTTCAGGCCCAGTTTTTCCATTTGCGAATAGTAACAGCACTTATCTCAAAAGGATTGTTGTGAGTCCCAAATAAGATATTATATGTACAGGGCTTTGCAAACTTTAAAGTGCTATATAAATGTTAGTTACTATAGTTATGTTTCATATGCATATATGTATGTATCTATACACATATTCACATGATATATCTTGGTTACAAAGCACTTTACCTATCTTATTTGAGCCTCACAAAAACCCTGTATGGCAGGTCATAAGATCATAGATCAGGAGCTCAAAGGGAAATCAGAGGTCATCTAGTACACCCTCCTTCATTTTACAGTTGATGAAACAGAGGCCCAGGGTTGGCTAATTGACTTACCCAAAATCACATTTCAGAAGCAGGATTTGAACCTAGGTCCTCTGGCTACAGAGCCAGTGCTGTTTCCACTGTATCATGCTGAGTTCCAAAGGTGATGTAGTTATCATACCCATTTTACAGATTGGGAAGTTGAGGCTCACCCTAAGTTACACAGTTAGGAAGTGTCTGAGGTGGGAATCAAATCCAGGCATATGCCTTTCTACTACCATACTTAAACAGCTTGTCACCACTCACTGTGACCTGATGGCTGAGGATTAAGTTTAAGGCTGGCCTCAGCCCTGGAGCTGGTAGGAGAGATAGCTGCTTTTAACTGTGTCTGTTTTAGCCTCAGGGTGAGAAACAGCCCTTCTGGGCTAAAGGGCCTCTGCAAGTCTGATTGCTCTTCTGAGCTCTCTCCTGACCCAGACTCCCCAAGGAAGAGGGGGTAAGAGCATGAAATCAGCATGTGTCAGACATATCCCGCTTGGGACAGGCCCCTTGCTCTGCCAGCAGATGTAAGACACAAGGGTGATAAAAGAAACGCTGAACAACTTGTGTTGGGAGATGTCAGGCCAACCATTTGAGCTTGGGAGACAAAGTCTGAGATGATGAGAAGCTGGAAAAGCAAACAGAGTATTTGGAGCCATATCTAGATGGGCTTGGAATGCTCTTTAATCTATTCCAGACTCTGAGCTTGGGCCCCACCAAGGGGATGCACTGCGGGAGAATCTCCAGGGAGCTTGGGATCAGATACACTCGCTGGAGGGGCTTGGGAGGGAGGGTGCCAGGCAAGCCTGCTAAGGAATGTAAATACCAATAGGGTTTTTAAAAGCAAGAGCCCCACTTCTGAAGGGCAGCTCAGGGCAGCCCACCTGGGGTTTTCTTGAGCTCCCTTAATCACACATGAACATGTTAACCAATTCTTCTGTGTCACTAACCCTGCCCCTTCCAAATCTCCGCCTGCCTCCCTCTCCCTTTCAACCTACCCCTCTCCTTCAACTTTCCACTTTGGAGGGCAGCCACGAGAAGTGAAAAAAATGATGCATGTGGAATGAGTTAGGAGCCAGCAGAGTTCAGGGACTGGCCAAGAGAGGAACGTGGGCCTTAGGGAGCAGTTACCTTGGTGGAAAGCTTGGCTCTCCTAGGGAAGTGGTTCAGGAGGAAGGAGAGATGTTGTTGGCTGGTAACATGCAGTTCTTTGCTGGAAAAGAGAATCATAGAATGTGAAGGGATCTTAAAGGTCATTTAACCTAACCCCCTCCTTTCATAGAGGAGACAACAGAGGACCACGGATGTTAGAGTCACGTCACACAGGAATTAAGTGGCAGAATTGGGATTAGAACTCGGAGCCTTTAGCCCTGAATCCAATACTCTTTTGATCGTACCACATTGTCCTCTGAATGGAAAGTATAGTTTGAGAAAAAAGAACACAAGTATTTTCCCAACTAGGATTCCAAAGATGGGAGTCAAACACTCAAACTAATAATGGCCTCTGATAAGGACATATGGAACAATCTCTGGAGATTCCCTCTTATTTTAGCATGGCAGTCCAGGCCCATTGTTATATTGGTGCAGAGAACCTATAATATAGGAAATCCCCCACACCAGACAGATTGACATTTCATCTGTAATTTATAGTCTAGAGAGTTGTCAGAGAAACTTAGAGGTTAAGTGACTTACCTAAGGTCTTATAGTCATTATGTGACAGAGGCAGGATTTGTACCCAGGTTTTCCTGATTCCAAGGCTATCCCCCTATCCACTAGGAGGAATCTAATATCACAATCGATTCAGATGGAAAAGTCACAAAATCATAGAATATTAGATTTAGATGGGACCTCATACATTACCTAAGTCAACCCTTTCACTTGACAGATGAAGAGACTTTCGCAAAGAATGGAAATGTCTTGTTGAAAATCTCACTACAAGTTAGTAGCAGAGGCAAGGCTAGAAACTGGGTCTCCTGGAGCCTGGTTTAATATCCTTTTCACTGCATTGCCTTCCAAGGGCCAGGTCACCATATTTTTTTCCTAAATGGAAACCCATCAAACCTGGGGTATATGAGGGTAAGATACCTTGGGTCCTGTGCACCTCTTAGCAAAGTGTATTCCCATTCCATAGGTCATCGGATCATCAATTCATAGCTTAAAGGAACCATGGAGGTGACTCAGTCCAATTCCTCATTTAAACAACAAGGAAAACGAGGCACAGATAGGTTGTGATTTGTTCATGGTCATTTAGCTAATCAGCATTTTTATCCAGGCCCTTCTCCCTACCTGCCTCTAAACATGCTATGAGTCCATGACCAAAGGGCTCTGTGGGTGTCCAGAAACCCAGATCCAAAGACCTTTTCCTCACCTGAGTGGTTGATTCCTTCCCCTCACGTGAATGAGAAGACTTGTTTCAGACTCACAGGTCACCTCCAAGGATGTTTTCATTTCACTGGCCGCAAGGATTTCCTGGAATAACAACTAGTAGGAGGAAGAGGATAGAATAATATAAGATTCTGGAGGGCAGGGTCTGTTTTTTTTTTGTCTTTGTCTCTCCAGAATTTAGCATAGTGTCTGTCACCTAGAACACACTTAATAAATGCTTCTTGACTTGAACTGAATTTACAAAAGGCAGCCAATAGGGTAAACAGGTGTTTATCAGGTCGACTGATTAAATCTAAGCTTTCTCCAACCCACTGATGTGATCTGTGATTCATTTTTCCCTTTTTCACACTGCAATAATCAGAATCAGACTTACTGATTACTGCCGAGTATATATGTGTATAATATATATTTATTTATAGCATGTAATATATACATACATATTACACATAGATATGTTTCTCTTTTATTCTCCTTTTTAACTCTCAGCTCCCAGAGGACAAGAACTTTGTGTGCTATTTATCCCTCTTTTTCCCTACATCCCAAGAGCCCATTGCCCTACCATTACTCCATGGGCTCCCAATACAAACTTGGGATTGCCAACCCTCAGCAAGAAATAAGCTAAACAGAAACTTTTTTTTAATCACTTTATCTGTAAGTCCTTTACAAGTGTGTGAGTGAGTGTGTGTGTGTGTGTGTGTGTGTGTGAGAGAGAGAGAGAGAGAGAGAGAGAGAGAGACAGAGACAGAGAGACAGAGAGACAGAGAGAGAAAGAAATCCAAACCACTACATTAAGAAAAAACATGAATACAGAGGAAATAAGCCTTCTGGAAACCACTTTAACCGGGGTACAAGCTGGCTTTTAAGGGCATTACCCAAAGACTCCAAGTAAAATCAAGTCTTCTTTGTTCCTACTAATAGTAGCAAAACTAATCCAAATTGGTAGATAATTTTAAAATCACTTTTTAAAATTTCAGAATGCATGAGATGATTTTTCACAGCGGATTTACCTAGGAAACCAAGTAAGGCTAATCACATTCCTCATAAACACTCCAACCTGACCTGAGAAAAACATTTCAAGTAGCTGGGACGGGAGCTAGCCTGGAGTAAAGCTTTTTCAACCCACAGTCCATCCAGAAAGTGGATAAAGTATGCAGATAACGGTTGGGGAGCCGAAGCGACTTAACCCCTGCAGCCCTTCCAGCTGTGGTCCCTTCTCAAGGGCCAGAATAATCATCTCCTCTCATTACCTGGGTTGTGAAGGGCAGGCCCAGCTGCCTGAGAATTGGCACCGTGTGTCGGAGGTGCGCCGCAAGCTCGAGGGTCCCATTTAGTTCCAAGGCCGTCAGAGCTGCCACATCCACACTGACTGTCCTGTCTCCTCCCTGGATGTCCACGCTGCCCTGGGTCTGGGTTTCTAGATGTGGAAGGACAAAAATACTCTGTAATAGCAAGGCAGGGAGGTACAGTGGAAAGGGTACTGGCTCTGGGGTCATGAGACCTGGATTCATTATTCCTCACCTCTGATATTGAATATGTGTGTGACCTTGGTCAAGTCACTTAAGAGTCAGGAAGACCTGAGTTCAAATCTAGTCATAGACACATGCTAGCTGTGTGACCTTGGGCGAGTCACTTACCTTCTATGCTTCAGTTTAATCATCTATACAATGAGAGGGCTGGGCTAGACAATCTATGAGGTCCCTTTCAGTTCCATTTCATGTCATATACTATGATACGATGTCTCCTTATGCCCTTGGCTAGATGTCACTGTCACATGGTCATTTTGCTCCCCTATGTTCCTTTCTAAGAGAAGGAAGGAACAGGAATGGAGACAACAGTGAGGTTAACACTGCTCTCTGTGGTCTCCACCAATGGGTAGAGAGAATTACAAAGCCTGTCTCCATGGACAGCATCTTTCAGTAAGCCTCAACCTAGTAATTTTCTTAGACTGGAAGGAACCTTCAGATCATTGAAACATTGATTAAGAGTTGAAAGGAACCTTAGGCGCCATCTTGTACAAACCCTCCATTTTACAGAGGAGAAAACTAACACCCAGAGTATTAAGTGACTCACCCAGGGTCACAGAGTCACAGAATTTGAAAGCTGGAAAGGATGTCAGCAGCTGTCCAGTCTAACTCATATACAAGAGGAATCCCCACTATAACATCCTGGGTCATCTGGCCTCTGATTGAAGACCTCCCAGGAGGGAGAACCCAACATCTCTGGAGTTGATGCATTACACTTTGGGAAAACCCTAATTATCAGGAAGCTTTGTTTTCTTCCTGATGTCAACCCTAAGTCTTCCTTTCATAACTTCTACCCATGGCTCCCAACTCTACCCTCTGGGGCCAAACAGAACCAGTCTAACTGTTTCCTCCACATAACAGTCCATTAAATTCTTGAATTCTTGAAGACAGTTATCTTGTCTTCCCCGAGTCTTCTTTTCTCCACTTCCTTCAGTCAGTCCTCATATGACATGGACTAAAGGCTCTTCACCATCTTGGTTACCTTTCTCCATACTTTCTCCATCTTATCAATGCCCTTCTTAAACTGTGGTAGTTAGGACTGAGCAAAATCGTCCAGGTGAGGGCTGCTGAGGGCAGAGCACAGCGGAAGCATGATCTTCCTCTGTCTAGTAGATATGCCTTTCTTAATGCAGTCCAACATTGCTCCACCCCACATGGGTAGGGGCAGAATCCAATTCAAGCCCTCTGGCTCCAAATTCATTTGCTGTCTACACTAAACCACATGGACTTCTTCTTCCTTCGGAGGTCAACTGTTCTGTCTGCTTGCTTGTGAGCAGTACCACATATAAACCATGCCAAAGAGATAAGTCCATACTTCATTGGGTCTAGAAGGGATTTTAGAGATCATCTGACATAGTAATGATGATGACAACTAATATTTCTACTTTGAGATTTACAAATCACTTTACATAGATTACTTTATTTGATCTCACAGCAACCCTGTGAGGTAAGTGCTATGATGATTCCATTTTACAGATGAAGAAACTGAGGCAGGTGGCAGTGAAGTGACTCACCCAGGGTCGTAAAGTATCTGAGGCAGTATTTGAACTCAGATCTTCCCATCTCCTGTGCCCTGTCTTCTCTGTCACCTGACTGCCTCATGATAGATCTCATTTTGCAGATGATGGAAATGAAACCCAGAAGGGGTTAGTGACTGACCCAAAGTCACATACCTGGCTAGTGGCAGTCCACGGAAATTCGAAGCCAAACCTAGAGACAACTAGGCCAGAGCTCTTTCCACTAAAATATTCTGCTTCTCTGAAACTCAGTTTTTTTTTATTGCATTTCTTTTTTTTAAGTTCTGTAACACAGGAGACTCTGAAGTCCTTTCCAACCACCTCTTCCAAAACCCAGGAACCTTTGCTGTCGGGAAATTATTCTCTCTTACTTGAAACCCTCACGTTGTATCTCAAAATACTTCTGGAAAACTAAGACCCATTATGAGCAAATCTGGGATTCTTCATTTGGAAAGCCAAGTCTTGTGATACATTCCCTCCAGATAGGCCTAACCATGTTTCCTACTTCATGGGCCCAATGGGGAAAATAATTTCAAAAGTTCCTTTGACATGCAAGCCAGGCAGCTCCGTGGATTCCTGAGGGGCGTCCACAAAGCCACTTTCTGAGGGTCCGGGGCAGATGGTGCCGAAGCCCCGCTTCCTTGCCAGCGAGTTTTCCTTTCTCCCACACAACGAAAATGTCAAGCTGTCATCTCTGTATGTTCTTTCCCCTGGATGAGAATGCCTGCTTTTCAGCACTGCAGTAAAAGCTGGGAAAATATCAGTTCTCTGAGTCTTGGAAATGATTTTCTCAGACTTCAGGGAGTTGATGTTTGGAAGAAGAAAACTATGTTTCTAGATAACCCCCAAAATGAAGCGGTCATTTTTCCCCTTGAGGGCAAGAACCACGTCTTATTTACCTCTTCATTTTTTTTTCATTTTTAAACCCTAACATAGTGCCTCATACACAAGAGGTGCTTAATAAATGTTCTTAGTTCATCTTCCAGTTTTTGCTCTGTATAGACTAGTCAGGATTTTCAAACCAGAGCAATGGTTTAAGTTACCACTGCATAGACTGCAAGCTGATCTAACTTCATTCCCCCAATCATGTAATACTTATGTGATACCTGTAATTATTCGAATGAACCACAAGCTCTCCATTATCTGTAGCAACAAAGGGTATAAGGAACATGTCTTGTATGAGATGGAAGGCTAAATTAAACCACATGATCATCAACCCAGAGTGAAAAGGGACCTTAGAGTCATCTAGTCCAATGAAACGGGATAAGGGAGCTGAAGCCTGGGAAGATTCGGACTTGCTCATGATTGTATAGCTAGGAACTATTAGAGGCAGAATTTGAACCCAGGTATTCCTGTCTCCAGATTCAACAGTCTAACCACTATGTCATGCCACCTCTCTGAGAAGAAGTAATCCAAAACTTTATTTCAGTCATCTGCTGACACCTACTTTCCCCATCAAAAATTTCCTCAGATTTGCTTTCATAGGGTCTTTTCCCCACACTAGTCACATCCATCCCCAGATGCCCAAGAGGCAGGCGGGGAAGAGAGAAGAGGAAGAGGAACCAGGATAATGTACACACCAGACAAACAGCCTCTAAGACTTGGCTACAATTCAGTCCCTTTTAGTAAAGTCCCTCTTTCATCTTCCACAAGTTTACCAGTCCCCTTGGGGCAACTAGGTGGTACAGTGTGTAGAGACAGGGTCTGAAGTCAGGAAGACCTGAGTTCAAATCCTGCCTCAGATACTTACTAGCTGTATGTCCCTGGGCAAGTCACTTAAGTTCTCTCATCCTCAATTTCCCCCTCTCTAAAATGGGGATAAATAATAGCACTTCGCAGGGTTGTGAAGATCAAAGGAGAAGAAAGATGCAAAGTACATGCAAATAGTGCTAGCTATTAAAAACAGAAGTCCCTAGCATCCCTACAACCTAGAGATTACTGGCTGAGGTCGACTACTTTAAATGCACTGTAACCCTGACTCCAACAGATACTTGCTGCCGGCTTGATTGGACCAGAGAGGCAAAGGCAGACAGTGGGCTGCCTTCTGACATGGGGACCCAGTCCTCGCCCCAGGAAGGAGATAGAAGACCAGTGTACCTTACTTACCTTGTGCCTGTAGCACTACAGTGAGGCCAACCACCTCTGGGTAGCCAGTCCCTTGCCTCAGAGCCCTGCTGTTATGTCTACTCCAGCAGGAGAATGCCATTCGCCGTCTGGTATAAGAACAGCTCATGGTATAGTTGAGAGACGTCTGCCCCACCAGAATGTTCACAGAGCTGTCAATGTTGGAACTGGTCCCTTGAAGGTACATTCTAACCTGAAATAATGCAAAGGGAGGTAGGTGTTGAGCCACCATCCTCACCTCCTCACTTGTCATCCTCTAAGAACGACAACAAAAAATACCCCAACAATCCAAACCTATCACCTCCTGAACTCCCACAGGATAAGCTCACTTTGGCTCCTGTGATGCTTTGGGCTTCATGGATCTTCCATACATTATTCAGGGATCTGATCCAGCTAGAAACATTTCATTTTTTTCTACCAGATTATTACATAAGGATTGGTGTCACATGTAAAATACTCATTTTGTCAAACAAAAAAAAATGAAAACCGAGTCAAACGATCTTAGAATCTGTGGGCTTAACTGTGCCTTCAGAGGTCATCTCATCCACCTCTCCCTCTTTGGACAATATGGTACCTAGTCCATTACAGGACGAAAATTGCTCAAATGGGGTCATGAAGAGTGGGACACAAGTCTACAATAAAAATCTGAAAGGCCTGAAAGGATGCAGGGAAGCAAGGGGAGAAAAGCCCACTAACCATCTTGCTTCCACTTTCTCATTGGCTGGGGGATTCAACCCACCATTAGTGGGAGATCAGGGCCAACAGCTATGCTTACCCTCTGTGGTACCAGGATACTACAGGGATTCAAGCAATGCTCATTTCTCCTGGGTGAATGGGTGAACAAGGCTTTCATGAATTAAGATAGAAGCATTTCATGGGGCTATGGAAAAGGACCCTGAGGTCTGGTGTACCTGAAGTGATTCTGGGAGTCCACACCGCAACAACACAGGCCAGTTGTGCCAGAGGGTACCAGACCAGGAATGTCTGACTGCGGTGCTCTGGCTTTGGCCTCCAAAGATGATGATGCCTGAGCCGTATTGGGCCCTGCCACTCAAGTTCTTGACTGCTTGGTGGTCCAGAGAGACCTGGGTGTATAGGATTTAAGTCAGAGAAGAGCTCTTTTTCTATGACTTCTATCTATAGTTGTCAACAGTATGGTAGGAGCCAAGTGGAGTCCTATAGTATCTCAGAGCTGGAGTGAAAGATTGGGCTAGAGAAAGAGTTCTCAACCTGGGGTATGTAATCTTGGTTTTGTTTGTTTGTTTGAGATAATTGGAATTAAATGACTTGCCCAGGGTCACACAGCCAGTAAGTGTCTGAGGCCAGATTTGAACTCAGCTCCTCCTGACTTCAAGAGCCAATGCTCTATCCACTGTGCCACCTAGCTGCCCTTTGTTTTTTTTAACATGTATTTTGATGACTGTATTTAAATATAATTGGTTTCCTTTGCAATCATGTGTCTTTTATGCATTTAAAAACATTATTCAGCTCTCTTTCCGCCATCTTGCAGCACTGCCACCATGGTGTGAATGAATGTCCTGGCAGATGCTCTCAAAAGCATCAACAATGCAGAAAAGCGAGGAAAACACCAGGTTCTCATTAGGCCATGCTCTAAAGTAATTGTCCGGTTCTTAACTGTGATGATGAAGCATGGTTACATTGGTGAATTTGAGATCATTGATGATCACAGAGCAGGAAAAATTGTTGTGAACCTCACGGGCAGATTAAACAAGTGTGGTGTAATCAGCCCCAGATTTGATGTCCAATTGAAAGATCTGGAAAAGTGGCAAAATAATCTGTTGCCATCCCTTCAGTTTGGGTTCATTGTGCTTACAACCTCAGCTGGCATCATGGACCATGAGGAAGCAAGACGAAAACACACAGGAGGAAAAATCCTGGGATTCTTTTTCTAAGGGTGTAAAACATACATACAAATAAAAATGCTCCAATGGAAAAAAAAAACATTATTCAGAAAAGGAATCCATAGGCTTCACCAGACCTCCAACAAGGTCCATGGCACAAAAAAAGTTTAAAACTCTTGGTTGAAATCAAAGAACACAGAATGTTAGAGCCAGAATGAATATTTGAGGTCCTCCAGTCCAACCCTCTCCTATATAGATGAGGAAACTGAAAGCAAAGAGGTCTAAATCACAGCTCTAGTCTTAGAAATTATCTAGTCCAACCCCACCCTCCTCACTTTATAAACTAAGAAACCGAGTCCCCGAGAGGGGAGTCACAGGGTCAGTAAAGGCAGGATTCAAACCCAGGCCCTCTGATTTAAAAACCAGGTTATTTTTGTTTTTCCCTTCTACAACTTCCTTCAGGAAGTTACTTACCCAAGGTCAAAGGACTAGTTAATGGAAGAACTGAGACTACAAGATGGGTCTTCTGGCTATTCGCTGAATGGACCTTCAATTCAACCAAGTTGCCTCCCTAAAGGTATTTCAAACTAACTTTGTCTTTTGGGGAGATTAGAGAGAGCCCTGAGGAATGGGGGAGGGGTAACCTACCTGCAAGTCTATCTTGTCTTCCACCCCCAATGCCTGCAATGTTGGGACATTGTGTCGGATTTTGTAGTTGAGGGAAATATAGTCTGATTGTTGAGTGAAGCTGAGCTCTTCAGAAATCTGTTGGCCGTTAACAAAGGGTACAAAAGATCAGCTAAAATGGCAGTGTTCACAGGACTCCTCCCTCAGTGCTGTGCTAGACAGTGCCCAGAGGGTCCCTTCCTAGACCTTTCCCTCTCACCTGCTTGCTGTCCATGCCAAACCGGATGGTACGCCTGTAACTATTGTTACTTCTCACTGTGGTCACATCCACTAGGGTCTGAGCTGGGATGCCAAAGTGGAGAGCCTCAGGGAGGTTGTGGGTAAACAGCATGTCTAGTTCTTGGTGTGTCTGGGTCAAGTGAAAAAGAAATGGGAGCCACATATGCCAAAATATTCATTGCAGCACTTTTTCTGGTAGCAAAGAATGGAAATAAAGTAAATGCTCATGGATTGGTGAAAAGGCTAAACGAATTGTGGTGAATTAATGCAGTGGAGTTTTACTGTGATGTGAGAAATGATGGGGATGACGAATTCAGAGAAGCATGGGAAGACATATGAACCGATGCAGAGTAAAATAAACAGAACCAGGTAACCAATATACACAATACCTACAGCAATGTAAAGAGAAACAACAACAAAAAAATTAAACTGAACGCTGTGTAATTGTAATGGCCAAGATTAGCCCTAGAAAAGAGTGGAGAAAATGTCCCACATAAACCATGGATGTGTAATATTGTATAAACTATCAGAAATAGTTTAGTTGTCTTCGTTAAAACATTTTTTTCTCCTTTTTAATGTTTGTTAAAGGGATGATGATTCACTGCATAGGGAAGAGGTGTGAAAGAGGTTCAGGAATGAAGATGACATAAAAAAAAAACCCCAAAAGCTATCAATAAAAATAAGATTTTAAAAAGGCAGATGAAAAGAAAAAGAGAATGAGTACTAGGGGGAAAGTCACAGTTTCTTGCTGAGGATATTCCTTGGATTCTCTATTTCCACTGCTCAGGAAATTAGGGCCTTAAATAGTGGGATCATAACTTTAGAACTAGAGAGGGTTGTAAAGCTCATCTTGTCAAACCCCTTCATTTTTCAGATGAGGAAACTGAGACCCAGAAAGGTAAAGGGACTTAACCAGGGTCTCATATGTAATAAGGCTTTGCTTTGAGCATCTCCAGATCCCCTAATATGGAGGCACCCACTTGGGAGATACCAGGGATTTGCTTCTGGGAAGAGACATTCTGCATTCCCCTACCACATGGATAGAACCAGCCTTTTTCCATTGGCTACATAGCCAGAACGGCCTTTAAATCTACCAGATTGAGACAATCTGACTTTATTTCTTTCTGGTGGCATCCAGTAGGAGATAAAGGTCCTGTTCACCCTCAGAACAGGTACCAAGAACTGACCCGGGTGAGGGCCCTTTGGGGCCTTCTGGATCTGAGAAAGGGAGTTGGGGCTCTGTCTCTTGAGGTTGTCCTTTTCGGAGTCTCTGGACCCAGACTCAGCCCCAGTGACTTTGGAGATTGGATTGCAGGCCAGATGTTGTAGCCAGCCTAGCAGGAAAGCCCTGAGAAGCCAAGGTGACCATGACTTGAGCCCAAAGAGGAGCTCTGGACTTGGAAAGTGGCAGGACTAGGCAGTGTGGGAACTGAGGGAAAATGTGAAGCTAATCCTCCCCCCTCCTCCCCAGAGACTGAGGTGGCTTAAGGAGGAATTTCCATGTGTGTATGTGGTGGGGGAAGAGGGGTTTTAATGTTTGTGCTTGCTATATATAGCAAATATTCCTTTGTAAAAGTTAATTTGACTAGTAAATGGTTTAATTGAACTGGGGTGAAGAAGACTCCCTAAAATTGAGGGAAAGGATGGAGTTAATTGCAGGAACACTAGACAACCCCCCAAAATGGGTACTGGATAACCCTGGAGGAGGTGAAATGTAACAGGTATGGCCTTCAGGCAGTGGGGGAACAGAGGAGTCACTAGTTCACATAGGTAGTAAATTGGCAGAGAAAACATTCAAACCCAGGTTCTCTGACGACAAATGTAGGACTCTTCCCACTGCCCCACACTGCCTCATCCTCAGAGCAGAAGGAAGTCCTTAATGCCTTACCTCTTGGGGTTCTTCTTTTATGTGAAGAGCCCTGGCCTTCTCCAATTTTAAAACTTTCATCTTTCATCTTCTTCTAGGTAACATGAACAAGTAGTCATGTAGAACATTTAGCACAATGCCTGGCACACAGTAGGTGCTTAACAAATGTTTATTGATTTTTTTTTTTTACTGTCACAGATTCTCCCCAGACTCTAGCTCTGCCAGAATAAAGTTAGCTACTCAGGGTGCCTTTCAAACCCAATATCCAGTACTTAGCTCATGACCCACTCACCTCAGTGGCCTTCAGGATGAGAAGGCCTCGCAGGGTGCTGTCATCTACAGTGACCAACACCTGGGCATCCAGATCCATACTGTTCACTACCACATAGCCTGAGCCATCAATCCGACCCGGGGCCCCAAGAGCCTGGAGAGGGTTAAAAAAAAGCCACCAGGTCATAGGATCACAGTGTTTAGAGTGAAGAATTAGAAGGGACTTTAGAGGCCTTCTACCATTATTATTATCATCATCATCATCATCATCATCATCATCATCATCATCATCATCATTAGTGCCAGAGTCTGTGAAGTTTACAAAGTGCTTTACAAATGTAGCAGCCACTCACAGGCCCAAACCCAGTATTGGCTAGCATGAAAGCTTTGACCTGCTTTATTTTTCTCACCTGGGTTAGTTCACCCCTCCTTAGGCAACCTGGTGGCATGTATTCATAAGGGCCATATTGGTGCCATACAATTGATTTTAGCCCTACTGCATCTCAGAACTCCAGAGCTCAAGCAATCCACCACCCTCAGCCTCCCTAGCAGTAGGGCCCATAGGCAGGGCTGATTTTCTCAGCTTATGTTCATTATTACTTGGGCCTAATCATTATCAACATTACAAAGCATTCATTAAGCACTTAATGGTCCTTCTAGCTATGCCTGGTACTGCATAATGACTGATTTCCCATTAGACCTACACTGGTTTCTCTTAGGTTCTGGCCATGTGAGTCAATGTTTATTTCTGCAGTCTGTTCAAAGTCTTCATCTCTCCTATTCTTAAAACATACACACACATACACACACACACACACACACACACACACACACACAACTATATCCCTATCATCTCCTCTAGCTATCATCCTATATCTCCCCACCCTTTTTCAGCTAAACTCCTTGAACATGTCATCTACACACTTCATGTCCTCTAATCCTCTTGTAAATTTTGCAGTCTGGTCTCCAGCCTCATCATTCAATTGAAACTACTCTCTCCAAAGCTACCAGTCATCTCTTAAATGTCAAAACTAATGGTGTTTTCTCCATCCTCACATTTCTTGACCTCTCTACAGTCTTAGACACTGGCGACTACCTGCCCTTCCTAAGTATTCTGAGTTTTTGTGAAATCATCCTCTTGGTTCCCCATCTGACCTGGTCTGACCATTTTTTCTTGGTCTCTAGCCGGATCTTTACCCATGTTATGCCCATTATCCCAAAGCTCTGTCCTTCTCCCCCTCCTTTTTTTCTCTACACCACCCTCTTATGGTGATCTTTCAAGGGTTCAATTATTATCTCTACACAGCTTATTCTCAAAGCATCACCAACAGCCTATACGACATTTCAACTAGATGTCCCATAGGTATCTCAAACTCAACATGTCCAAAAGAAAACTCATTCTCTTTCTCTTTCTTCTGAACATTCCTATTACTGTCAAGGGTAATACCATCCTCCCAGTCACCCAGGTTAGAAACTTCAGTGTTATTCTTGGTTTCTCACTCTCACTCACCCCACATATCCAATGAATTGCCAAATCTTGCTGCCATAGCATTTCTTGTATACATCTCCTTCTCTGCACTCACATAGCCACCAATCCAAGTTTAGGCCTCCTTCATCACCTTTTATTGGACTACCTCAGTAAGACTCCTAATTAGAAGTCTCTGTCTCACGTCTCTGTCTCTTCCAACTCGTCCTCCACACAACTCCCAAAATAATTTCCCTAAAGTGTAGATATAACCATGTCAACCCCATACTTCTACATACAAACTTGATAAATTCTAGTAATAATAATAATAATAATAAATGTTTGTTTGTCCTTCATTTTCAAAGAGGACCAAAACGCTGCCTCATTTAAATCCAATTCAAGCATGAGTCAATAATAATAAATAACATTTCTAGATTACCCTATTACGTGCCAGGCATTGTGCAAAGCACTTTACAAATATTAAGTCATCTGATCCTGGTGGTATGTAGGTGCCCTTTTTATGATCCTCACTTTACAGGTGAGGAAACTGAGGCAAACTGAAGTTAAGTGACTCAGGAAGATTTGAATTCAGGTCTTCCTGACTCCAGGCCCAATGCTCTACTCAGCATGCCAGCTACAGTATGTCTCTATTACTTCTAGGACCAAATACAAAGCCCTTTATTTGGCATTTAAAGCTTCTCACAATCTGGACCCTTCCTATCTATCTTTTGTTTTCTTAGAAACCACTTCCCTTCATGACTCTATGGTCTATCCAAACTAACATCCTTGCTATTTCTCACTACCAATGCTCTGGCTCCCAACTCCCTGCCTGAAAGACACTTCTTTTTCATGCCTACCTCTTAGAATCCCTGGCTTCCTTCAAGACAGAACTCAAATGCCACTTTCTGCCCTTCCTGGTCCCCCCAGGTCCTAGTGCCTTCCTCTCTAAGATTGCTTTGTATCTACTATACTCTGGAGGCATATGTAGCTTGCATAAATTGATTTATGTGCACTTTGTCTCCCCCATTAGAATATAAGCCCCTTGAGGGCAGGGGCTGTTTTCAGTTTTTCCTTGAATTCCCAGCCCTTAGCAGACTGCCTGACAGACAGATTATAAGCACTTTGGTAACTCATCACTTTTCCTGCCCAGTCTCACAGAGGTTGGGGAGCACAAGGTCCCACCCGCTTGGGATACCTCTCCCTCCAGAAGTACCTGCAGCACTTTGCAGGAATTCTCCACCAGGCCTCTCCACTGGAACTTTTTCTCCAGCTGCAGATCCCCATTGGCTTGGATTTCACAGGTTCCTGATCTCAGCTTCAGGTCCAGCTGGAACTTAGTCTGTTTTCCAGCTTGAAAAGATAACTTGGTCTCCTCTGGAATGGCCCAGAGTGCTGGTAAGGTGTGTCTGAATATGGCCCGGATGGTGAGATGTGGTTGACATGCTCCCCTGAGTTCCAAGAAGGCTGCCTGGCCACCGGCCAGTAGGGTGCAGAGCAGCTTTACCTGACAGCCGGCAACCTGAGCTGATCCATTGAGGTGCATCAGGGTGGGGATTCCAAGGTCCTACCACCAATCAGACAAAATACCCCGATCAGCTCCACACCAAGGATTTCTTACTGCCCCTCCAGCATTGTTCCTCTTGGCTAATCCCGTTCTATGACTAGACTAAACACTTTAATCACAGATGTCTTGGCATAGGAGAAAGCATGATGGATTGGAGGGGAAAAATAATTAATGTGCTCATAAATGCTAAAGAGTTGCTAAGCAGGGTGTGGGAGTATGGGAAGCAGGCAAGAAAGTGAAGCCATTAGATTGATGAGGGTCAGAAGATAGACTGGCAGAAAGTTAGACTAGGCTAACTAGATGAAAGGCAAATTGCAGCCCAAGTGTCCAGATGTCTAGAAGAAGGATTAAGGAGTGAGGGGAGGAATGAGTTAGTGAACGCTTAGAGAGGGAAAGACATAAATAATCCCCTCACTTTGTAGAAGCACTTTGAGGTTTACAAAGTGCTTTTTGAACAATAACCCTGCCAGGTTGGTAGTGATAATATCATTAGCCCATTTTATAGATGAGGAAATTGAGGTTTGGGGAAGTTAACTCTGATTTGCCAAAGCAACTAAGTGTTAACAGTTATGATTTAAACTGAGGTCATCAGACTTCAAATTCATCTTTTTTGCCACCATACCACATTGCCTGAGGAGAAGGGTTATGTCACCAAGGCTGGAGCTCTAAAAAAGGATTCCCTTCTCCTCCTCCTCCTCCTCCTTCTCCTTCTTTTCCTCTTCTTCCTGTTCCTTTTTTCTCCCCCTTCTTCCTCCTCCCAACTCCCCAAGTATAATGGAAATAGAAGCAAAATCAGATTGCCTCAGTCTGGCATTTTTTCCCAGGATGCCACTTAGAGAATCTTAATCTTCCCTCCCTTCCTTACCCACTGCCCTGCAGGGACTTAGAGGGGGTGTCCATTTTTACGGCTTCACAAACAAATCTCACATCCAAATGCATGAATCCAAAGCGACCCTAAAAGGACCTGAATCCCCATTTGCAGTGTGACATGGTGGAAAACTCGCTGAGCTTCGGAATTAAGAGGCCTGGGTTTAAATCCTTGCTCTGATATTAATTATTTTTATTTGGGGTTTTGTTTTTGTTTTTTAGGCAGTTGGGGTTAAGTGACTTGCCCAGGGTCACACAGCTAGTAAGTGTCAAGTGTTTGGTCTGAGGCCAGATTTGAACTCAGGTACTCCTGACTTCAGGGCCGTTGCTCTGTCCACTGCGCCACCTAGCTGCCCCCTCTGATATTAATTATTAAAGAATATTGAAGTCTTAGCCCTTCTCAGCAATGCAAAGATCTAAGACAACTCCAAAGGTCTCATGATGGAAAATGCTATCCACATCCAAAGAAAGAATTATGGAGTTTGAATGCAGGTCAAAGCATACTATTTGCTCTTTTTTTTCTTCCGTTTCATTTTGTTTTCTCTTTCTCATGGTTCCTCCTATTGGTTCTGATTCTTATAACATCACTAATGTGAAAATATGTTTAATAGGAATGTATATGTATAGCCTATATCATATTGCGTACCATCTTGGAGAGGGAGGGGGAGAAAAATTTAAAACTCAAAAGCTTAAGGAAGTGATTGTTGATAAATCAAAATAAATTAATAAAAAAGAAAGAATATTGAACTCTCAGCTGTATGGCTAAAGCCAGTCAGCCAGTATTTATGAAGCACCTTTCTTCTTTCTTTTTTTGTTGGATAATAACGTTTTCTTGATATGTGACTATAAGGCAAGATTTACAGCTATAGATAACTTCTCAGAATCATCCAGAATCCCACTGGAAAGGTACATAAACTCTTAAGCTTTTCTTGCTAGTTGGGATTATTGTCTGGAATATTGTCTGTACCAGTCAATAAGTGTCTTAGCAACTGTCTGGTTAATTAATAAACTTGTATTTCTAATAGATCAGGGATCCTAAAACCCAGTATGGAGTGACTCAGTTCATTTACCTCGCCACTCTTTATGTGACCCCGGCCAGGCTCCTTAACCTACCTGAGCCTCAGTTTCCTCATTTATAAATTGGATTGTTTGAAGGAGAGCACTCTGAACTTCCAATGTATTACACAAGTGTAAGTTAAAACTATCTAGCATTTCCCACCGTTAGCATGACAATGACCACAGGATACTGTTCTCTGGGACTTTTCTTTCCCTTCCACCTCGTCCAGACCTACCTGCAGTAGCTCACAATCCGACTCTGTCTCCAGTACCCACTGGGTTCTGTTCCTGGGCTGGAGCTCCATTCTGCCCTGAAGCCGACACTGCCCAACTTGGAGAGTCAAGGAGCTTTGTGAGGCAGGGCCCAACCCTGCCTGCAGGTGGATGGCACTGCTGGGGGGCAGCCCCAGGCGGCTCAGAGGCCTGAAAGAGTGGTGCAGGCTTCCTTGCACCAAGGGTTTTTGTCTACAAGAAGTTGCTAAGTGCACCTGGGCATCTCCTTCATCACTCTGGAGGGCCATGGTGAGGTCACCATTACAGGGCCCAACCCTGAGGGAGCCCCTGGTGGCCAGGCTCTGTGGAAAGCCTGCTTTCTGCAATCACGGAAGAAAAAAAAAGAGAAGTTTTATAGAGCATGTGCTATACTTGATGGATCAGAGAGGCTGTAGAATGACCAGAAGAACCCCCGCATCCTTAGGCAAATGGAGGAGGGAGGGAAAATTAGGGGAATTCTCAAGTCTGGTATACATTGGCTAAAAGGCATTCCCTCAAAGATAATAGGTCCTTTCTGGCACACGATTTCACACTGTGAATTAGTTCCCTTGCATTGGGGCCTCTCTAGCCTACCCAGCGTAATCCCTGGCAGAGGTATGCTGGAGACAGCTAGTATGGTCTTAGGAGAGGCTCCCCCCCCCCCAGTTACATTTTCAGTGTGAGCATTTACACCTCAGAAATTAGCAAATGCTACAGATCAGGACTTGATTTATTATTTTGTTGATTGTCTAGACTTCAGAAAGTGATGGAGAAAATGTTAATCATTCAGATTAAACTTCAAAGCATGTCATGGTTTTCAGAGAGACAATTATTAAACATTTACCAGCATACCCCTGACTTCAGGGATTACTTTAGGTCAGGTTACTCTTCCCAATGCATGGCTTAGATCACATCTCTCCTTTATTCAGAAATCTTTAGTAGTGCCCTCTCTCTCTGCCTAGTGCCCGAGAAATAAAGTCCAACTCTCTTATCCTGGCATTGAAGGCTCTTCCCAAACAGGCCCCAGCCAATTTACCTAATCTCAGTACTCTCCCTCATGTCCTCCATGCTCCAGCTAAACTAGATGACTACTTGCCTTCTAAACATAATCTGCATTTTCTCACTTCTGTGTTTTTACCCATGCTGTTTTCTATACCTGGAATTCATTACCTCAAATCCCAGCCATCCTTCAACAGTTAAAATGCACCCTCCATGAAGCCTTCCTTGATTCTCCTCTCTTCCTGGCTGCTACCACCATCACCATCAAGGGACCCCTTCCTCCTCTAAACTCTCATATATTTAAGTCTTCCCTCTCCTAAGCACTTGCCAAATTCTTTTGATGTTCCACTTATTTACATACCTATCTTATTCCTTTTGCTAGACTGTAAGAACAGGACTCTGTCTTATACATCTTTGTATCTTCTTCATGGAGGTATCATATAGAGTAGATACATAAATATTTGCAATCAGTTGATGAACAAACTAATTCACTTAACAATTCAATCAGGTTAATTTTCAGAATGATTAGGGCATAATTCATTCTTTTGTTCTTCTGAATGTCTTCTCATGCCGACTTCCAAATGACACTGTAAACTTCCAGAAGGCAAGAAAATAGTCTAGGCAATTGACTGCCTTGCCCAAACTGTGATAGCAATGGCAGTGACGCACTAGTAATAGCTCCTCTTCAATCCTCTTGTTGAGAATGGGATCATTGAGAACAAAGTAAAAGAATAAATATGGCTGGACAGTAAGAGGGGAAAGGACTGGCAGAAATAGTTACAGTAGAGTTATGCTATATGTGATGGCTTAAAGTACTAATAAATAATAAATATTAATATTATAATAAATATAATATAAAATATAATAAATAATAAAATAATTAGTATTAATAATTAATAATAATTCTGGATTTGTCAACACTCAGGTAAACTGGAGAAAAGATCGAATAGCTTTCTACCCTGTCTTCTCCATCTCTGCCAAATCTTATTCACCCTTCAAAGTTCAGAAACATGCCCTGGTCACTTCATACATACCACATTCCCTTATCTGAAATTCATCCATTCACTCATTTAACTAATACCACCAAGCAGCTACTACATGCTGGTCCATGCTAGGTGCTATAGAGAGTCCAAGGATATACTCCACAAGGCCTAGCATAGTTCTGGGGCATAGCAGGTATCCAACAAGTGTAAGTTGAATTAAAAGCCAAAGAGAGGAATAAGAAATGTTAAGGGGTCAGGTAATGTAGAATGCACCTGAAAAATTGAGACTGGACTATACCTCTAATATAGGGCAATGGTTCCCCAAAGAAAGCGTCCAGTTGGTCTGAGTGGTGTTGCTTTCTGTCCTGACATCTCCGTCTGCCATCATAGAACATGGGCCTGTAGTCAATTCAAGCCGTGCCCTTGGTGCATCCCCTCCTGTAGTTGACACTCTGATGAGGTTCTCTCTGGCAATTCCCAGTTGCTTGAGTAGAGGCCATGAATGTTGAAGCTGAGCTTCCAAGTGGTTGTGGAGACCACAGAAGGTGTGGAAGTGGATGTGGGTAAAGGCTTCACCAGAAGAGACGTGTCCAATGAGGCTGGACTTGCAGCCATGTGCCAGAAGGGAACCATTCAGGGACATCACTGCTGGACTCTGCAACCAAAGAAGACTGAGGATGTTAGGGAAATAGTGATCTCAGGCAACCCTCCACAGCCAACCCATCCTCTCCTATGGATGAATATGTCATATCTCCTATAGCCTAAGGACTTTCTTTTTAATAGAGTAGTGTGCAAACTTTAAAGTGGAGAGTTTGACATTTATTCTTGGCAAAAAAAAATTCCAGAACATCTTATCAAAGAGATGCTTTGTTTACATTTAGAAAGGGAAGCAATGTTCACGAAAGCCTGTATAGCTTCATCAAGAAAGTCATGTCTATTCTTTTCTTGACAACATAACCAGCCTGGTAGAAGATGAGAATGCTATAAATTTATATATTTATATCTTAGCAAAGCATTTAGTGAAGTCTCTCATGCTATCTTTGTGGACAAAGTCAAGAGAAGCAGACTGGATGTCAGGGCAGTTAAGTATATTCAGGATTAGTTGAATGTCTGGATCAAAAGAATAGCCATGAATGGTCCAGTGCCAACTGAGAGAAATAAGTGAAATGTAGAGCTATAAATATAGACAATTATGTTTCAGGGAGAGATCTCTGGGACTTATTCACTACATATACTATGTATTACACACACATTCACACACATATACATATATAGTGAAACGAGCAGAACTAGAACAATTTATACTACTACATTGTAAAGACATGTATATATATAAACACACATATACATATACATACATGTATATATTGTTTGTGAAGAGAGAGAGAAAGAGGGAGAGAGGGAAAGGGAAAGGAAGGAGAGATTGAAAGAAAACAAATATATATATATATATATATTATATATGTATGTATATATACACATATATATGTATGTATCAGAGATATCTCCTTGGTTCTAGGCTAGTCAACAATTTTATCAATAGTTTAGATAAAGGCTTAGATGGACAGCTGACAAGAAAATGGAAGGATTAACATGCTGGCTAACAGAGTTGAGATACAGAAACATCTCAACAGATTAGAAATTTAATTTGAATCTAAAAAAAGATTAATTTTAACAAGGAGAAATATAAATAAAATTATTCACATAAGGTTTTTTTTTAAATCAACTATGTGAGTATAGGGTAGAGGAGGAGGGATAGCTGGGTAAAATTTCCTGGTTTAAAAAAAAAAATCTTGGGTTTTAGTGGACTTCAACCTCATAGAGGTTGACAACATGCCATAGTAGCCACAAGAACAAAGACAAATCTACAGAGAGGGGAAAGTGTTCAAAATGAGGAAGATAAGAGTACGTGCCCTAGTCATCTCACATTTGGAGGGTTCATTACAATTCTGGGTGTCTTATTTTAGGAAATAACAGCGACGCTTTAACATGCTAGTGAATCCAGAAGATGGTGAGAAGGCAGGAGGCCAGTTGAAGAAAATGTGGATGTTTAACCTAGAAAGAAGACTTAGGTAAGATATGCTAGCTTCCTACATGTGGACGAGACTGGGCCTGTCCTGCTTGGCCTCTGAAGCAGATTCCGGAGCAACGGGTGGAAGTCAAGAGAGGGAAGATTTATGCCTGGTACAAGGAAAAGCCTCCCAGCAAAAAGAGATACACGTTAATAGAATGGGATGCCTTGGTGAGGTAATGAGTCCTTGCCTCTCACTTGAGGTTTTCTAAAGGCCAGATAACCATTTGTAGAGAAGATTCTCAGAGAGATATATAACCTCAGCAGGTACTCCCAATTCTAAAAAATACTTTTGCCTTTGGGTACAAATATACTCTCAGAGTTTTTTGGTTTTGTTTTTAGTCTTATTTTTAGATCACGGAGAGAGGGAAAAGCGATCACCCAAGTGATAAAAAGTTTCAGGAGTTAGGTCATATGAACAACTGTAATAGATTGGGGGATGACTGAATAAATTATGCTATATGGAATATTATTGTGCCATAAAAAATGACGAAAGGGATGAATTCAGAGAAACTTTGGAAGAATTGCATGAACTGATAAAGAGTGAAATGTGCAGAACGAGGAGAACAATTTTTATAACAACATTGTAAAGACAAACAAATTTGCTTTTGTCTCGCATCTTTGCTAGTGGTGCCATGGGTCACCAGCAGCTCTACAGGAGCCACCCTCGAAAATTCGGCCAGGGGTCTCGGTCGGGCCGCATCTGTTCGAACCAGCATGGCCTGATCCACAAGTACGGCCTGAACACGTGCCTCCAGTGCTTCTGGCAGTATGTGAAGGACATCGGCTTCATCAAGCTGGACTAAGTTATGTTTATGAATCTCGCTTCAGTTATTATACTAACCATCAGTGACTATCATTTTACTGGACCCTGGACAACCTAAAGATGGATCGTGTTGTACATGCTATGCCAATTTGCATATATAATTTAAAAAGGTCATCCTCAGATATTAAAAAAAAAAAGACAAATGAATTTGAAACACCTAAAAACTGATCAATGCAATGACCAGTCATGATTCCAGAAGACTAATGATAAGACATGCTGCCCCCCTCTAACAGAGATAATGGACTCAAGTCACAGAATGAGGCATACATTTTTGAACATGGCTAATATAGGAATTGGTTTTGATTGACTATGCCTTTTTCTTTTTCAACTGGGGGAGGTGGAATGAGAGAAAGTAAATGCCTGTTAATTGGAAAAACATAATTTAAAAAAGAAATAAAATTGATACTACTTAATGTAGAGAAGAGAAGGTTGGTCACAGGTTCAGAGAAGATAAGAAAGTAGAGGGAGATACTTTCAAATCCACGGACAATGTGCATGGCAAGTGTATTTAAGGCTCCTCCACAACTCAGATGCCCAGATCGGAAGGTAGAAGAATACTAAGGAGGGAAGAGAAGACGGCACAGCAAGGTATGCTGATTTCTTTAAAGCCTTCTGCCTGACTTCTGGTAGAGATAGAACCATTTTTTCTTCTCTGGTTTTGCTGCAAGCCTGCCTGAAGACTAGACTCATAAACTCACAATGTTAAGAGGTGTAAAGGAAATTGCAGTCATGACATATTTCTAGATCTAGAAGTGGAAGGGGCCCCTAATCCAAATCATTCATTTTACAGATGAAGAAACTGAGCTCCAGAGAGGTGAAGTGACTTGTCCAAGTACCTAACGGCACAACTGGGATTCAAATTCAGGTCTCTTGACACCCTATCCAGAGTTCTCTATCCTATATCTCTCTACTCTCTCAGACAGCTAAGGAGCATGGTGGCTACAGTGCTGGACTTGGCAACAGGAAATCTCACCTAGGACACTTTATCCCTGAATGATTCAGAGAAACTACTAATCTCTCTCAGCCTCAGTTTCTTCTTTTATTAAAATGATATAATAATAGAACCTACTTCCTATGGTTGTTGTAAGAATGAAAGGAGCTAGTATACATAAAGCACTTTACAAATCTTAAAGTACTATGTAAATGTTAGCAATTATTATTAATTATTATTACTATAAAACAGTATCTTCACTCAGTGGAAAGATCACTGATTTTAGAATCAGAGGAGCTCAGTTCCTCTGCCATTTAATACCTGTGTGGGCAAGACACTAACCCTTTCTTGGTTTCAGTGTCCTCAACTATAAAATTAATAGGTGACCTCAAAGGTCCCTTCTTTGCTTAATTCTATGATTCTAAGACCAAAGTCCATGGAGCTATATGGGGTTCCATCACTAAATTGCAGAATTAGAAATTACCCATACAGCTAAGAGAGGAAGAATTCTTCTCTTCCATCTCTGAGGAGAATGGAAATTTCTCCAAGGGGAGGGACTGTTCTAGGGGTTTCTCTCTCTCTCTCTCTCTCTCTCTCTCTCTCTCTCTCTCTCTCTCTCTCTCTCACACACACACACACACACACACACACACACACACGTGTACACACACACACACACACACACACACACACACACACACACACACACACACAACACACACACACACACACCCCTGGAAAGCTTCTGGATCATGGTAGGTATGTAATAAAGCCTTGTCAGACTAGAAGATGATAGAGGCAATTTTGACTCAAGGCCTATGTGGCTTAGCTCCCTTCAGAGTTTCCTTGCCTCAGAGTTTGTGTCCTGTCCTTCCCCAAACTGCTCCTTTGCTTAACTTCCAAAGGCACCGTATCTCTGCCTCCCACATCATTCTGGACGTGCCTGCCTGCTCTAAGGTTAGTGTGCCACAGGCATCACTGAGCCCATGGCCAGAGGCATGCAAGAGCCAAAGCAGCTTGAAACATGTCCTTCCCTGGGACGAACATGTTCCTTTCTACCTGGAAGTAGGGACAGTGACCACGGAGAGCCAGCTCCCACTGCCCGGGCTGCCTCCTCTCTCGTCGCCCCACGCCGGACACTCTGCAGACTCCACTCAGCAGTTCCAGGCTCAGGTCTGCCTGACCACCAAGCTGAGCTGCTCCATGGAGCCAATTTTTCTCAGGAATACCAGTCTGCAGCCAGCTCAGGATGGTGTGATGAAGCAGCATCTTCAGCTCTATCTTCTTCCCCCAGGTGGTCAGCAGTTCCACTCTCAATGACTGGCCTCCCACAGTGATTTGGGCCTTGCTAACTAGCAAGGTTGGACCATAGGTCATCCACCCCACCAGCTGGAGGCTTGAAGGCACCGAGAGGGTCCTCAGCTGTCTCCACTGGTGCTCCCAAGTCCAGTTCATCCTGGCCCCATGGTCCAGCAGCCAGATAAACCCACTTGTGTGGAAAGAATCTTGGTTTCTTTTAACTTCCAAGCTGCTCTTAATCTTTCTATTTTTTGCTTTCAAGTGTAATATCATTGACCACTTCCTGCCTAAGCTCTGTGGTTTCTTTTTCTGTGCTAGATCCTGGAGTACCTTGACCTTGGCAATGCCCCAGCCCTGCCAGTGAGTTCTTACTGTGAGTAGCACACCTCTCCTGTCAAGGGAGACATGAACATGCCCTTCAAAAGCATGGCCACGCAGCTTGGGGAACCTCCACGTCTCTGCCGTGTGGTTGGTGAATAGTATATCAGCCTCTCCCCTCACGGAGGAAGCCACTTTGCACTTGATGAACCCTGACATGTTTTGAACATCTAAGTGGATGTGGATTCCTTCTCCCTCTGCTGTCAGGTTTAGCCTGGCCTTCAGCCTACCAGGCTGACACCTGAGCAGGGCTCTGACCTTCACGTCTCTTGGGATGTGAAGGAAGTGGAGGTGGGAGAATGTGTGCACCAGCCCTCCTGTGACCTCATGGACATGTCCTCTCCTGTGACAGCCGCCTGCACTCAGACTATCCCGGCAGTAGGTGAACCTCACTGCACCACATCTACGGAACCCCACGGTTGAGAAGGAAGTCTGTACCTCAAACGGACGGAGGGAGACGTCGCCACTGCAGTGGCCGGAAAGCTGGCTGGAGGAGGCTTCGCCGCTGCAGCTGACCTGTAGGATCCAGGAGGTACAATGAAACATTGGATGGCTAGAGACATATCTGGGCAGGAGTAGAGAAGGGTTCTCTCCTTTTATTTGCCCCTCTTCTGTGACCAAAAAGACCCCACTTAAAAGTAATAGCAATTACCCATCCTGTTGTTCCCGACAAACGATCTACAAACACCAAGGAGAGATGATTAAGCAGGGGTTCCTAACCTGGAATTCATAGACCCCTTAGGGATCCATGGGTAGATTTCAGGGGATCTGTAAACTTGGACAGGAAAAAAATTATATTTTATTTCACTAACCTCCAACTGAAAATGAGTCTTTTCTTGCGTGCTTAGAAACATGACCCTGAGAAGGGGTCCCTGGGCTTCACCAGACACAAATTCAGGTGAAAGACTCCTGCTATAAAGAACAAGGCTGGGGTGGAGCCAAGATGGAGCGTGAAAGCAGTGACTTGCCTGAGCTCTCCCCCAAACCCCTCCAAATACCCATAAAAAATGGCTCTAAACAAATTCTGAAGCAGCAGAACCCACAAAAAGACAGAGTGAAACAAATTTCCAGCCCAAGACAACCTGGAAGGTTGATTGGCAAGGCATATCACGCCCGGCTGGGAGCACAGCGCAGTGTGGCACGGGTACACAGGCTGCAGAGAACCTGGAGCAGGCCTCAGAGGACTGAATCACGGGCAGCTGTGGCAGTTTCCAGACTCCTCAGTCCACTAACGCCAAAGACAACTTAGAAGGTAAGTGGGGAAAGACTGTTTTTGTGGTTAGAGAAGAGCTAAGTCAGAGCCACTTCCAGAGCGCAGAGTGTGGGTGCCTGGGCAGTGGCTCTGTCCTGAGCTTCCGGCCCACAGACTGAAGGGGAATCAAGTGGCTGATCAGAGAGGGACTGCAGGGATCCCTTTGCCAGTGCTGAGGCAGGAATCTCTTGCTTTGCCCGTGCGTGGATCTGGGTCACAGTTCTGGGTGGCGCTCCTGGGGTGAGGAGGAGCACTGGCACGGTGGAGGTGGAGAGGAAACCCTCCTCACAGTTCCAAGAGAGAAAAGACTGCTTGTGGCTGGTCACTCAAAGACCAGAGCTCAGGCCAGGAAAAGAGTAAACACCTCACCCCTTATCATACCACCTTGGAAGAACTGAAAATTTACACGTGCCTAGAAGTATCTCTGAAAACAGCTATACAAACCTCTGAAGCTTGGGACAGTATACTCTCCACTTTGGAAGCAGACTTTTACTTTAACAAAGAGTTTAAAACTCAGATAATTGGCCAGGATCATGAGCAAACCTCGCAAAGAGTCAGACTGTATTACCTTACTTTGGTGACAAAGAAGATCAAAACATATAACCAGAAAAAGACAACAAAGTCAAAGCTCCTACATCCAAAGCCTCCAAGAAAAATATGAATCAGTCCCAGGCCTTGGAAGAGCTCAAAAGGGATTTTGAGAAGCAAGTAAGAGAAGTAGAGGAAAAAATGGGAAGGGAAATGAGAGTGATGCAAGAAAATCATGAAAAACAAGTCAACAGCTTGCTAAAGGAGACCCAAAAAATACTGAAGAAAATAACACCTTAAAAAATAGCCTAGGGGCAGCTAGGTGGCGCAGTAGATAGAGCACCGGCCCTGAAGTCAGGTTGGACCTGAGTTCAAATCCGGCCTCAGACACATAACACTCACCAGCTGTGTGACTCTGGGCAAGTCACTTAACCCCAATTGCCTCACCAAAAAAAAAAAAATAGCCTAACCCAAATGGCAAAAGAGGTCCAAAAAGCCAATGAGGAGAATAATACCCTAAAAAGAAAAATTGGCCAAATGGAAAAGGAAGTCCAAAAGCTTACTGAAAAAAATACTTCCTTAAAAATTAAAATAGAGCAATTGGAAGATAGTGACTTTATGAGAAATCAAGACGCTATACAACAAATCCAAAAGAATGAAAAATTAGAAAACAATGTGAAATATCTCGTTGGAAAAACAACTGACCTGGAAAATAAATCCAGGAGAAAGAATTTAAAAATTATTAGACTATCTGAAAGCCATGATCAAAAAAAAGAGCCTAGACATCATCTTTCGAGAAATTATCAAGGAAAACTGCCCTGATATTTTAGAACCAGAGGGCAAAATAGAAATGGAAAGAATCCACAGATCTCCCCCTGAAAGAGATCCCCAAAGGAAAACTCCTAGGAATATTGTAGCTAAATTCCAGAGTTCCCAGGTCAAGGAGAAAATATTGCAAGCAGCCAGAAAGAAACAATTCAAGTATGGTGGAGACACAATCAGGATAACACAAGATTTAGCAGCTTCTACATTAAGGGACTGGAGGGCATGGAATATAATATTCCGGAGGGCAAAGAGATAGGATTACAACCAAGAATCACCAGCAAAACTGAGTTTAATCCTCCAGGGGGAAAAATAGTCATTCAGTGAAATAGAGGACTTTCAAGCATTCTTGATGAAAAGACCAGAGCTAAATAGAAAATTTGACTTTCAAATACAAGACTCAAGTGGAACATGAAGAGGTAAACAGGAAAGAGAAATCATAAGAGATTTATTAAGGCTGAACTGTTTACATTCCTGCATGGAAAGATGGTATTTATAACTCATGAGACCTTTGGCAGTATTAGGGTAGTGGGAGGGGAAAAATTATATGTATGGAGAGAGAGAGAGAGAGCGCACGTGCACAGGGTGAGTTGAAGATGAAGGGGTGATATCTGGAAAATAAAATTAAGGGGTGAGAGAGGATTATACTAGGAGAAGGAGAAAGGGAGAGGTAGAATGGGGTACATTATCTTGCACAAAACAGACAAGAAAAGGGTTCTTATAGTGGAGGGGAAATAGGGGAAGGTGAGAGGAAATGAGGGAATCTTATTGTCATAGGATTTGGCTTAAGGAGGGAATAACATACACACTCTATTGGGTATGGAAATCTGTCTTACCCTACAGGAAAACAGGGGAGGAAGGGAACAAGAGAACAGGGGGATGATAGAGAGAAGGGCATATTGGGAAAGGGGTAATCAGAAGGAAGTACTTCTGAAGAGGGACAGGGTCAAAAGAAAGAATAGAATAAATCGGGGGGCAGGATAGGATTAAGGGAAATAGAGTTAGTTTTTCACAACATGTCTACTATGGAAGTGTTTTGCATAACTGCACATGTATGGCTTGTATTGACTTGCTTGCCTTTTCAATGAGGGTGGGTGGGGTGGGAGGAAGGAAGAAAATTTGGAACCCAAAGTTTTAAAAACACATGTTTAAAAAAAAGTTTCCACATGCAACTGGGAAATAAGAAATACAGGAAATGAGGTACAGAAATCTATCCTGCCCTACAGGAAAATAGAAGGGGAAGGGGATAAGAGAAGGGCAGAGAGAGACAGAAGGGAGGGCAGACTAGGGGAAGAGGTATTCAGAATGCATGCCATCTTGGGGTGGGGGGAGGGGCAAGTTGGGGTGAAAATATGGAACTCAAAATCTTGTGGAAGTAAATGTTGAAAACTAAAAATAAATAAATTTATATATAAAAGAAAAAAAAAAGAACAAGGCTTTACCTGTCCTTGGCCTGCTTACCTGGAGTCGGGAGGGCACCACACCACTGAGTCCTGGCACACTGTGTTGCAGCCCCAGAACCACCTCCTCTGAACGGCCTCCATTCTTCTTCCTCTCCAGCGCCACGCGAAGGTGCTCGCCATCCAAGCCAGCCTTCATGCCAGCCACCAGCCTGGAGCCAGAGTTCTAGACAATGGGATTGGATGTCCCTGAGGCCTTGACCCTGGGCCACAGGGGAGCAGCGCGAAAGGTAAGAAGCTGGTGGTATAGAATAGAAAACACTGGACTTGGAGGCCAAAAGGCCTGAGTTCAAATCCTGCTTCACACATACTAGCTGAATGAGAAGAGTCACTTGTTTCTCCTCTATGTGCCTCAGTTTTCTTGTCTGTAAAATGAGGATAATAATAGCACCTTCCTCATAGGAGTGTTGTAAAGATCAAATGAGGTGATAAAAGTACTCTGCAAGCCTTAAAGTGTTATATAAATACTAGCTATTATGGCATCATATGTTTAGAGCTAGAAGGGGCCTTAGAGGTCATCAGGTTCAATCCCCTCATTTTACAAATTAGGAAACCAAGGCACAGATGAGTTAAATGACTCGCCCAGGGTCACATAGATAATAAGTTTCTAAGGCAGGATTTTAAGGGAGGTTCTCCTAAAGTCAAGTCCAGCACTAACTATATCCACTAGACTACCCAGCAGCCAAAGTAAGGAGAGAGATGGATCAAATATTGCCTAGTATAGAAAAAGCACAGACCAATTCTTGGCTGTACCATGAGCTCATTGGGTTACTTTGACCAAGCCATTTGATTTCCCGGTTTTCTGGTTTAACTGCATCCATAAAATGAGAATGGACATGCCTGCTCTGCCTACTTTATAGGATTGTAAGGAAAAAATGGGATATTTGTGAAATACTTAGCATAGTGCCTAACACATAGTAGGTACTATATAAACACTAATGCCTAGCACACAGTAGGTACTGTATAAATGTCTGTTCTCCTCCTCTTCCTCTTCATTATTATTATTAGTGATATAAACAGGTTTTGAAAAGCATAAAACACTGCCCAAAATGTAAGGGGTTATCCAACTAGAGCTAGAAAGCCACGTAGTCCAGCTCTCCATTTTACAGTTGAAGATAATGAAGTCTAGGGAAGTTCGGGGACTCGCCTGAGGTTACATAGGTTGTAAGCAACAGAGGCAGGATTTGAACTCAGGACCACTTTCTCTAGATCAGGTGATCTTTCCATTTTACCACACTGCCTCAATTCAATTAAGTAAACATTTATTAAGCACCTAGCACCTGCCAGGTACCGTGCAAAGTGCTAGCGATAGAAAACGAGGCAAGAGACAGTTCCTGGCTTCAAGGAGCTTACAATCTAATGGGGCCTCCTCAATCTGATGATATCTTCCCCGTCCTCCTCTTTTTCATCTTTATCATCACCAGTAATTCTGACCTCAGGCTTCATGAGGAGTAACATTTGCCTATAAGCTGCCATTTTTGTTGTTATGGTTGTGGTCGTTCGTCCTTTGTTTCCGAAGGGGACCAGTGACATCACAGGGTGGTCTTGACTTGTGCGTGAATTAGATTTAAGTGAGGCAGAGTTGCCCAAAGTCGTCAGCCTCACTCATTCTTCTGAGTCACGGAAGTCTAGTGGCAAGACAATGACTGGTGATGGCCTAGAATGCAGTGGATGACCTCGGCATCTTCTATGCCTGACCAAGCTCCACTGTGCCTGCTTCTGCCACCTTCATGGCCATCCATCCACTCCACCAGGGGAAGTCTTCACACGCTTGGGGTAGACATTCCCCTAACTCACTGATGGGTTTAAGTCCCATCAGTTACCCCCAGAATGTCATTGTTAGGGGTAGAGGGAAGGTCCCCAAAATATCTTGCCCACCTGAATAAAATTTCTTCAAAGATATCTTTGATCTAAATCAAGAAATCATGTTTAAAATTCAAATACTCCTATGAGAGGGGCCCAGGTGACTTACATTCATACTGAGTCGGCAATAACATGTACCAGAGCCTTTGTTGACAGGATGTTTCAACAGGGTTGGGATCAAGGGATACTGGGTATTTGAAAGGATCAGAAGAAGGACATCGCAGAGACAGGAGAGGACACAGAAAGTGAAGGCGGACTGAAGGAACAGGAGACATTCAAGCGTCAGGCCAACCTTGGACTGGTGAATACGGTGAGAGGACCTCATTGTACTGGGGAGAAGAGGGAGAGGCTCCAGAAGCCCAAGTGATTGGAGAGGCATCGAGGCATAGTAGATAAGAGAGCTGAACTAGTAGCCAGGAAGACCTGAGCTTTTATTTTATTTGTTTGTTTTTTAAACTAATTTATTTTGATTTATCAAAAATCACTTCCATAAGCTTTTGAGTTTTAAATTTTTCTCTCCTTCCCTCCCCCAAGACAGCACACAATCTGATAAAGCCTATATATATACATTCCTACTAAACATATTTTCACATTAGTGATGTTGTAAGTAAGAATTAGAATCAATAAGAGGAAGGGACCTAGGCCTTTAGTATCCTGCCTCAGACATTTGGTTGTATATCCTCGGACAAGTCACTTAAACTTTCTGTGCCTCAGTTACCCCATCTGTAAAATGAGGAAGGTAGACTGTGGTAAGACCAGGATCTCTAAGGTCTCTTCCAGCTGTAAATCTGTGAGATTGATTTTCTCAACGAGAATGGATTCTGCCTACAAACCAATAAGTCATCTCCTCCTGGGGGAGGAGTCAGCCCTTTTCTACCCCTTTCCCCCCAGATTGCTGGCTGCCTCTTTAACCAAGTGTTAGATGTAGCATACACAGTAGCCACACTCTGCAGATTATTTAAACCAGGTTGCGGGTAGGTGGTTTAGGGGGATGTCTATCCCAAGCATGTGAAGACTTCCCCAGTGGAACGGGCAGACAAGAACAGTTTGTTCCAATAGCCATGAAGATGGCTGAAGCGGGTACTATGGAGCACTGAGAACTTGGTCAATGTCTAAGATGGGCCATAGCCAACTGTCTTGACTTCTATCATGCCCCTGGACTTCAATGACTCAGGGAGAGAGAGTGAGGCCAACAACTTTGCACAACTCTTGTCTCACTTAAATTCAATACATGCCCAAATCAAAGACATCACCCGCATCTTCAAAAATGAAGGGTTAGCAAGAGCCAATCGTACTTTTTCTTAGTAGAGATGCCCTGTCTCACCCTCTATACACACATACACTCTCTAGCCCCGTGTTTCCTTCACTTTGCCTGCTGCCTTCATTCCGGGAGCTGGAAGAGAAGCCTGAGAGAGAGAAATAGTCTTACTCCCCAGGGGCTCATCCCCTCCCCATTTCCTGCCACCAGCAGGGCCAGAGACAGGTTGACAGGTAGTAACAGAGACAGTCCCTTACTCACACACAGCTGACAACCTTCTGTTTCCTTTGGTGCTGTCTCACCCTGATGGGAGAGGAAGAAGGTCTGCCCCTCCAGCTCTCAATTCAGGATTTAAAAACTAAGTGACAAGGATCCAGCCCAGGCCTTTGCCCAGCCTGTCATTAAGCTTTGAAGGATGAAGGAAAGGGCCTCAGAGTCCAGTGCACCTCTCCCACCATCCTACTGCTGGGCTTAAAATTCCACCCCCAGGAATATATATGTGTGTGTGCATGTGTGTGTGTATTTATGTATATGTATACACATACATACATACATACATATAGTATGTGTGTGTATATACACACACACACACACACACACACACACACACACACACACACACACACAGATACACATATATATTTCCTCCTCAAAATACAAACACTTCTGGGAAGGAAATACAATACCTCATATCTATAGATATTACATAGAAAGAGTTTTGCAAACCTTAAAGCACTATATAAATGCCAGGTTTTGTTATTGTTTTGCAAAGCTCTTTGCATATATTTGATCCTCACAACATCCCTCAGAGTAGGGAGTAACTGCATTTTTATTATCCCCATTTTACAGATGAGCAAACTGATACTGGGAGAGGTAGCTAACATTTCTCTTTTTTTTTTCTCCTCACAACACAATAGTCTTTGCCAGAGGAATCCCGGCATGCTGAATGTTTAAACTGGCAACACCAAAGGGAGGAGAGAGGGGACGTCAGCGTTCTTGGTTTTCTTTTTCTAAGGGAAGCTGGTTTTTACTGAATTTTAAGTTCAAAATCTGACAGAGCTCTGAGGTTTAGTGCATGTGGACAACAGGCAAGTTTTGTTTATTTTTCAAATACCATTCTCACCACAGTATGTGCACAGGGTCAGTAAAATTTATGTTAGAATTACTTATGTTTTCTTTTATCTGCAATAATACAACCTCCAAAATTCCATAGCAATGTGTATTGGTGAGCGGCAGTGTTGAAACACAAGCTCAGATGTGAGTTCAAGTCCAATTTTTTTTGTTTGTTTTTTGTTTTTGTTTTTTTGGTAGGCAATGGGGGTTAAATGACTTGTCCAGGGTCACACAGCTAGTAAATGTCAAGTGTCTGAAACCGGATTTGAACTCAGGTCCTCCCGACTCCAGCGCCAGTGCTCTATCCACTGCGCCACCTAGCTGCCCTATGATGTGTTTTCGATATCATTTTGGAATTATAGATTTAGAGATGGAAGGGGCTTGGAGGTTATTCAGTCTGCCTCCTCCCTCCCTCCTTCCTATCTTTCTTTTTATCCCAAATGAGGAAATGGAGGCCCAGAGAAGTCATGGGATCATAGAGGTAGAATGGTCCTTAGAGGCCTTTTAATCCAACCCCCTTCCTCTTATTTTATAAGTGACAGAACAGAGGCCCAGAGAGATCAGACAGGTTGACAGGTAGTAACAGAGACAGGATTTGAGCATACATCCTCTAACTCCAAAGCCTAATCTCTACCACACAACGACAACAGCCACGCAACCATTGTTTATTAATATAGCACTTTACATATTTCATCTCTGCTGATGCTCACTATGTGAGTGGTGGTATTATTATTCCCATTCTATAGATAATAATAAACAAACATTTATAGAGAGCTTACTGTGTGTCAGGCACTGATGCTACTAAGCACTTTACAATTTTTATCTCATTTTATCCTTAAAACAATCCTGGAAGGTAGGTGCTATTATTATCCCCATTTTACAGATGAAGAAACTGAGGCAAACAGGGGTTAAGTGACTCACCCAGGATCACAAGCTAGTAAGTGTCTGAGGCAGAATTTGAACTCCAATCTTTCTTGCTCCAAATCCAATACTATTCTCTGTGACACCTCACCGCCATGTTGCCTCACTCATAAATAGCGAGTTATCTTAGAATCATGCCCAGAATGCGAAAGGGTTATTGGACAAGCTACCACAATCTGGTGGAAATATCTCTTAGGAATATCTAGGCCACCTCTGACAAGTAATACCGTTACTAGATTTATATCCCAAAGAGATAGAAAACAAAAAGGAAAAAGGCCTATGTGTACAAGAATAGTTAGAGCAGCTTTTTAGTGGTGTCAAAGAACTGGGAATTGAAGGGATGGCCATCAATTGAGGAATGGCTGAACATGTTGTCGTATATGATTGTGATGCAATACTACTGTGCTATAAGAAATGACAAGCATGATGCTCTCTGAAAAACCGGAAAGACTTACATGAACTGATGCAAAGTGAAATGAGCAGAACCAGGAGAACGCTGTACACAGTAACAACAACTTTGTACGATGATCAGTTGTGAATGACTTAGCTATTCCCAACAACACAATAAGCCAAGACAATTCCAAAGGTCTCATGATGAAAAATGCTATCCACTTCCAGAAAAAGGAACTGATGAAGTCTGAATGTAGACTGAAGCATACTATATTTCACTAATTTTTTTTCATGGGTTTTTTTTTTGGTCTGTTTCATCTTTCACAAGCTGATTAATATGGAAATATGTTTTGTGTGATCACACATTTATAACCTATATCAAATTGCTTACCATCTTAGGGAAGGAGGAGATGAGGAAGTGAGGGAGAAAATTTGGAACTCAAAATTTTTTATAAATGAATGTTAAAAATAGTCTTGACATGTAATTGGGAAAAAATAAAATGCCATATTTTTTTTAAAAAGTGACTCACCCTGAGGCATAATTTGAACTCAGATCTTCCTTCCTCCACATCCAACACTTTACTGTCTATGACACCTCAATACCATGGTGCCTCACTCATAGTCAATGACAGTTATCTTAGAAATATGCCCAGAAAGCAAAAAGAGTAATCGAACAAGCTACCACAATTTGGTGGAACTATCTCTTAAGAACATCCAGGCCACAGGTGAGTGGCATTTTAGGACTGAGAGGGATTTTAGTCCAATTCCCTAATTTCATAGATGAGCAAACTAACAGAGAAAATGACTTATCTAAGGTCATTCAGGTAGTAAGTAGCAGAACTCCTGGAGGTAACCAGATCAAGTATGTTTTATATCATAACTTAAACCCCTCTAATCTAATGCTCTACTTAACTTGTCAAATAACTCTTAAATGATCTTGCCACATAAATCTCCTATGGTAATTATTCTTTGAACTATACCTATGATTTTATTGGCAGAGGGAACTTCCAACAAGGAAACTCCATCTACCAAGACAGATTGGTAACTGTTGTGCAGTGGAGGTGTTTGGGGCACAAACAGATTCAGTGACTTACCCAAGGTCACAAAGCCAGTATGTTTCAGATGCAGGACTGGAATCCAGGTCTCCCTAATGCCAAGGTTGGTTCTGTATCCACTATGGAACACTACCTCTCAAATCCCATGGGAAATTAACCAACTGGCCCTCTTGTTTGTTAGTGGGTACCCCAGTCTCCTGGGTGAACTGATAAAATCAAGTTTCTAAATCTACAAAGCCAAGGACCTGATCCTGGATCTATGGTTGTTTCCCTACTCAAAGGCTCACACCCCATGAGGACCAGCAGACCCCTTTTCTTTCCCACCCTCTCAATCGTAATAAGCAGGAAGGTCACTGAAAAACTCCGCAGTCTGGCCTGAGGGCTGCCCTATTGTAATTTACTATTAGGGATCTGAGATCAGCCAAGCATCTCACATCTGCCCTTGTCATTCCTCCTCATCTTCACCCACTCTCAAACGTACCTTTGTCAAATAAGACCCTGCATTAAGTAATTACTCACTTGGTAATAACAGTCTCCTTCGACCAAATAGGGGATACCAAGCTGCCTGAAGTCCTCAACGTTGTGGCTCAGGTTTGCAGTGATCCGGGCCTCTGGGAATTCCCCAGAAGGAACTTCTACTCTGAAGGCAGCATCAATATGGCTTTCATTGCTCTGCAGCCCCAGGGTCAGCCTGTGGTTGGGAGCAAGGTAGGTATGGGAGAACAGAATCGCTCCATTGGTGGGCAGTCCTGGATGGGAAGAGACACAAATAGACATTTGAGACATGGAGGTGATGAGACCATTAGGAAAAACAGCCCAGTCCACTTCCTCAAGAGCCATGCTGGTGTTGAAAGGAGAGGAGATAAGGACTAATGTAAGGATTTTAGTCAATCTGTGGATTCCTGTTGCTGCTGTGTCTTCCATGACCTTGGATAGCAGAGAGTTGGTAGGATTTTCATGAAGCAAACAGGAGCTTGGGAGAGTGTAGCCACCCTTCTCCTCGACCCTAACCCCAATCCATCCCCAGTGCAGGGTCAGGGTTCTTTCTGCCTTCCTACCTGATTGTCTTAAAATGTTACTGTTGTGGGCCAGATTGGCAGAGAGCTGCCTCTGCCCTGGAGCTATGATGCAGGTTGTGCCCAGGACAAAGTGGTCTCATCGGCATGAAGGGTGGCATGGGCGTGGTAGCCATCAGGCTGGGTCTGCAGCTGTCCCCTCAGCTTAAGCTCCTCAGGGATGGCCTGACTGCCGTTCTGAATCATCACACAGGTCACGCTATGCACGCTGCTGTTCCCCAACATGTGTTTGTCCCTCAGACGGAACCCAAACATGGCATCATCAATGAGGATACTGAAGTTCCCTGTGGGAAACAGGAAGTGTGACTGCTCGATTCAACACAGAGGAGTAGGAGAAGAATACAATTTCCTATATCCCTTGCCATGCTCTCCAGAGAAGGAGCTCCTTTTCTTATGGCCCCAAGATCCTAGGTCACAAGGAGGCGGCGAATTCTTTGCTCCTCACTGTCCCTTGGAGAGCACATCTTTTTGCCCATCACTTAGCCATTCACTTGCTTTGAGGCCCTTTTCATCTCTCTAGATCACCTAATTCAGATCCCAGCCTCCAGGTCACTCTCCTTCCTTTCTCAATGATTTCAGCTCTTAGATGACCATCTTCCAATCTACCCCAGCCCTCATACTTGGGGTCTTTGATGTACAAATTGCTGTCCCCTCGAAAACAACACACACACATTCACACACCACAAAGCAACTGCTTTAGCTCCCATCACCTGTATCTTCACTCCATCTTCATGCCATACTCACGTACTATCACATCTTATATTTCATTATCGCTGATAACTGTGTTACCTCTATCATCCTGAACTCTGAAATTCCCCTCTCTGTTTGTTACCTTCCCTTTATTTCTCACTTAAAACTATTTTTCATGACCCTCAGGTCCTCCTCTTTTCCTGTTCTCTTCATCCTCCAAACCTGCTCTCTCTTCACTTTCCTTTCTTCATAATCTTGACCCTATGGTTAGAACTGGAACTGGAACAACTTGAGCTTTATCTGAGGGCACCAAAATGGAAAGAATAAAAAAAAGTTTCAATAATGATTTTAAAAGATTGTGTGATTTTAAAATGGCCAAATATTACATTTTGAGAACCCTTGCAATTTGATAGCCCAGAAGCAACTTAACTTGACATCTAATTAGCAAGAGTAATCAGCTAAATTAGCTACTAGATGGCATATTTCCTCCCTCCAGAGCTAGTACCATAAGTTAGCTTCTTTCTGGTATGGACCAGTTCTGCTTGCATTTTAGACTTTGGGGACATCCTCCCTCCTAGGGCTTATGTTTCAGGGTCTCTCCCCACTGAAAGAACAGTGTCTTAGGGTATCTCCCCACAAGGATCTTGTATCCTGAGGTCTATCCTTCCACTCCACTGAATGTGACTTAATTATTTGTGTCATTTTTACTTATTTGTATCATGTAATCATGAATTACAAAGTTGGTATGAGCACCCACACGCACTATTCCCACTGGGCTTTCCAATTTCTAGTTACAGCTCTGCCCAAGGTTGACAAATTCAACCATCTGCCATTGTCTCTCCATGGATGCCTTGCTCCTTTGACATATTGTCATTCACCACTTGTCAAACCCCATCCCTGGCTTACTCTTGCTATCTACTTTCTCTCCTATGCTGTTGAGCACTGCTATAAATCACACAATTGAATTGGCAGTGTACATTATAAATTCATGTGACTTAATTTCAGCTGGGCCCTCACCAATGAATAGCAATCCTCTTATCTTTCTCTGAATGACCATCTATATTGCATTTCTTAAAACAGCTGTCCCAAATCTTCTCTCTCTCTTTGCCTCCCTATGACATCTTGTCTTCTCTTCCTCTCAGCAGAATGTCTTGACACCTATTTTACTAAAATTAAAATAAAAATCCCTGTACCATCTGTGCGGTGAGTTCTCTCTTCTCACCTACTTCCCATCTACTTCTTACCTACTACATACTTCTAAGCCACATTAGGTCACGTTTAGTTAATGTTCCTTCTCCTTTCCAAGGCCAACACCTCTATTTGTGCCTCTGATTTTATTTCCTCCCATCTTCCCTGGGAACTTGGCCTTTCCATCATTCTCTCCTTCTCTTCAGTTTCCCCCTATTTATCAGCTCCTTCCTCACTACCTACAAATATATCCAGGCCTGCTCCCACTTAAAAAAAACCCCAACATTTGAATTTGACTTATCTGCAACTCTTGACACCGATAAATATCTCTCCTCTTCCCAATACTTTGTCATTGGTTTCTCTGATTCTGCTCTCTTCTGGCTCTCTTCTCACCACTCCTTTTCAGTCTGCTTTGCTGAATCATCATCATCTATCCCCAGTCCCTAAATAGTTGTCCATCCCAATGCACTGTCTTAAGTCCTTTTCTCTTCTTTTTCTGACTTTTCTCTCTTGACCCTATCTTTTCTACCCAGATTACTCACAAAAAGTTATTTATCCAACCTTGTTCTCTCTATGGAACTCCAATACCATATTGCCAAATACCTGCTAACTATGTCCAACTGGATGTCCCATCAACACCTCAAATCTAACATGTCCAAAACAGAGCTCATGATCATTCCCCCTAAACTTACTCCTTCTCAAAATATCTCTACATCTATTAACCATATCACAAGCCTTCCAGTCACTCACATTCATATCCTCAACTTTTTACTCTTTTCATTCTTCCTCAACAACCTCCCCCACACTGCATGTGTGAAGTTATTGACCTCTCAGTATTCTAAGCAATTTTCCAACACTAAATGTTACAGAGAAGGTGCCAATATGCATTAGCAGAGGGAGCTCCAGGAGCTCCCTAAACCAATGAAATCACAAGTCCAGTCCCTATCTCTGAACATACATTTAGGTATCAAGGCTGGGCTAGTGCTACTGACTTCTCCCTCGTTCCCAGTTGTTGGCAGTGACTTTCCTCTATGCATGTCAGGAGATGGAGAGAAGTCTTTGGCTTCCTTCAAGTCCCAACTAAACCCCCCCCCCTTCTACAAGAAGCCTTTCCCAATGCCCTTTAATACCTCTGCTGATTATGTAAAACTTATTCCGTCTATATCCTGTTTGTACAAATCTGTTTGCATGTTACCTCCATCATTAGACTATGAGCTACTCAAGAGCAGGGACTGTTTTTTGCCTTTCTTTGTGTCTCCAGAACCTGACACATAGTATGCATTTAATACATGCTTGTCAATTGACTGACCTCACAATGGATTCTTCTGGTGCACCTGTCATGTAATATTGTGCGTTATGGTTAACTGTGTTTTTGCCTTATTTCCCTATTGGACATCTTCAAGTAGTGCCTGAAATGGCACAGATGTAGAACCAGGATTTCTGCTTTAAGCTGAAAGGCTCTGGGGGATTTGATACAGAGGAGATACTTAGAAAACAAAACTCTGAGACCCCAAAGGATGTTTGTTCATTTATGTGGTAGAAGTCAAACAGCCTTGAGGGTCTTTGTCTTTTGGAGTTTCAGCTGATGTTTTTTCACTAAGTGCCTCTCTCAAAGTCCCCCCAACCTGAAGATTGTCTCCTCCTTAAGTTTTCCACTTTAGAGCGATGTCTCAGATTCCCCCTCCCAGGCCGTGAAGGAAGACACACCCTCATTGCTGTAGTTCTTCCGTTTGAGAGATCCAGTGAGGTCAAGGAGCTTTGGGACAGCCCCCCAGCTGTCAATGTTATGCTGGACTCTGCCCTTTAGGGACAGGATGGGTCCCACCTTCTCTTCCTTGAGTCCTGTGAAAAACAGCTGGGCACTGTTCTGACTGATCATCATTTTAGTAAAGAACCAGAACCTAGGGGCAAAAAAGACAAATTGATGGGGTCAGAGTGACCACAGACAATCCCAAAGGTCTGAGACTCCTGGACATTTCCTTTAGAGCCAGTGGCAGAGCATGCCCTGTACAAAACAATGGAGGAGATGAAGTTTGTCTCTTCCTTCCTCTTTGGGGCCCCTTTCTTCCCTCCTGGCACCTTCTTAAGCCAATGTACCCACACCACTTCCTGTCATAGGAGCATAGAAGGGACTACAGCTGGAAGGGGCCTCAGTGGACCACCAGCTCAATCTCTTTGTTTTGCAGATAAGAAAACTGAGGCCCCGAAAAGTTGATTCACCCAGGATCATGCAGGCAATAAGGATCAGAGATGGCATTTAAACCCAGGTCCTATGATCTGAGATCCAGTTCTTCTTCCATTGAACCACACTACATACTTAATCTATAGCAGCCTAGTATAATGGCCCAGCCAGCTCACACTGTTGAAGACCCAGATGCCACTGTACAACCAAGTCTTTCCTTTCTCTTTTCCCCATCAACACTTCTATTCTCTCCACAATTTCTCTCAGACCTCTGTCAGGAGGCAAGCCAGTGCTCTCTTCTCCAGTTCTGCAGATCTAATCACTATCTATCTTTCACAGCTCACCCCAAGGACCATCTCCACCATAAATGAAGTCCTTCCTGACCCCTCTTCATCAACTAGAAATAACCTCTTTCTCTTCTGAACCCTCAATACACTTTGTACCTCTCATATTTTCCCATTTTCCTTGTTTTTTCTGCATTTATTCATGATCATGTCTTACTTCCCCTATAGACTATATGCTCCTTAAATGCAGAGACCATGTCGTACTTAACTTTTTATATCCCAATATCCTTAACACAGTCTAGCTCTGTACTAGAATGTGAATGACAGCTTAATTTATTCATTCATGCATTCAACAGATACCTCCCACTTGCAAAACAGTGTGTTAGGCACTGGGGGAAATAGAAAACTTAGCTAACACAGTCTCCTTGTGAAGCTTATAATTTAATAGAGAAGTAAGAGACAAATGCAGGTAATGATAACATAATTTTACATGACAAATGCATTAAAGAATGGCAAAATCAAGTAATTTGTGACATGCCAGTGGGAAGATCACTAACATTCCAGAATTAGGGAAGATTTCAGGGAGAAAGTGGAAGAGATGGAGAAAGCAGTGTTTGAATTGCATTTTAAAAGGAGGGACAGAGATTCAAAAGGCAAAGAGCTTAACACGTTGCCCTTCTCTACATTATAAAGTGGACACTCTAACTCACTCCACACCAGAGGCAAATTTGTAACCCAAAGGAATGAATTTCAAATAGTGGCATTTCAGATTTGTTCATAGGAGAAATAGAACTGAGCAGTGAAATCTTTCTATCACCACAAGGGCCATACTAATTGGGTACCTACCGTCATTATCATGGAACACATAACAATGTAAGTAACTGTGAGCAGAGGGGGTGCTTCCAGCTGTGGCCCAGATATTTCCAAAAAGGCAATGCCCTAATATAGTATGGCCTTGAGTATCTATCCAATCATCTCCTCTACTCACCAAACTGTTTGCTGACCACTACAACACTAGCTTTCGTAGGCTATTACCTTGCTGGAGTGACCTTGCTGGACAGCTGTAGCCACACTGCCCTGGGATCAGTGAAGATGACTTGTCGGAGGAGAACACTCGCATCCCATCCCTGGGAGCTCTTCCTGTTCTCTCTGCTCATGCTGGCCTCTAGCAGAGCCAGCTCCTTCCCTGAGGCATGTACAGATAAGGAGCCACTGATGCTTCGATCTTTGTGATGCCTACCGGCAGCCTGGACCTAAAGGGTGGATCAGATGGGGGCAAAAGGGTCAAAATGGGAATTGGCCCTATAGCAGAGGGCAGCCATAAAGGAGGCATGATTTGGGGAAGAAGAGAAGGGGAGGTCTAACCAAAGCCCAACTATCTTTCAAAATCTAATGCAAGTTCAACCCCTCCATAAAGTCTTTCCAGCTCACTTCCACAGGGATTGCTCTATCCTATGAACTTGAAAACACTTTGTCTTTGGGCTTTACATGACATTTAGCATATACATTCTGGTATTGTTCTCTACCTTTTCAAATAATTTGTCTACTCAAATAGATTTTAAGCTCTATACAAGGATGGGGTCAGCTAGATGGTTCACTGGATAGAGTGCCAGTCCTGGAGTCAGGAAGACTCATCTTCCAGAATTCAAATCTGGCCCCAAACACTTACTAGCTGTATGACACTGGGCAAGTATCTTTACCTCAGTTTCCTCATCTACAAAATGAGCTGTAGAAGGAAATGTCAAACCATTCCAATATCTTTGCCAAGAAAACCCCGAATGGGGTCACAGATAGCTAGACAAGACTGAAACAAATGAACAACAACAAAATACAAAGACTACACTAATATAAATGAAAACACTAAAATATATCAGAGGTCAGATTAAATATAATTAATATATAAATGTATTTATATATTAATTACTAAATGATAGGAAGTGGCATATAGTAATGTATCAAATATTACTATATATGTTTACATAATATATATAATGATTAAATATAATAAATATGATTGGTTCCAGAGAACCAATGGTGAAATATACCTCCCTCCTTCTAGTACAGTGGTGATGGCCTATGGTGGACAAGTATCTTGTATACTGTCAGGGGTGGTTGCTGCATCAGTGGGTTCTACTAAGTTATTTTTCTTTGTTATAAGGGAAAGTTCTATTGGGTAGAGTCAATTCCAGTAAGAGTAATTGTGGAGTTTTTTAAAAAGGCATTAATAAAACACTAGAAATAGGTTTTAAGCTCCTTAAATGCACAAACTGTCATATTTTTAAAGGAAGGAAGGTAACATTTATTGAGCACCTACCATGTGTATGGCACTGTGCTCTACAAACATTATTTCAGTTGATCTCTTAACAATCCTAAGTGGTAGGTGTTATTATTATTCCCATTTTACAACTGAGTTACAAATCTAGTTAAATGTCTGAGACCAGATTTGAACTCTTCTTTCTCACTCCAGACCTAGCATTCTATCCATGACACCACCTAGCTTGCCCGAATGCATTTAGCACATAATATGCTGCATTATAGTGAACTGTGTGCCTTATTCTTCTCCTGGGCCACAAGCTACATTAGTGAAGAGTCGTTAGCAAATTTCTCTCCAGCACCTCGAACAACACTCTGGACCAAATAGGAGATTAATACATGTTTACTGAATGAATGAACGAATACTTCATTTATGTCTCCCTTGATGACAAACACAACATAGACGCCACATCACTACCTATCAAATTGTATTGAGAACAGAGAGACCTTGGACTGAGCCAGTCCTAGTACCTCTGCTAGGTGTGGTAGACCAAGTGAACCCTAAAACTAATTCTCCCTCCCATCTCAGGGACACCAAACATTTTGCTCAACCTGATCCACTTTGTTTTCTCAAAATTAAATCTCTCTCTAGAAGGGATGTCTACATGGCACTTTAAAGGGTACAAAGTGGGTTCTTTGCTTATATTATTTCATCTGAACCATGAAACAACCTGGAGGATAGATTTTATTATTCTGATTTTATAGATGTGGCTCAGAGGTTAAGTGACTGGCCATGGTCACACAGCCAGTAAGTTACAGAAGTGAGATTCAAACCAAGGTCCTGCCATTTCTGTACTTTATTCACCAGGTGGCACAATGGACAGAGTGTGGGCCTTGTATCAGAAAGACAAGTTCAAATTTGACCTCTTATATTTCATAGCTGTGTGATCCTGGGCAAGTCACTTAATGTCTGGTTGCCTCAGTTTCTTCATCTACAAAATGGGGATAATAATAGCATCTATTCCCCAGGTGGTTGCTAGAATCAAATGAGATAATAATTGCAAAGGGCTTAGGACCGTTATTAGCAACAGCGGCATCCCTTAACACCTTTCACTATCGTACAAATCACTGCCCCTTGGGACATTTTCTTCCTGTATTTCAAAGGGAGAGGAGACATGAAGAGGGAGTTTGAGCTCCTTCATCCTATAAAGAACCAAAACACCTTGACCATTTCTGAGAGGTTAAAATACAGAAAACCTGGTAGAGCCTGTTTTTGTTTCAGATCTCCCTTGGGTTCCTCACCCCCCCCCCAAGAGCAGCATTTTAAAAATAGAACCTCCTTGATTGCGTCCTCATCCCCCAGCTCTCCAGATCACATGTGAAACACTTTCCCAGGGAGGCTACTTGGAATTTCACAGATGATACAGTACCTGGAAATTTGGAGGAAGTGTCACCCTGGCAGGATGCCTAAGTTGGGAGAAAAACCCAATGTGAGACTTGGATCCATTCAGCTGAAGCAAGAACTGCAGGGATGAGAGGAGAGAGGAAGAAAAATCAAAGACTCTTAGGAGCCAGAGAGGTCTTTGTGTTGGAGGTTCAGGGCAGAAAGTTCACCCAAAACTTAATTCAGGCCAACACCAGGAACCTTCTGCCATTCAAGATTAACCAATCAAAAAGCATTTATCAAACACATGCTGTGTGCCAGACACTTGGGATATAGAGACAGGAATGAGGCAGCCTCTGCCCTCCAGGAGCTTACAGTCTAATAGAGGAGACAACACGTATACGTAAAAGTATATGCAAAATATAATCAAGGTAATTGGGGAAGCAGCAGTGTGTTAAAGCCAGCTTGTACTGGCTTCTATGAGATGATTGTTAAATTTATCAATGTCAGGTTTTCTACCTCAGAAATTGGCTTATGCTACAGTAAATCAAGACGTTAGTTATTGTTTTGCTGATTGAAATGCCCCAAAGGGAGCTAGTGATTTACAAGTACAGGATAGAAGAAATTCAATTCAAGTGACAACCTACTTGGTTCTGAGTCACCTCATCAATAAAATGTGTGGGTTGACACTTTGAGAAAGCGTAGAGAGAAGAGGCTCCAGGACAGACCTTTGGGAGACATCTACAGTTAGGGGGTGTGGTAGAAAAGACTAAAAAAAAAAACCTGTTAGGAAAACCAAGAGGGAACAGAATCACAAAAACCCAGAGGAAAAGAAATTCCAGGCCTTTAACCCATACAACCCACCATCTCCACAGCACACAGAAAATGGTTCAGAAGATAATGTTTGAGGGACTTGTGAAAAGCTGAAAGAATAAATCTAGAATTGCCAAATTCTATCATTTTTCAACCTTGCCTCCTCCTGCCTATCACAAGCTCCCTCTCCCAATAAGCCTATACATTCACTTAGACCTGCTTGGATAGCAGAAGATCTGGTCTTTTCTGTTTGGCCTATTTACCGGAGAAAACAGATTCATCACCTAAGACCCCTCCCTTCAGAAAGGAACTTGGAAACCCAGAATAAAACAGACCCACCCTTCTTTTCCACAACCAGAGTAAGGGATAGGTCAGCTTCCCCACCTGAGATGTGACCTTCTGGTTGACAGCAGCTTGCAGGGTTACACCACAGTCAAACTCTCCTGCCGGATGCTGCCTGAAGAAGATCTCACCATGAAGGCCCAGTGCCTGAGGGATCCTCAGCTGAGGAAAAAACACATCCAGTGACTTTCATTCCTCTGGGGAGAGAAAGCTGAGAGACTTTGAGGTGAGGCCAGAGCCAGGAGGGAGTCACATAACCTTGGATACCTGAGTTGAATGGTTCAAATCCAAGTTCACGTCATGACGGAAATCTCCTTCTATAGACCTGTTATGGTGTCTTCCCTTCACATGTAGAATATCCTTCTGGTTAACTTTCAAAGCAGCCTCAACCTCCTGGTTACCCTGGGTATAGAAGTAAGATATGAATGCTGTTACAAACCATTCTTTTCCAAATGGATACTGAACAAGTAGTTATATAAGCTGTATGTGAACATATGTTTATGCGTGGGCAAGTGGGTACATATATGTGCACATAGATGTGCACATATGTGTATATATATATGCACACACGCGTATGTATGGCAAAGAACTTTATCAGTGCAAGTCAGCATGTTCTCTGCAACTTGATAGCCTTGAAGACAGCAGCCTAGAGCTCTGAGAGGTTAAGTAAATTGCCAGTATGTGTCAAAATCAGAATTTGAATGCAGCTTTTCATGACAAAGTGATGATTCTCTGTTTTACACACACACACACACACACACACACACACACACATGCATAGGGGCGAATTATAGGCTCATAAATCTAGAGCTTGAAAGCTATTTCTAGTCTAACCCCCTCATTTTGCAAATAAAGAAACTGAGGCCCAGAGAAGCATTACTTGTCCAAGGTCCCATAGGTAATAAGTGTCAGAATAAAATGTGAACCCAGGGCCTCTGACTCCAAAAAAACCCCAAACAAACAACCCCCCCCGACTCTTTCCACTGTCCTTGCAGGCACCTAGAACTCAGGCCTAAAGTCAGGAAGATCTGAGTTCAAATCTGGCCTCAGATATTAGCTGTGTGACCCTGGGCAAGTCATTTAACCCTATTTGCCTCAGTTTCCTCATCTGTAAAATGAGCTGGAGAAGGAAATGGCAAACCACTCTAGTATCTTTGCCAAGAAAACCCCAGATGGGATCACAAAGAGTCAGTCAATGAGGAACTAAGACCCAGGGTGGACAAGTGACCTACCTACAGGCATATAAGGTAGTAGTGCTCATTAGAGGCAGGATTTCAATCCAGGCCCTCTGATTCCAGAGTCACTGCCCTTAAATCTAGAAGGGACCTCAGATATCATTTATTCCACTGCCTTCATTTTGCAGAAAAGAAAACTGAGGCCCAGAAAAAGACCCAAGAACATGCCATGGTTACATAGCTAATAAATGGTAGGACCAAGATTCAGATCCAGGTCCCCAGCCTCTTTTCCAGCACCACCGTAAGTTTAGACCCAGTCTGGCCAGCAAAAAGAGAGTATTATGGGATCTTAATAGGGATGTAGTATAATGAAATCTCTGTTTAAGGAATATTAACTGAATTTTTTTTCACCAGAAAGTATCCTGTCTCCTTCGCTTCTTTGAAAAGACAAACCTTCCTCACCTTCCCTCCTCAGTGAGAATTCTGGGGCAAGCCCAAATGCCAGAACCTTTGAGTCATGGTTGGCACAGGTTTCAATATCAAAGAGTTTCTCTCCCCTGCCCGCACCCCATCCCAGGGCCCTGTCAAGGATCTCACTTACGCTTTGTCGAATCTTTATCAACAAGCACGTCTCTACGCTCTTGGGAATGACCTTGTTGTTGTATGGATGATTCAAAGTAACGCAGATCTATAAGGAACGTACACGCATCAGTGCATTTATTGGCTTACTCAGCTCCCCGCCTCAGCTATCCCATCCTCCCCTGCTCCAGCCCAGTCTCCTTGGCCCACTCACATAGGGGCGGTCAGCCTGGTAGCCCAGGGTCAGGGTCTGCAGGCATTCCTTCAGCCCATTCACCAAGACTTTGGTCTCCAACATGTAGTGCTTCTGGCTTTTGTCCACAGTAAATGTCTCCTGCAGGAGGAGGCTCTGAGGGATGGGCAATTTTAAGGGATGCCTAGAATTGAGCAGTTGTGGGGGGAGGATTTTTTAAAATACGAAGTTATTAAAAGCACCACAGAGGAAAACAAGAAACAAAGTTCTGGGCTGCTGCCACAGACTAGCTTAGAGTTACCACAGACCCCATTCCAAGTTCTCTCTTTGTATTCAAACCGTTTAGGAGCAGTTGGGGCTGGAAAGGATCATAGGGTCATAATAATACAATCGTAGTTTTAAAGCTGGAAGGGTTCTTAAAATCATCTATTCCATTTTACATTTCATTTTACATATAGTTCACTTTACAGTTAAGAAAACTGAGGCACAAAGAAGTGACTTGTCTAAGGTCACATGGGTAGTGTCAGGAGCAGAATTTGAACCTAGGAGCTTAGTCATCTAGACCAGCCTCTTCATTTTACAGATCATAGTTCATAGATGATAATAATAACAGCAATAACAATAACTAGCATTTATATAATGCTTTCAAGTCTACAGGGTGATGTGTATATGTTATCTCATTTGATCCTAATAGCAACCTCGGAGATAGGTACTATTTTACATATAGGGAAACTGAGGCCCAAAGACGTTAAGTGACTTGTCCAAGGTCACATAGGTTTAGAGTCAGAGGTGGGATTTGAAGCCAGAACTTTAGTATCATCTATTCCAACCCACTCATTTTACAGATCATGGATTCATAGATGATGATGATGATAACAATAATAATAACAATAATATCTAGCATTTACATATTGCTTTAAGGTCTGCAAAATGCTTTGCATATGTTATATCATTTGTTCCTGACAACAACCTTGGGAGGTAGGTGCTGTTATACTCATTTTACACATGAAGAAATTGTGACAGAGAGAAGTTAAGCAGCTTCCATTAGGCTCCTTAAGGGGAGAAGCTGTCTTTCTGTAAAATTTATATTTATATCTCTACTGCTTGGCACATAGTAGGTGTTTAATAAATGTTCATTGATTGACTATTGTCCAGAGTCACATAGTTATTAAGTGCCCGAGTCAGGATATGAACTCAGGTCTTCCTGACTCCATGTCCAATACACTTGGCCTCGAACCACCTAGCTGAAAGCGACTTCTTAAGCCATCTAATTTCATAATAATAATAATAATAATAATTATATATAGTAATAATAATCCCCTTATTTCACACAACAAAACTGAGGTGAAGGGAAGTTAATTGACTTGCCCAAGGTCATGCAGTTAGTAAACAGGGTCCTCAAGGAGAGAAAATTACTTGTCTACAGTCTACACAGGTCCAATCAAAACACACTCATACAGCAGAGAAGACACAGATTCCATGCACCAGGTCAAAGCCACCAAAAAGATTCAGAAACAAACTCTCTCAACTTTTTGCTCCATGTCTCAGAGGAGGCCTCAGTCCCCAAGAGCAGCCTCTGAGATGCATTCAAACTGGTCTATGACTCAGAGGGAACCTGGGATTCTGCCACATTGGTGCGAGCAGCAAGACAGCCTGATGGTGGGCGAGGGAGTGTTCTGCACACTTTACTACCTTCCATATATTCTATAATCCAGCAAGTGACATTCTTGCTTGTTCCTCACACAGATGACCTCATTTCCAGACTCTGTGTCTTTTTGTGAACTGTCTCCTTTGCTTAGAATGCTCTCCCCTCCTCACCTCTGCCTTTGGCTTCTCTGGTTTCCTTCAGCTCAAATCCCACCTTCTGCAAGAGGCCTTTTCCCCTATCCCTACTGTCCACTGCTGGTGCCTTTCCTTGGAAATGACCTCCCATTTATACTATACAGACATAGACATAGACATAGACATAGACATAGACATAGACATAGACACAGACAGAGACATAGGCATAGACACAGACACAGACACAGACACAGACATAGACACAGACATAGGCTTAGGCATAGGCATAGGCATAGGCATAGACAGAGACATAGACATCTCATATATTCATAGTTATCTGCATGTTGTCTCTACTTAACTGTGGGTTGTGAGTTCCTTAAAGCCAAGAACTGTTTCTTATTTTCTTTGTATTCCCAGGCTTAGAATCACTAGGCACATAGTAAACATTTAATAAATGCATACTGACTGATTGATGGACTGCAAACATATGTTCAGTGGGTTGGTGTCTGCCCTGCAAGTAGATTCCTGAGCCCCAGATGAGCTGCTGCCCCCGGACCCTCCACACAACTCCATTCTGCATTCTTGAAAAAGCTACTCCCTCAGTGAGAAGATTTCTTTTCAGGAAACCAAGTCAGGTTTCCTTGATTTTGTTACCCAGACACTTCCTGAGGGGAGGACACGTTTGGAAGGGAAATCGGGGCTGGCTGAGGGAAGTGTATAGACCTGAGCTGGAGGGTTCCTCGTTTCTGATATAGTAGGCTCTCTCTCTTCAGCTCCTCCAGCTGGCCCTCCAGGTGCAGTCCAATGGGCTGGCTTTTGGGATCAGTCCACAGGGCCATTATTAACACAGTGGTCTTTCTGGGCTGCAATGGGAAATACAAAGCCAAGGATTTAAGAATGAGGAGAGAAAGAGTCACAAATCCAGCCTGTTCTGAAGGGAAGCAAGGGTCAAATAATTCAGGAGCTAATTGTGTTTTAAACCCTTGAGGATCCCACATAGAAAAACAGCTACCCCCATTCTATGACTTTCAAATGTTTATATGTATGTGTATATTTGTGTACATATATGTATGACTTGTGTAGATAACTAATTATTTACATGCTATCTCTGCCATTACAATTCAAGGTCTCCAAAGGAGGGACTCTGTGTGTGTGTGTGTACATATGTGCATGCGTGTATACATGCATGCATGACTCTTGTATATACTTAATTATTTACATGCTGTCTCTACCATTACAATGCAAGGTTTCCAAAGGAGGGACTACATACATATGTGTGCACATGCCTGTATACATGTACATATGTATGTATACATGCACGAATTTTGTATATATTTAATTGTTTGCATGTTGTCTCCTCCATTACAATGCAAGGTTTCCAAAGGAGGGCCTACATACACATGTGTACACATGCACGTACACATGTACATGTGTATGTATACATAAAAGTGTGGCTTTTGTATATACTTAATTGTTTACATGTTGTCTCCTCCATTACAATGCAAAGGTCCCCAAAGGAGGGACTATGCATGTATGTATGTAGCATATACCTACTTATTTACATGTTGTATCCCTATTTCATTGTAAGCCCTTTAAGAGCAGAGACTGTTGTACATATGTATGTGTGGGCATCTTGCATATACTTAATTATTTACATACTGTTTCCCCTATTACAGTGCAAAGTCCTTGAGAGTAGGGACTGTTTCTATCTTTCTTTGTATCCTCAGCATTTAACATGGTACAGAATAAGCATTTAATAAATGCTTGCTTGGTTGATTGATGCTGCCAAACCAGAGTCCCTGAACTGGACTGAGTCTGGCCTCCCAGGACCAGGTTGCAGGGCATTAAGCAAGAGAGGCCTGTGCACAATGACCACACCAAGAACTCTGGGCATCTGGAACAAAGCAGCTGGGTGTCATATCTCCAGATGGCAGAATTATTGGGCATCAGAAGTGTCTGTGATGCTTCTGATTTCAGGGACTGACCCTACAGAAGGACAGGGCACTTCCAGCCAAAGCCCATAAATAAAATTGGGGGGCCGTTTTCTCACCTGCTCTGTGTGTCTGTATGCAGAAGTCAGGTTCAGTCCCTGCCTGGGACCCTTTAGCCAACAATGGAATAGCTTCTTGTCCCGGCGATTTTCCAGGTGAACCTTAATCTGAACCAGGGGACTCCAGGTGGTCACCAGCTCACCTTGGCTTCGGAGAACACTCTGGTCCCAAGTAATCGATGTGGATGCCTGTAAATGAGGCAAGTGTGTTGGTTTCTTTGTAGAGAAGAATGGCACCAGCTTTCAGAGCCCAACTGGGAAAAGGCTACTTATCTCCTCTAGCACTGGGAGTGATGGGTAAAGAAAGCCAATCCAGCTCACATTATCAAGGAGCTAGAAACAAAGGGCCAAGGAGAAAAAACCCATTGGTCCCAAGTCAACACGAAGCCAAAGCCAGATTTGCTAAAGTGCCAAACTTCCCCTTAAACTAGAGAAAAAGACAAGGCTAACCTGAGGCAAAATTGCAAAGCAGATGAAGATTAGAACCTTTTCTATCTTTTCATTTTTATCCCACTTTTCCCTCTGACTAGCCCATGTCCTATCCTTGCTCTGAGCTAGACCTTGCTCTGAGTTGACCCCCGTAATATTCCCCAACACGTTACTCAATAAAGGCTGAAAGTATTACCCTTCCCAAGAGTATTTTCATTTGTATAGAAGACTGGAAGACCAAAAAACCTTCTAGAAAGTTCCAAAGAAAACTCTAATCATGGAAATCTCATGGGAATGGGTCCGTAGAAAAAAGTGTTAATTGTGAGTACACGTATAGTCCTTTAAGGTTTGCAAAGAATTTCACAAATATTATCTCAGTTTTTCCCCTCACAACAAGCCTGGGATGTAGGTGCTATTATTATCCCCATTTTACAGATGAGGAAACTGAGACTGACAGAAGTGACTTGCCCAGAGCCACACAACTAACAAGCATCTGAGGCAAGATTTGAACTTGTGTTTCCCTGACTTTAAGGCCCACACTTACCCACAACTCCACTTGGAATTCCTCAAACCACACCACATGGGAGATGCCTACTCTCCTTTAGAGACACTTTACAGAACATACAA